ATACGACTGTAGAAAAGAGGTATAATAGATAATGGAAGTTACTAGTCTATAATAGAGTAGAAATATATATCTACAATATATATTGTGTTAATTAAAATGTTTATTAGGGATCTGAGATTTATTGAAGGTTAGAACGAGGTTTATAGAGGGTTACTGAAGTTCGTAGAAGATCATTGAGGGTTATTGAGAATTACTGAAGGTCAAAATGAGGTTCATAGAAAGTCTATAAGGTTCGTTAAAGATCAGAATAAAGATTATGGAGGATCTATAAAGTTTGTTAAAGGTTAAAATGAGGTTTATGAAAGGTTTATAAGGTTTGTTAAGAGTAATCTATAGATTCGTTGAGATTTACTATAAGTAATCTGTAATAAATTAATTAATAATAATAGTTTATTTAAGAATATAATATATCAACCTAGCAAATCGTATATTTGCGTTTTTCGTATTTGATTTTGGAAAAATAATTAACTATAGATTGTCTACTCCTTGCTATCTTTCTATTTATATATCTATATTAAGTATATTATAATTTTCTGATATTTATGCTTTTTTAAACTATAAGAGGATATTACTAAATATTCTTTAATATCTTATTCCAGACAATACTCTATTTATAACCCTTTATATATCAGATAGTCAACAAACCTTAACATCAACATATAATAATTCTCGATTCGTTCTTTCAAATCTTTTATAATATTTATCTTTGCCTCTTTCTATTACAACATTCAATCCTAATCATATCAATTCTTTCATCCTATATAATAATACAATAAATAAGGAATTCATTAAATAGTAGCTTTAGATAGAATTTGAAAAGTCTAAACATATCAATTAGAATACACATCATTAAACTGAATATTAGAACTCTTTTAATCAAATAATGAATACAAAAGATAGGAAGCTAGATATAATATATAAACAATATCAAAAAGTTTTTAATCATCCTACAACTACTCATATAAACATTTTATTTATAAATAAGTACCAAAAAAAAGTTAATTATATAAAATTTATATTAAGAAAACTAAATATCAAAACTTTACTTTTAATTTCCCGCTAAAATGGGGGTTCAATATCCCGCAACGGAATTCGTGGATTCGAATCCACAAGATGACAGTAGCGATGGTGATAGCTTCAAGTATACCAACGAGGTGGGTGGCAATACTACCAAGGCCACATACCAGGAGGCCTCCGGAGCTCCAGTAGAGGTCAACTCCCCTTTAGGGTATTCGGTGGGTTGGGTGACAGTGATATTTCTCAATCTGAGCAAGATGATAGGGACTGGAGTGTTTTCAACGCGTATGTGTACTCCCAAGCTTGGAATAGAACTGCGCGTTCTGTGGAAATTTGCCTGACCTGTGATACAGCATCCAACGTTGTCAAGGGAGCCGGCTCTGTTGGCCTCGCATTGTTTTATTGGGTAATCGGATACCTGATGGCATCCAGCTCCTTGTCTGTCTACATGGAGTTTGCTTCGTGCTTCCCTAGCCGATCTGGATCGGAAGTGGTTTACTTGGAACAGTCCTACCCACGACCAAAATACTTCTTTCCTACTGTCTTTGCGATGCAGACCGTGCTATTCTCATTTAGCAGTAGCAATGCTGTTGGTATGTTTATTCCAGTTGTATCTCTTAACTCGCATATTGACATGCACATTAGTCTTGGCACAATACCTCTTCAAACTGGCAGACGCAGAAGCTACGCCGTGGAAACTGAAGGGAGTGGCCGTGGCTTCTTATACAGTCGCAGTGCTAGGTCAGTTACTATTGACCTATTTCTTACTTTATCTATGGATCCCAGGCTAATCTGTATGTTTCGTAAAATAGTTCTGGCGTTCAACACCAGATGGTCGCTCAGATTGGCAAATGCTATCGGCCTAGTCAAGCTTATCACATTGGTATTGTAAGGCTCATTTCATCCAAGTGTATAATATTGATATTGAGAGGGAGGCTGATTCGAGGTTTGATTTTACAGCATTGGAGTTAGTGGATTGGTTGTTCTTGGAGGTCACACCTCCGTGAAAGACCCCAAGGCCAATTTCAGAAACGCTTTCGATGGCACGGGTGCAGCTACGGTTTACGGAACGACGAACGCATTAACAAAGGTTTGGTTCTCATATGCGGGCTATGAGAATGCCTTTAATGTGGTCAATGAGGTCCGAGTATGTGGCTTCGACCTCATGCTCGATCAATATGCCTTGCTAATTCGACTTAGAACCCTACCAAAACCCTGAGGTGGAGTGCTCCATTATCTTTGGGAGTGACAGCAACTCTATATGTGTTGGCGAACATTGCCTACTTCAGTGCTGCGACCAAAGAAGAAGTTATCGAATCCAAGGTCGTTGCGGCCGGTCTTTTCTTTGAGAAGGTATTCGGAACCAGCGGTGCAGCCTCGGCGTTGAACTTCCTGATTTGTTTGAGTGCGTTTGGAAATCTCCTTGCCGTTCTCATCGGCCAGTCACGTATGATTAGGGAATGTGGAAGGTTGGTGAACATTTACATCGGGCTTACTTCCCTGTCTAACACATGAATACTCAGGCAAGGCGTGTTGCCATTTACGTCGTTCTGGACTTCAACCAAACCCTTTGGAACCCCGCTGGGTCCCTACTTGGTGAAATGGAGCTTTACACTATTGATGATCCTGGCACCCCCTGCCGGTGATGCATTCAATTTCAGTACGTTGGATCTCTGCGACCCCTTTGTCATGGTCGGGCAACACTTCGCTTCCTTTCTTTGCCCAGACAACGCCAGCGGCATGACACTAATATATTTGAGCAGTTGTGGATCTCGGTGTCTACCCAGCATCATTCTTTGGTTTATTACTCACAATAGGATTGGTGGTCACTCGTATTCGTCGCAAACGTCTTCAGCTACCAGCCCCCGACTACCAGGCTTGGTATATCACAATAGCATTCGCTATTCTCTCACACCTTTACATGGTAATAATGCCGTGGTATCCACCTAGTACCGGTTCTACTGGAGGTGATGTGAGCTTCTGGTATGCGACATATTGTGCAGTGGCTCTGGGAATGTATGTTTGACCCCGGCTAAGCCTCGGCATTGCCATCGACTGACTTCATGTAGCATTGCTCTCTGTGGTGTCTACTACTATTTCTGGATCAAGCTTCTCCCGCGGCTTCAGGGGTTCAAGTGGCAGCAGACGGTTCTTAAATTGGAGGACGGTGCTACGGCTCATCGGCTGGTGAGGGTGCCTAAGAAGGATGCCTAATCTACAGTCACCGTGGTTAATAAAAATGTGAAGTCCAGGACATACACTAGAAAAAAAATCAAAAACACAAGCGATGATGCCCTGATATTTGCATTAAGCACCATTTTAGCGTTTAAGACGTGATTTCGGTCGGTTGAAGAGGAAGACTTGCCGGAATACGGATAGTGCGGAGTCCCCGGCTCCACACCCCCCGTCTCGTTTCCTCCACGCTACCTTCCCTTGTGTCTCTGTGTCGACTGTGGGATTCGGCAGACTTAATTGGTATGTCGGACGTTTTCCGAGTTGAACCCGCGAAACCCCAGATCTCATTTGTCACCAGGTGGTCGGATATGCGTTTATGAGGGAAACGTCGGCAGCTTGCCGAATGAGACTACGCGACGAGCCGACTGGACTGTCGGCTGTGGAGCCTATTCCTCCGTTGGATCTTGATATCACCAACTGGGGTTATAGAATGGGCTGATCATCATTAGAAACAGGGTCAGATTCGCTGTGATTGGGCTGCTGCCGCAATCTGCCGACGCCCAGCAGAACCACGATGCCACTAAGTGGGACGGCCATGGTCCTCCTATGTCATCAGAGGCCTTTCTGCAGACACCACAAGCACAACGAGTGCAACGCGGGGCTGCTGAGCCTTAAAAAGGGGATTGCGCGCCTCAGCATTGCCCCTTGCCTTGTCCAACTCATTCCACCATGCGCGCTCCTAGTCTCTGGCTTTGGGCCTCCTTTGTGGCTCCATCTTTTGCCATCCATGCTCCTTGGAACCTTGGAAATGGCTTTGAGCTCACCGTCAACAACAGCACCAACCGCCTGTCGATTTCCCAGCATGGTCGGACTATTTGGGACACCGTGTCTGGTCACGCATTCCTGAGTGCCAGCGGAGGCGATGATGAGGTCATCGCTGCCAATGGTAACTTCAAGATCAACGAGGTCGACCATGACAAGTGCAGTGGTCAGAAAATCACCAATGTCGCTCTTCACCCGCGACGAGGCAGTGCCAATGATCATGCTGCCGTCATCGAAGGCCAACTTACCGGTTGCGGTGACGCGAATGTCGACTACTCCGTTGCGTTCTGGGTTCCGTCTCAATTCCCTGATCGCATTGCTTTCAACGTTAATGTCAACCCCGGATCTTCATCGGATGCTGCCACGAAGATTTTCCTCACCTACCGGTCTTCACCCACTGAGGATTTCTACGGTCTTGGTGCTCAGGGCTCTTTCGCCTCCTTCAAGAATCAATCTGTTCCTATATTTTCCCGGGAGCAAGGTGTCGGTCGTGGCGATCAGCCTGCTACCCGCCTTGAGAACAAGGACAGCTTCTTCGCCGGCGGAGACCGCTTCACGGCCTACTCTGCCGTTCCACAGTACATCAGCTCCGATGCCCGGGTGTTCCACCTGACTCAAGAGAGCTCTGCGTATACCACTTTTGACTTCACCAACCCCAGTGCGGTGACTGTGCGCTATGATGCCCTTGCTGTCGATGGCTACTTCATGCAAGCAGAGAGCCTCCTCAATGGAATTACCATGCTTTCCGAGTACACTGGTAAGATGCCCGCCCTGCCCAAGTGGGTAGACACCGGTGCCGTGCTTGGTATCCAAGGTGGACAATCCAAGGTCAACCGTGTCGTGGAGCAAGGACTTAAGCTGGATTGCCCTGTCGCTGCTGTCTGGTTGCAGGATTGGTCTGGTACCCACTCCCAAAGCGTGTCTTACATGTCTCTGAATGTCTCTCGCTTGTGGTGGAACTGGGAGAATGACGCGAAGCTGTACCCAACATGGAACAAGTTTGTGCAGAGTCTTCGTGACGAGCACAACGTCCGGACTCTGGCATATATCAACCCATTCTTGGCCAATGTCAGCACGAAGCCCGATGGGTTCCGCTCCAATCTCTATGAAGAGGCCAGTCGCTTAGGATATCTGATCCAAAATTCCACTACCAATGATACTTCCGTCATCTCCAGTGGCCCTGGCCTCGACGCCGGTATTCTCGACCTCACCAACGCTGCTGGTCGAACTTGGTTCAAGGAAGTCCTGCTTGATCAGGTTTGGAACGCCAACATTTCCGGCTTCATGACTGACTTTGGCGAGTACACACCCATTTACAAGGATACTCGCTTCGCCAACAAGAGCATCGACCCCTTCTTCTATCACAACGCTTACCCTCGGGAGTGGGCTGCTCTCCACCACTGGATTGGCAAGAATGTGTCCCAGTTCACGGACTCCATCCTCTTCCACCGCTCATCGGCCATGGCTTCTAACCGTTACATGAACCTCTACTGGGCCGGTGACCAGGTTACCAACTGGGGCGTCAATGACGGTATTAAGTCCTCCATCACTGTCATGGGCCACATGGGCCTGTCAGGATATGCCCACGGTCACACCGAGATCGGTGGATACACCACAACATGGGACAGCAACGGTGTTGTCAACCGTTCTTCTGAGCTTTTGGGTCGCTGGGGTGAGCTGTCCGCCGTCTCCAGTGCTGTCTTCCGTACCCACGAGGGTAACGTACCTCAGGTGAACGCACAGTTCTACTCCAACTCCACTACCTACTCCTGGTTCAGCTACAACGCTCGGATGTTTGCCAGTCTGGCTACCTACCGGCGCCGTATCTTGGACACGGAAAGTAAGAAATTGGGATGGCCTTTGCTCCGAATGCCGGTTATCTACCACCCCACCGATCCCGTTGCGAAGGCTATCAGCTACGAGAGCTTCTATCTTGGATCTGATCTTTACGTCGCACCGGTGCTTGACCCTGGTCACACCAGTGTCAAGGTCTACTTCCCTGGCAAGCATGAGATTTATACTCATGTGTGGTCTGGAAAGAAGTACCACGGCGGCCAGACTGCCCGAGTCCTTGCCCCATACGGAAAACCCGCCGTCTTCGTCGTCGGTACTCCGAAGAACAACGATCTCGATGATTTCCTGCAGTTTGTTCGGCAGGAAAACAGCACCGTCATTCACTTCTAGTTGGATTTCGGTGGCTGCATCATCAACAGAAACTCCGAAACTCAAATCCGTAGAAGACATGTTTCATGACCTTGTATATAATCAAAAATATCTTTATGTCCATCTATTTCCTATTCAGGAAACCCCGATCAGGGTGTATTCACTCATCAACTATTCGGCGAAACGCGCACCTCTCAAATCTGGAGTTATAGATCTGCACGCCTCGCACGGGCTTCTGGGATGTAACATTCCCCCTCAATTTCATCAACGATCGAGTGTCTCTGGGCTATGTTACACCCGCCCTCTCGTGCCCCGTCTTTGTTTTGACCCTCTAGCACTAGAAGGTCGGTCGAGTACCTGGTATTTATCTCCAAGTTATGTCGCGCAGAAAAGGGACAGCAAACGCGATTTTCTTGGGGCTGCTGGTAGAATTCTTGCCATGAAGCTCTTCAGCGCTGTTTTCATTGCACTGCCACTTGGGCCTACGGCGCTTCAGGCAAGCCACAGAGATCGTAAGTACTCGAGTATTCTGTATTGCATTTCAAGGTCCAGTGAATTGACCAAACAGTTCAGTCTTACCCTTCAAATTCGATCCTCTGCCTCTAGGTAGTATCAGACCAAATGGGTGGCTCAAAACGGAGCTGGAAGCATCGGCAGCAGGTCTAGGAGGGTAAGCGAGATCATCTTACTTTTTGCTCAACCACACTAACAAAATGAAGACACCTCTATGACTTCTTTCGATACGTCTCTCACTCCTCGTGGATTGGTGGTGATCAGGAGTACAGTCAATTAAACGAAGCCCTTCCGTATTGGTTCAATGCCATCGTGCCTCTGGCATACACTCTACAAGATGACCGACTGAAGAGTGACGTCCACACAGTTGTCAGCAAAATTCTCGACCGCATCCATCCAGATGGATGGATTGGTCCCGAAACCATCGAGTCTGGGAAACGGCTCATCTGGGCACGCACAATGGTGCTCCTCGGCTTGACAAATCTCATCGAAGCTGATCCTGAAAGGTATCAAAAGCCTATTCTCGATGCCTTATATCGTTTCAACGGTCTTATGCATACTATGCTCAAGGAGAATGGTACAGGCATGATCTACCACGACGGTGACGCTGCTGGCGCAGATGACTATGTGTGGTTCCGCTCTCGTTCCCCGGATTTGGTTGTCAGTCTTCAATGGTTGCTCGATCACCACCCAGGTGATCAGACTGATCTCTTGAAGGAAAATATTGATATGATTTATCAATATTCTTTCAAATGGGAGGGCTGGTATACGGAGCAAAGCTATATCAAAGACGACCTGAATAAGGTCCCAGATTCCGTGGCTGGTCCACAGTGGCCTTTCTTACATGGCGTAACTGTTGCAGAGGCTCTAAAGTACGCAGCTGTTTTTAGACGCTCTACTGGAAATGAGAGTCTTATCAAGACTGCCAAAGATGGCGTCGATTGGACATTCAAATACCATGGCTCGGCTTCTGGTACCATCTTGGCGGATGAGCGTCTTGCTGGGTTGAATCCTTACTATGGCTCTGAGCTCTGCACTCATGTCGAAGCCATCTATTCTTTGGCCTACAACTACTTCGCGATAGGTGATCCGAGCTACGCCGACCGGGCAGAGTTGGCTGCGTTCAACGCATTGCCGGCGGCCATGTGGCCGGACTGGACTTCGCACCAATATATGACTGAACCAAACCAGCCATTTGCCCACAGTCTCTCTGCATCGCCGTTTTGGAATGTGAATAACGTTGGTCAGACATATGGAATTGAGCCAAACTACCCTTGCTGCACTGTCAATCATCCACAGGGTTTCCCCAAGTTCACCATGTACAGCTACCTCAAGTCAGGGGAAAAAGGGCTCGTTCATACATTACTCAGTCCTGGTCGGGTCGAGACATTGGTTGATGGAAAGGCTGTGACAGTGGATTGTCAAACCGATTATCCATTCGGTACGGAATTGGTGTACACGGTGAACAGTGAGACAGAATTCGACTTCTACCTCCGTGTTCCAGAGTGGTATACTGAAAAGGAGTCTACTAGAAAGTGGTCTACTGGAATCAAAATCAATGGAGCATCCTCCCCAGTTGATTCTTCAACAAGTCTCGTCAAGGTGCAAATTCCGAAGGGAAAGATGATCATCAAATCCGAAATTGAAGCGGGTCTCCGAACTGTCTCCCGAGCCAAAGACACTATTGCAGTTTACCGGGGCGCTGTTCTCTACAGCCTGTACATTTCCCCGGTGATCTCCAACACCCCTCCTAAATTCTTCTACGACCCACATCCGGAGTATCCAGCGGGGACTTATCCACCAGAGATGCAAGATCATATGATGAACAACGGCACAGAATGGAACGTCGCTATTGATCCCTCCACTCTGAAATTCCATGCTGGGGAAGGATCCTTGACATCCCCCACTTTCGATGATGGCAAGATGCCCATGTTCGTCACCGCCAAGGCTTGTTTGATTGACTGGCCTCTCTTCAAAGGTGCTGTGCCAGGGGACCCACCAGCCAAGGAGGATCGATCTTGCATCGGGCGGACATTTGAAGCGATACTGAGGCCATACGGGAGCTCCAAGCTGCATATGTCTGACATTCCTACTATTGATCTTTCATAGTTTGTGAGTACTTAAGTAACCTTGGAAGCAGCGCCACTTTCAGTCAGTATCTGTTGAACAAAGAGACCTGCAGGAAAGAATCCATAGATTTTGAGATAAGCAGAAATGTTGCCCTACATCCAACCATCGATCCCTAGATAGAACAAACTTCAGAAATAGACAGCCAGCTCCGATGGGCTGTGAAACTCGAAGCTGTGTACCAGAGAATAGGCATCAAGTCAGGGGTTTCTACGGTGTACTCCTAAAGGTTTTATATCTGAGCATATTATCGCCCCCTCCCCCTATTTTGTTTGTCTTTTCCGCTTTCTACAGCCTACACCCTACAAACACACCCTGCCGCACACCCTACAGCATCCATGGATATTTTCAGGACCCACCTGGCGCCAACTTCGTGTCTGATCTCATTTTCAATTGGTTAAATTGATAGGTCTGTTCCCCGCCTTTGCTACATATCAGGACTAGCATACATCACTGTAAATTACCGACCATGGTTTGTTTGCATACAAACCCAACCGAAGATCGTAGACAGGCGTAACAAGTAAGACTTGAATTCCAACAATTAGATCACCTGTTCCTCCCTGGTCTCACATCAAAAATTTGCCTCGATTTTATTTGTTTCCAACCATGAAAACAGTGAAATTTCCTGGACTGACCAAGCAGAAGGCATTTGTTCGCCCTTTAGCTGTGTCCGATCTGGAAAGCTGTCTGGAAGTTGAAAGTGCTTTCCCAGAACAAGAGAGATGCTCTAAATACAAGGTATCATATGAGCAGTACCAGAAGATTTTCGTTCCGAGGTTTGCTGATAAACACCAGTTCATCTATCGCTTGACAGTGTGCCCGGAAATTTGCCTCGGGTTATTTGAAGAAAGATCACAGGGGGATCAGCTCATTGGCCACGTTATCGCAACCCGAGTATCGGCAAACCGAGTCACGGATGGATCAATGGAAATGCCCGAGCGATGGACTGGAAGCAGAGATACTGTGACGGTGAATGATCAGATTATTGGAAACGATGCCAAGGGCCGGTTCCTCGGCGTACACTCCCTTGCTATTCGGTCGGAATACCAAGGTATGGGCTTGGGGAGGGCCTTGATGAATGAGTACATCCTGTATGCTGGACAGTCTATCGAGTCAGCACAGAGTATTGTGATCATTGCCCATGATCATTTGATCAAGTTCTATGAAAGCTTTGGTTTCAAGAACTTAGGGCCGAGTCCCTGTGCTTTTGGTGGCGGTGGCTGGTATGATATGGTGAGTTCTCAGCTCTGGTGTCATGTGTGATACAATAACTGACAAGATAACAGGAATTGGGTATCTAATTCAGAGGAAACAATTATTGTCTGTTTTCGATCTGATGCAAACGCTTCTATTGCAAGCTGAAAAAGGTTCTATCTTGATGGCTCTCGTTTGTTGTCGCTATTGTATATTGCAGAAATTGAGAACATTGAGAATTGAATAGCATACGTAGACCAAATCATTGGGGTTCAGTAGAGGTAACATGCAGTTGCCGAAACGCAGAGAGCCACTCTGGATTATCTGCAATGGTTTGATCCCAGGCATCCTCACTATCAAAGAGAGCCTTTCGGGCCTCTTTTTGAAACATTTCATCCGTGGGTACAATGCCGAGTCCGATCTGCGTTCGAGCGTATTGACCGAGGTGTCGGGTAAACACATTTAAGGACCCTGGCAACTGTGGCTCCGTTTGATCATTGGTTTCAACTTCTGGCGGTCTTTTTTCTGTTTCTTTCTCTTCGGCCATCTTGGCTCCAGATAAAAGGGTCGTATATTGATCGTGTGCGTCTTTGCTGGTTGCAGAGAAAGGGACTATACACTCTGACTCCCAACCAAGAAGATATGGTGGGTACGCATTCTTCAGTTGAGCTGCAATTTTAGGGGCGAAACCGTGATCTCCCTTCCAATCCTTCATCGTAGATCCTTTATGAAAATGCTTGGCTAGATGCGAGACGCGATCATCCCAGTTTTTCAAGGTTGTGTCACAGAACCCACATCTCGATATAACATCTTTTACCTCTATCTTCCAGTCATCAATGGGTGGTGTTTGTTGTACGTTGTGTACATGGCGAATATGCTGTACCAGATGGTCCTTTCGATGGAATGAGCGAAGTTCGTTGGAAAGACCCTGACAAGCCTCGTAGCTATGTCCTGAGAGGTGTTCTTCGGTCGGTTCGTCTAATTCACAGAAGGCACAGGTTTGCTTTCCTGTGACAGCCGACAGAACTGAGGGCCCAAATGGTGCACAATACCAGCTTTCTAGATGCAGATGCAGCGATTTTTCGTGCCTGACCCATTCGTATCGACTTCCAAAGCGATCACAGCAAAAGGTACAACAGAAGACACGGGGTTTGTTGTTGCGAGATTTTTCTTGAGCCGAACGGGGTTGCGATTGACGCTTCCGAACACGCGATGAGTTGCGGGTATGGGATGAGCTGGCTGCAGATGATGCGCTTGATTCACGGCTTGTAGTAGAAACTGACCGACGAGACCGGGAAGCGGAGAGGTTACGGCCCCTCCTAGATTGGTCGGTTCGATGGACTGTCGGTGTCTGCTTCATGGCATCCATAATGGCCGTCATAGAGGCCGGTTCGTCTTCCGACTGATGCTGCCAACGTTGCATGGGGTTCAAACCAATTGTACACGATTCGTATATATGGTCGGTGTTATTATTTGTCCTTGGCGTGAAGTATCGACTTCTCCGCCGAGGAAGACCACGTTGGCTACTAGAAGTTCGAACCGGAATTTGCTGATGATTCATTTCCTGCCCAGGTAGGCTCCCATGTTCAGAAGTTAGTTCCAGCCCGCTGGTGCTAATAGCAGGTAAGCTGTCCAGTCTGTTAGATAGCGTTTCCATGGTACTGTAAGAACTCCCATATTCAACCTCAATGTGAGTAGGTGGCGGATGTCCCAATGGGAGTGGTGAGTTTAAGAAGTCCGTGAAGCCCTCGGCGGGCGACGAGATGAAGAAGCTATCAGCCGACCCGAAGCCCTGCTCAGATTCAACTGATCTGATTGTGCTGAGGGTATTGAAATCCAGCATTTCTGGATAATTGGTGGGGTTGTTGTGGAATATATTGGGGTCGAAGATAGGATCAACTTCCGCAAAGTCAATCGAAAGTACGCCATCGTCTGAACAGAAACCAGCATTGGGATTATCCCAGGCTTCCTCTGAATGATTGAGCGACATACTGTGCTTGTGAAGCAGAAGCAATGCGGAGGCACAAAAGTAGCCGCCACATGGAGATTAGCGTGTCAGTGTTCCCCGGGTCGCGTAGTAAGCCCGATCCGGGCCCGCTCACCAAGTGGCTAGTGTACTCCATACGGTGCGCTTTTCTTTCGTGGAGACAAAATAAATGAAAAAATGAAAGAAAAGGGCTGAACCGGTACACAAGGATCTTGATGTTTATGAAGTGCCGTTAAGGGGTGGGATGTGGCTCCAGCCCGGCCTAGATAGAGTCCCTCTCCATCCCTCGAAATATGTATTCTCGCTTTAACATTGAGTCCACAGTACGAACGACACTGATCCTGAACACCACAAAAGGCGCAGGCACCACTCAGGGCCATTCACTTGAGCAAAATGTTCACATGATAGGCATTTAAGCATTTGAAAAACAAATTAACTGGAAACATTTAGGGAACTGTACATTCAATTGTGCGATGATATGGACAATATCCGGTGATGAACTACGTTAGGGTTACAAGACGAACAAAGCGGGCTCAAGGGATCCCATCGGCCGCGTGGCGCAATGGTAGCGCGTTCGCCTCCTAAAAGGTGGCATTCAAGCGAAAGGTTTCGAGTTCGAGTCTCGACGTGGTCGAATTACCTTTTTTATCTTTTTGATTCCCATTTTCATCTCCGGTGATTATTATCGTGGAGGCAGAACACCAAAATAGTAGTAAGAAACAGGTCGGATAAATTGAAAAGCCATAAAGCATCATACATTTCAAATGCCTCCTTCCTCAAGCTATTTTGACATATCTGTAAATACATCTTTAACTCCTGACACAACCCCTAGATAGTATCCTTGATGGGGTCTTTCTCTGAGTCCTCAATTTTCTTTAAGAACTCCTCAGCTAGTTCTGGGTCCGAAGCATATAGATGATCAGCAATCATGCGAGGGGGCGTTCTTCCAAGCCACTGCGCCAACGAGAAATCCTGGAACGCGTCCGACCGGAAGATCTCCAGGATCTCCAGCGGCTCGTCATCACTGAGGTTCTCGACGTAGTGGCCGTGGTTACGAGGTACAATTCCCACGTCTCCAGCCATGTAGTTGAAAGTTCGCGCATTCCCTTCGGCGGCGAAGATGGTCACGCGGGCGCGTCCTTTCTTGAAATACGTCCACTCATCGGCGTTGGGGTGCCAGTGCATCTCGCGCAGAGCGCCCGGGGCGATCTCAAGATGCGCCGCGGAGACGGTTTTGGAGATCGGGAAGATCGACGAGTCGGTGATTCGTACACGGCCGCCGGATGTTTCAATGGGCTTTTGATCGTGCATTTGGTGAGTAAAATTAATTCTGGACTTCTTGAAACCTCGCGGTTTTTCATCTTCGATGCTACCCGGGTTAGTCCCCTTGAAGATATATTTCTCGGAGGTGGGGATCTTGTCAAATTTCTGGGCTGCAATGCGGAAGTTTTCTGCTAGAACTGCCTTGGGTGTATGCGCTGGATGATTGAATTAGTATTGTATTGATGGCACGTGGGTAGGAAGGAGTAGGTTCAACGTACCCATCCAGTCCGTTAAAATAAACGTGGATTCTTCGGAGAAGTGTCCGTTATCAAAGATCAACAGGAACTCTGTCCCGTTCTCACCCAGCCCTTGAAGGGAGTGTGGGTGCCCAGCAGGGAAATACCACAAATCTCCAGCCTCGAGGTCATCCATGAAGCTGCCGCCCTCCGTGTCGAGTGCTGTGACTCGCACTTTTCCGGCGAGGACGTAGGCCCATTCGGCCTCGGTGTGCCAGTGCAACTCGCGGATGACTCCCTGGTCCAGACGCATATTGACGCCAGCCAGCTCACGACTGGTGGGTAACTCGCGAATAGTGGTTTGCCGAGTCCATCCTCCTTCCTGTGTCTGATCAGAAATTATTCTAGATTTCCTCCAGCGAGAACACCTACCTCGATTCGAATGTGAGAGTCGGCGAAACTCCACCTCATGTTAGACATACTGCCATGATCCGTACTGGGGGGCCGAACCAGATCGGGATTCTGACGTTCGCGATCTTTGTTTCGCGGCCCCATCACCGTCGTGCCATCCCCATTTCGAAATGGTAGAGGCTGTCGATCATCTCCCACCGAATCGACTTTGTGGTCATACGGATCGCGATGACCGGGTGAAAATGGTGGATGGTTGACTATGGGCTGTTGGGCGATGGGATTGAAGGGATGACCTGCTGGAATCCGCAATAGCTGCTGAAGATCATTTTGAAAACTGGCCTCAGGCGCAGGAGCAGCCCAGGCGTGAAGCAGTAACAAATTCCACCAAATAAGCTGCATGTTGCAAAACGAACTGGTTACACGGCAAGGAATAAGACTTGGGGGCTGCTCAAGTACTCTGGGATATTCTCCGCATCGACGTCAGATTCGCTCCGCCGCCCAATTCGTTACTCCAATTCCCAAAGCTTATTTGGCATTCTTGTTCTGTTCGTGTTCTTCGCTGGTCAATTTCGTCGATATACAGCTCCCTTGTTCTCCACCGGGTGGAGTCATGACGCATAGTCCTCTTGAGCCGTGCGGAGATTTCGGCTTTTCGTTTCTTCACTTTTTTTACCTTGGTCATCTACATTTTATAGAGCTCCTTACTTAAAGGCCCCTGTCTCTCTCGAGATCCTGGGTCAATCTACCAATCTACCAACTCGGTAGTATGTCACGCGAAGAAGAACCCCTCCTGGGTTCGAGTCCATCCCCTAGGCGCCTCTCCAAATACTTGCGCAATGAACTCGATCCTACCCATGGGGACCTGATCCTGTTGTTCTGTTATATCATCACCGGCTTACTTGACAGCTCGGCTGTCTTCATCTGGGGATCATTCGTGAGCATGCAAACAGGCAACACCGTTTACTTCGGCCTGGGCCTGGTGGGCACCAATGACGATCGCTGGATCAAATCCGGCGTCTCGATCGCGGGCTTTTGTCTTGGCTCACTGTGCTTTGCCGCCTTTCACCGTGTTTTCCCCGCCAGACGACGATGGGTGCTCTGTGCTTCGTTCCTCGCTCAGACGCTGTGTGTTGTCCTGGCTGCTCTGATCGTGACCATCTTCCGGCCCACCCGGGATGCGCCCTTGACCTGGCTGGTCCTAGCACCGCTTGCGCTGGTGGCATTCCAGAGTAGTGGCCAGGCTGTGACAAGTCGCGTCTTGAGCTTCAATGGCCTGACCAGTGTGGTCTTGACGAGTATCTATTGCGATTTGTTCTCGCATCCCGACTTCCTGTCTACCAAGGTGGTTGGCAATGCGGAGGAGAGACGCCGATTCGGGGCGGTGCTCTGTTTGTTGTTGGGTGTTGTCCTGGGAGGCCTGTGGGCGCATAGCTCAATCGGGATGATGGGGGCTCTGTGGACTGCCGCGATCTTCAAGTCCCTGATCGTTGTCACGTGGCTGTTTTGGAAAGGGAAGCATGATGCGGAATGAAACCGTCGTAATTTGAAGGATTTACTGGTCGGATGAGTTGGAAGGAATCATGATGAACAGCTTTTTGAAAATAGATACCCGTGAGATCACATGTTTTGAACAAGATAGCCTTCAAATGTTGCTAGAATGGGCACAGGAGCAATGAAAAAGATCAAAGTACTACAGCAACACGCCAATTAGCTACCCCCAGTAAATACATTGCAACATGTGTTAGGTCGAGGTGAAAGTCACCCCTTGAATGAGTGATGGACCACGACCCAACCTTGAAAATAGCAGTGTGCGGGGTTTCTTCACAGCTAGGGGCATTCTGACAGGTGCTCAGACACCTTGCATCTCAGTCACTTTGGGGTAGTTGGAGTGTTGGAGTAACGAGATAGTCAATGCAAGGGAGTCGGACTCGCCCGAAGCCGCGAGGCGCAGTCTTGAGATCATCTCGGCAAAGTGCTCAGATGCAGTTTTGTTCGGCAACGCCTGCGAAGTCTTATTGGTAAATGCAACTACTGAAAATGTACGGATTAAGCAAATACAGATGTAGAGGATTGCACTTTCGACTAGGTATCGATCGTGGTATCCTGACATAATTAGACGAAGTCAGGCATAAACAAGGGAGCAGTACGGTGTATCAAATGAATGCTCAATGCCACTTGAGACCCCGTTTTTGAAAGCCCCGCATCGATGAATTCTCGTTTGATTGTCTTAAAGGTCATATCGGCATTTCTTGTTCATCGTCTCATGAATATGCCAATTTTTTGGCAAAACCTTGCACTCAATCAATGCGTGTGATCATCACAGCAGGAGCAACGTAGTGTCGCCTACCATGGACAATATACATCAGTATGCTGATGAGGAACACCCCGAAAAAGATAACAACGCTCCAATTGAAGTCTCGCGCCTTGGGGGATGGGCTCGGTGGCCAGAACGACCAGAAAAGTGCAAATAGCACATACAGCAGCCCGATTATGTTGATACCGAGGCCAAATTTGCCAAGGCTCCAACGCCGAGGAGGTAAAGTTTCGGGACAACTGATCTTTCGGTATATCACGCAACTAATCGAGACGGCGTATGTGAACATCAGAGCTGCAACGTTGAGCGAGATGATGGCATTGAAAGCAACTTGTGAACCAATATTTATGAGCGACAACAGCCCGCTGATCAAGCATGATAGTGCGATAGCGTGTATTGGGATTTCGCGGCGCTCGTCGACCCGTGAGATCCAGTATTCCATTGGCAGGCCCCGATCTCGCGCAAAGGCATATGTTTGACGAGCCGTCGATGCATTGAACAAAATGTTGCTGAATATCACTGGTATGAGGATGATTGCTGTCAGACCGTTCACGCCGGAAGTTGGAAGGATCTGCTTGAAAACATAGAGAAAAGGAAACCCTGTACTGTCGGCTAGAGCATCTGGGACCGATGGTAGAGCAAGTAGGAAGCCGACGATGATGACAAAAGCCAATATCCCATTCCCAAAATAGCCCCATGCAATCGCAATCGGTACGTATCTACTTGCATCTTTGACCTCTTCTGACATATGCGCCGTGGCGTCGGAGCCTATGAGAATCGCCGTTAGTTCTTCTTCCAGGCATCGGATGTGGAGTGGGAATGTACTCAAGGATCCATAGATGGCAGTGATTTGACCTATTAGCAGGCTTATGCTCATGGAGGACCAGTTGCCACCATTGTGAAACTCAGTGAAGACCCTCTTTGCTGGGTTATGAGGGGCCATTGCAAATAAGACAACGACCACGACGACCCAACATAGCATGTGCAGCGCAAGCAAGATATTTTGCATCCGTGGCATCCAGCTCGCTGCATAGACATTGAAGAGGTAGATGACTGCAACCATGGCAAACACGAACAGTGTCCCCTGCCAGTTCTGCGGCTCATAACTGGGATCGTGAAGGGTGATAAGACCCTGGATAATGGTTCCAGTGAGGAAAGATCCAGATGCAGCTCCTGCCTGCCAAGCGAGGACGGACATCCATCCTGGCGATAGATTATTAATAGACACCGACTGGAATCGAAAGAAAGACCCTACCAGTCACGTAGCTGAGAAACTTTTGATAATGAGGCGAGGAGAACTCTGAGACCCAGTGGTATTGACCTCCTGAGGTTGGGGCCCTTGGGGGTAGAAAAAAGTACTCGTCAGAAACTGATTTTCAAAGCCAGCTCAATCAATTGGAAGCACACATCGAAGCCATCTCGGCTAAAGAGACAATGATGAAGCCAAATCCAAAGAATGTCCACACGTAGGACCAGAAAATCCCGGCGAGGCCACCGTTTTGAAGGCCTTGAGAGTTGGAGCTAAAAGGTATCAGTGGATGATCAAAGAAGATGGGCCTCTCAATGAGGCTTCCCAAACTAACATGAGTATGAATTCCCAAGTGGCCTGTAGGACAGCCGAGAAACTCAACGCAGCAAGTGGACGAAAGTTGCGCTTGAAATGTATCAGCCTATATTTCTCATGTCACGCCCAGAGAAAAGAGAGAAAGGTTTACTCTCAGCTCCGGTATCTTGCGCATTCGCCTCATATCCTCCCGGTCTTGTGGAGAGTCTTCCATTCGTGGCTCACCTGTGAGTGGCGAATCTCCATATAGCTCTTCCCACACGACTGAACAGTCTCCACGATAGGTGTCCTCTCCCCCGAATCGGATGATGCTGTCACTATCTGGAGGCATTTTTCCGGAGTGATACTTTCGATGTGTCGATTTTTAAGACTGTGTGTGAACGCCCGAAACACAAAATTGAAAGTGAAGAAGGGGAACGATTAAAAGAGAGAATAGATGAGTAGAGAAGTTTCGGATACCCGCTGTGGATGTCCCCACATTCATGATGAACAACCGTCTTCGAACTGCAGGCTCTTCTATGTACTCGGTATCGGGCTATATGTTCATCGACCCCAACTCAAGACCACATGGCAGCTGCCGGAATGTGAGACGGAATCAGGGTGATCTCCTGAAGTCTGCGATTATTTGAACGTTGGAAATGCTTATGGCTCCGGTCACATTGATTCATTGGCCAAACAAGCCATTTTCTACTACGCCCAGTCTCATTTCTCGGTGTACCCATCTCGTTCCTGGGACTGCTTTGTTACGTACCAACTTTGGAATGAGGCTATCAGACAAAATGCTTCTAAGACTAGATCCGTCATCATTTTCTCTTCATCGCCGCAGATCAGGATCTCAGGTCCTGTGAGCTCCCGAATGGATGCAAGGAATGTAGTCATCCCCAACTTGAGTCGCACAAGACACATTTTTACAACCTCTTTCGGTCAATTTCACAGCGGTCACAGGTATCATCCCGGTGACACAAAGAGAAAATAAGTTGAACCATATCGAAGGAATCTTGCGCATCAACGGGATTTCAAGCCGCCCTGGTGTCTCCTGTGCGCCCTTTCAGTTCTAATCACAATTTCAGCACTTGATATTGTGAAGATATCCAGACAAATTATTCTATTTGGGGATATGCCTCGCGAAATAGAAGATGGCCAGAGTACCAGGTATCATCAGGCCATGTGTTCGTTACTGTACGTAGCACAGCGCAACAAACCCCCCGATCCAGTACTTGATCACTACATACTTGGCACTCACGCCCAAAGTTACCTCAACTGCAACATAGATATAGCTAGCTAATCCCAGTCGTCATTCCGAAGAGAATGCTCAGCGCATCGATTATTGACTGGAAATGCACAAAACGGCCTTGGACATTCGGGGCGAAGAGACTTGGTAACAAAAACATCCTCGCATACCACGCTGGGTCTGAACAAATGCCCCAAACCGAGGCAAAGCTAGTTTTATGGAAGAGGCAATCCAGCCAACTGCGTTTGATCCAGGATCCCTGCCGTGCAGATCAGCAAATGCGCCAAGGTCAACTTCCAATTTCGACCTGGTCCGATGGTGGATAAAAGTCAGTGACTCGTGTTCGAAACCTCTGAGTGCTGAAATTCTATTTCTGAATGAGCCAAAGAAATTCGTGCGGGCAGGATGTATGCCAGATGAAGTCCGAGGGAATGCTGGGGGGATATTTTAGCTGTTTTTCGGCCATGGCGATGCTGCCCGTGCCATCAGGCCTAACGCCCCCACTGACGGTAAACAACGAGACAAACCATAATGGCGTGATCACCATCATCACCTCGTTTGCACTGTTCATTGTTCTGGGATCTCTGGGGATTCGGGTATACTCGGCGTACAGTAGGCGAGTGCAGCAGTTGGATGACTTGACTTTTGCGGCAACAGTGGTATGCCTTGGTGTCTTCGACGTATCCCGACACATCTTAAAAAGCACTGTTCACTGACAGTAGATTTACATAGATACTTGTCTTGGGCCAAATATCGGTGGTCTTTGCCCAGATCCACTTTGGATGGGGCAAGACAAAGACATTAATTGCAACTAAAGACCAACAGAAACTAGAAAAGGTGATGATCCAAGCCCAACTTGCGATGCTCCATGGGCGTATGCTTATTTAACCACAGGCAAGCTACAGTGCAGATATACTATATGCTGCTATCCTGTCCTCGTCAAAGGTGTCCACGGCGCTGTTTTACCGAACCATCACATTGCGTAGCTCACCCTGGATGAGCTATACCCTTCTTACAACAATGATAGTCTGTGCTCCAATCACCATCGTTCTCCTATCGGTTCGCTGCGATAAACATCCATGGCGCGATATAAATGACGAATGTAAAGCGCTGGTCAGTAGGTACGAGCGCCCTCTTGTTCAAATGAAGTTGACAAGGTCAACATCAGTTCTCTCACTGGAAGGCCATTACGACAATAGACATTTTACTTGAAGTTGCTCTACTGTTATACCCCATTCAGTCCATTCTGCGACTACAAACTCCCCTGGGCAAGAAGGTGACTGTGATATTGGTGCTTAGCTGCCGGGCACTGTAAGTGGATTTCACCCATGCTTAGTACACTCGCTGACAGGATTTTAACAATGCACAGATTAATCCCTGTCGTTGCGGTCCATCTATACTATATAGGCAAGCAAATGAGATCCCCTGATCCAACACTCGAAGGGACTTATGTCACCATTGTCGCCGAACTTCACGTGGCCCTCAGCGTGGTCGTTTTGATAGCACCCCTCATGAAACCATTCATTGCTGCATATGTAGACGAAAATGGACTTGCCTATACTGATGAGTTGTCTGCATCACGCACTAAACCGAAGCTCGTTCCTCGGTCGGGCAGGTCCAACGGGACAGATATTGGCGCACAACATGGTACATTCCCGTCGACAAACCGGATTATGAAGAGTATACACATCTCAGTTGATCGTGAGGATTTAGAGCTTTTCCAGCAATCTAAGAATTCTATCCGGTTGACCAGGGACACAGGTGATGATAAATCAAGAGGGGAGCTCATGATGTCCAAGAATAATTGAATAATTCATGTTAAATTCCAAGCAGCGTATCTTCAGAGCCTAATCGCCCGGTTCAATTTCAGATAGCCAGGGAGCGAAGGAAATACCACCATGCTACACTCTCGGCTCTGTTCAGTTCCCAGTTAGCCTCAGAAATAGTGTGCATATCATTACGAGGGGAAGCCTTATGCCATACCTTGGTGGGATCTGACCCTAAAGCCCACATTCCACGAGTGACAAATGTAGCCTGCAAATCACCAGGTCTTCTTCCCTCGAGAGACGATGCGATGATCTAATCAAAGAAGGCGTCGAAGCAGGACCTTCAGAATCTTGTCCTGTTTTGCAATGGACCGATTGAAGTACCTTTCGGTATCGGCGGTGTAATCAGCGAGAGCTTTGCGGCTGTTGAATCGCTTGGGAATCTCGGATCCTTCCCAACAGTCAAGTAGATCGACGATATTGACATGTACTTTTGCCAGTGCCTAACAGTATAAGTAACTGCCAACTCCGTCCAGGAAGGTTTGTTACCTTTTTGCACTTAGCAATTGAAGGCAGAAGCTCTTCAATGCCAACCTTGGCACAGAGATGTTGCCAGCAATCTAGCTTGCTCACGCGTGAGCCGATGCTTCGGTCGTATTCGGCATGCATGCAGGCATTCCACGCCTTCTTCCAGCGCTTGGAGCCTTTTTTCCAGCCTCTGGCTTGGCTGACTTGTCCAAAAGCGAGACTGATGGGTATGTCATCGTTGGTAGCGAAGCCATACTCCTGTAGGAATCTGTTGGGGGGTATTTTGGGAGCCATGGCTACACGCATCTCTGCCGTTCACCCGGTCATCTATCCACTCGACTTCTTGGATGACTATATCTGATGGAAATCTGACTCACCTCTGTGGGATAGATGAGTTGGAAGTAAATGTGGTTGAAGAAGGCTGATGATGATCAACTCGAGACAATGTGGCGTGAAGGTGATGAGTAAAGGCTAGGAAGCAGATAGCAAAAAAAAAGATGGATCTTTCAAGTAGGGAAGCTTCAAGCAAACAAAGTAATCTGTTTGTAAACCATGGGTATAGATCTGGTGTACTTTGAGATCTTAGATGTTTCGCCCATACCCAAAGATTTCTACAGAGTAATCCAGGACTAAGTGAAGCAAATTGTTTGTTAATAGAAAAGAACGCTTCTGTTGATATTCACTTTTAACCTTCTTATCATAGAGCCCGTAATCATACCCAGTACTCGTACTCAATAGTATTATCTATTCTCATTTCAACTTAGAAGTGTCCAGTTGCCCATCTATGTCTTAGACGGTGGTATTCTTGAACCCTCAAAGATAGGTCCTTGTGAGCAGCTTAGCACACATAGCAATATCGATTCATTATAAGTCAAATTGGGCCATTAACCCAAGAAAAACAAAAGGAAGCGATGCATTCTGTTACTTCATATGTAAAACGAAGCATGTACTAACGGCTCTGTGTCACCATGATGCAAGCCAAGCTAGCAATCAGTCTGATTTTGAATCCTGCACACAAACATATTTCATTCCGGAAAGGTACTTTGTCGGGATACACAATATTTGAAGCGTTCAAATTGAAAATCAGAATATAATAATGAAATCCGTGGTCACATGTCAAAGGATGGTGTTAAAGATTCATTAAGGCTTTTCCAACCTGAAGTTTGCGATTAGTATATAGACGATTAATGGTATAAACCTTGAGGACACTGGTTTTTGTGAAAGATAGGGGGAAGTGAATTGGGATTTGAACCCAATGGACTCGAATCGTTTACATTAACCCTTCAGTTATCACTATGGCATGCCATGCTACCTATCACAATGAGCCCTCAATCCGATGGCGATAGTCTAAAGCACTCATTGCCACGGGACTTTCACTAAACGAAATGAGGCACAGATTTGGTTCCAAAATCTCGAATCAAATCTGCTAAATTGTATGTTCTCCCATGTTCAAGGTTGTCTACCGAATGTATCGTGCTTAATCGATATCTCAATGCCGAAAGATATGGACGTAACCAGGTTGTTGAATTGGGAGAATTGTGTCCCGAAGTCGCATTTAGCTGGGTTCTCACCACGCGTGTCAGCACGCACTATTCTTGATCAGAGGCATGCTTCAGAAGTTATTAGACTAAATCTTGGGGTGACTGGGATGGTCTTCGCCGATCGGCACACACACTTTCTCTGTGTGGAGTCAACACACCCTTGGACTTACCGCTGCAGGATGACGCTCATAGTTTTCTGAAGCCAAAACGATGAATTTGCGGTCTGGGTGAAGCTCGGCTCTGCAGCCATCCATTATGACTGTACCACCCTTCTATCATTGAGCATCAGCCATATTAGCACGTTCTGCGAGAAGCCTAGAAAGAGTGGTGTCATTTTCACCAAAGGTGTTGCAGAGCCGATAGCCGACGCTATGGCCCCAGCCCTGTGGTTCAACTTATTTGAGCGGCCAAGTGAATTGAAGGGCTTGGGTCTAGGCCGAGGCGTATTTCGCAACCCGAGCGCGATAAATCAAACCTTAAGATCTTTGCTGTTTCAAATTACGGCAGTTTTGCTGCTCGCTCTCCAACATGTACGGAGTAAGATGCAGATGCAACATGTGGCATCTGGTCACCCCCTTTTTCCAAAATCGCGCACCAACAAGTTCGCATTGGTTGTAAAACCAGAACACCACTCAAATAATCAGCACCAAACAAACAAAAACAAAAATAGAACGTTGTACCTTCGAATGTTCCAAGGTTGTTTCTCCGCGGGTGGATACAGTGAACCAATCAGCATCGATACAATCTGAGGATGTCAACGTTCCAAGATTCCAAGACTCTGAGGCTCACTCCAGAGGTTAAATGGCCTCCACTTTCACTGCTCCACTCCGGGGAAGCTATGGCTTTTATTCTCCATGCCCGGAGCGGTCGACCCGACAAGCCGAATCATATCTTGGAAGCCCTTGGCAGATGCAAAACGCGGGGAAGCTCCAAGATGGTATCACACGGGCGATCAGCCCGGGGCGCTCTTACAAACACGCATTGAAAAAACTGTGAATCCATGTGGCATTTCTTATTGTATAAAATGATCTTGGCATCAGCTTGGGCCTCTAGATCTCCGCGATGATAGGCAGATTCTATCCCGTGATGGCGTGCTATGGCGTATCCGCCGTCACCGGTTGCGTGCGATGTTCGAATCGCATGTCGCGCAAGATATTTGCTTTAAAGTCTGTTACGCTGGGCTCGAATGATCGTGTTTTTTCTTCTTCTTCTATCCCGTTGTTGATGTTCTCCGGGCCTCTGGTGGTATTGCATCGATCTGTCACACAGCATGGGGTTGCAAGGAACACGGCTTGGCGCCTTCCGGGCATACTTCTTCGGATTCTTCATCTGCACCGCGGGTTTCCTTTTTGGATATGACACCGGAATTGTCGGTACGTGGATATGGCTCGCTTCCCTTCATGCATCATACTGAGTTTCTGAATATAGGTGGTATCCTGGAGTTCCAGTCCTACATCAATGACTTTGGCTATAAGGATCAAACTACCGTCAGTGCGGTAATGGTCAGCTTGCAAAATGTCGGCGCCTTCCTCTCTGCCCTGAGTATCTTCTGGGTTTCTGAAATGTTTGGTCGGAAGAAGACGGTTCAGGCAGCCATGGGAGTCTTTTGCATCGGTGTCATTTTGCAGGTTGTGCCATCCCACTCCCTCGTTTGCTTTTACATTGGACGTTTCGTGGCTGGTCTCGGTCTTGGTGCAGGCACTGCCGTTGTACCGGCATACAACGCAGAGATGGCCCCCAAAGAAATTCGCGGAAAGCTTGGATCGGGAATGCAGTGGCTCTTTGCCCTGGGTGTCATGCTGAGTTATTGGATCGACTATGGAGTCAAGGTCGGTCTGCCTGTTTCTTCAAAGCAATGGCAAATTCCAGTCGGCCTGCAAATGGTTCCTGCAGGAGTTCTTGCCCTGGGTCTTTTTGCCATGCCTGAGAGTACCCGCTGGTTAGCCAAGAAAGGTCGCTTCGATGAAGCATTTGAGAGTTTGAAATGGATCCGGGCTAGCGATGGTAAGGAATAAGTGGTAATTATTGTTGACAGGACACGGCTAAATAATTCCAACAGGGCCGGAAGTTAAGGCAGAGTTCAACGAGATCCGAGTTGGACTTGAGGAAGAGCTGAGAGCCACGGAAGGCTTCCAGAAGCGCGAGCTCCTTGAGCCTGCCAACCGCTATCGACTGGCGCTTGCCTTTTTCATGTTCTGCGGCCAGCAGTGCACCGGTATGACGGCGCTGGCATACTTTGGTCCTCAGTTCTTCAAGTTGATTGTCGGTGACAACACCGACCAGTCACTTCTCATCACCGGTCTGTTTGGAGCCGAGAAATTCGTCACTGTCGGCATTTATATTCTCTTCTTTTCGGAGATGTGGGGACGCAAGCCTACTCTTTGGATTTCAGCTCTGCTGATGGCCTGTTGTTTCATCATTGTCACAGTTGTCAAAGAGACAACACCCAAACCAGATGCCAAGGCAACCCCGGCTGGTATAGGAATGGTTGCCATGATTTTCTTGACCAACTCAATTTACCAATTCAGTTGGGGGCCCTTGCCATGGCCGTACACCGCCGAGGTAAGTACTTTGTAAGAATGTATGATGAGTGCTCTCACTAACAATGATCTAGATCTTCCCGACTCGAATCCGTGCGGTGGGAACCTCCGTCGCAGTGTCAACACAGTGGCTGTTCAATTTCCTCTTCTCTCTGGTGACGCGCTACATGATGAACGCGTGGGGCAGCTATGTTTTCACATTCTATGCTATCCTTGATATCATCATGGCTATCATCGTGTTCTTCTTTGTCAAGGAAACCAAAGGGAAGAGTCTCGAGGAGATGGAGAGCATCTTCAACAGCAGGGCTGCATTCGATGTAGATGCTGTGCGGCGGGAGACACTGAAGGACGTGGATGAGGTGAATGTGCAAAACAAAACCGCCGACTATCCTTAATATACCCTAGCGCTATTCAAATAAATGTGTACATCTTTAATAGTAATCAGATCTATCTATAGATGTTGTTGTGAGGTAGAAGTTGGCTGTTTTACCCAAATAGGAAAACGCCCCCACCGGCGAATTATCGGGGAATTGTGACCCAGCGATATCATCTCGGCCCACTCACTTCCTACTTCTTATATATTGAGAGGCTCATGGCCCATTTCGTAGTCCGTGGATTTATTCCGTACGCTGTTTCTAAATTCAATTTATCATGGCCGCTTCAGCAAAACGCCCTGAGATTATCGAGCTCGCCCGCGGGCTAAGAGGGGTGCCCATGTGCGAGGACTACGAACGCATGATCTCCGGCATGATGTATGTCCCCCTCTATATATAGCCCTTGAGAAGACTAGGCCAACGTGGGATTTCACAGGTACAATCCCAACATCCCGCAGCTGCTTGAAGCACGCTATCTATGTCGTGGACTTTCCGCAGACTACAACAACCTGGACACGAAAACAGTGACGTATGATCAAATCGGCGACAAGCGATTGGAGCTTCTCCGCAAGCTGGTCGGCAAAGTGGGGGATGGCACTTTCATTGAGCCGCCTTTTCTCCCGGACTACGGCTGCAACACCGTGATTGGAAAAGATTGTTTCTTTAACTGGAAGTAGGTGATGTTCCCTGACCCCTGCCCCGCGACCCCATCTTTATGCTCACCCATTCTTCTAGCGTGACCATCCTAGATACTAGCCTGGTCAGCATCGGCGACCGGGTGCAGATCGGTACCGGGGTCAGCATCATCACCGCAGGTCACGATACCAGTGTGTTGTCGCGTCGGAAGTTCGTCGAGTTCGGCCACCCGATCTTCATTGAGGATGATTGCTGGATCGGGAGTAACGTCGTTGTCCTGCCCGGTGTCACGATTGGCCAGGGTTCGACCATCGGGGCGGGATCAGTGGTCACTAAGGACATCCCGCCATTCTCCATCGCAGTAGGCACGCCGTGTCGGGTAAAGAAGACGATCCAATCGGCAGAAGAAGAGGAGCAGGATCCTAACAACCCGTATCGCAATTTGGTCCGCGAGGATCGGTAATGGAATCCAATTGAATCTATAGAATTGCAAACCCACTCCGACGTACATGAATGTGTAGGAGGTGAAGGTCGCAAAATTTCCCCAAGTGTCTAGGATATGGCAGTGTACAGCGGCCTAGCTTCCCTTATGAATTCTACCCACGGAGTAGACTGTTTCGAATTTAATTGTTTTTAGTATATGCTTCTGTATAGTTCAATTTTTTTCTCTTTAAACTGTTTTTGTTCAGTCTTCTTTCCTTCTCTCTACTGTTCCCACTTGAATACTCTCTTGAATACTCTTTAAATTGATAAAGGAGGGTAGGCCGCTGTTTACTACTGCCGATATCTCCCGTCTGCGGCATTCCCTTTTGGGGTAAGTTCCCGACCCCGCGGACTAGAATCTTCACGTTTGCGGGGCAATCGCTGGACAGCTCTGGACATGATGGGATGAGCTGTCCAATTCCTTCTATTCCGCCGAACGGATTTAGCACCGTGGAGCTGATAAATCGAACCTGCAATGACTCAATTACCAGGACCCCACGTCTGCTACCAGGAGATTGGCAGCTTAGACCCTGATCGTCCCCCTCTCGTCTCTATTTAAGATCTTTGCATTGCGATTCCTCATTCCAGGTTGATTAAAGACCTGTCATCAACTTTCCATCATGTCATTGTTCAACGCCCTTCGACACGAGGTCAAGCCCACATCCACCGTCGCTCCCCTCCCTCCGGTTGAGTCGAGCTCCACGGCTACAGTAGGGTCGTCCGTACAGCATGAACCTGCAGAAGAAAATTTGAACCCAAGGGAGGGCCAGGTAGTCTTTGAACAGACATTGCCTAGTCGAACGACAGAATCTCGCCGTGTAGCCATTACTGCGCTGCTGGTTCTGGCCAATTTGGTACAGGTACTGTCTGACCTCCGCAACCAAGGATATTGTCTCATCCCGGCTAACACCACTAGATGACTGTCAACTTTGCAGGAATCGCTGGGGGCAGTGTTTTGATTGAAGCTTTAGGCGCCAAAGAAAGCTATGCCTCGTGGATTGCTGCTAGCTATGCGTAAGACACCCATGTCACTTGGACTTCAGGTTGATCGCAAGGGCTAACAGGCTTAGTCTCACACAAGGAACATTTGTCCTGGTTAGCGGTCGATTAGGCGATGTCTACGGCCATCGAGAACTCCTCCTGGCTGGTGGTGCCTGGCTCACCGTGTGCACTCTGGCCAGTGCCTTCTGCAACAACTTCTTTGCCTTTGTCACCATGCGCGCGCTGGCAGGTCTCGGGGGAGCTTTCATCATGCCAAACGCTGTAGCAATGATCTCAAGCACCAACCCCCCCGGTCGGGTGCGAAATCTCAGTCTGGGCATGTTCGGGGCATCCGCGCCCATGGGAGGGTATTTTGGGGCTTTGTTCCTGGGTGCCTTTCTGCAGCACACAGAATGGAAGTGGTTCTTCATTTTCATGTGGGTTTTCGGCGAGACGAGCGACGATTCATGCTGATTTGTCTTCAAGTGCCTGTTTCGGTGTCATTATTTTCGTTCCTTTGTGGGCCCTGAGCCCGCGTGAGCCACCGGTCGATCGACATGGGAAGGTTGACTGTATTGGGTCGGCTCTAGGGACGAGTTCGCTGATTCTCTTCAACTTTGTCTGGAAGTAAGTCCCCTTTGTCAATCAAATCCCGGTCGAGCTGACCCCAGTCATAGCCAAGCACCGAGTGTGGGATGGTCAACGTCCTATGAAATTGTTCTGTTAATTAGTTCAGTCATCTTGTTTGCCGGCTTCCTTCTGTGGGAAAAGAAATATGCCGCAGAGCCAATCATGCCTCTCGATATATTCAAAGCTCCATCGTTCCTGACGCTGCTCCTAGTAGTCTTGCTCAACTACATGGCTGTCGGTACCGTGATCTGGTACCAGGTGCTGTGGCTGACGAAGGTTTGGCACTGGTCCCCCTTGCAGTTCGCGGTGGGATGGACCCCCTTTGTTATCTGCGCGACAGGGGCCGCCTGCCTCGCTGCCTGGATGATCCCACGACTGGCTGCTCAATGGATTCTGGCCATTGGGACCGTGACCATCCTTGTCTCCAGCGTGCTCATGGCGACTGTGCCTGTCCACCAGACATATTGGGCCCAGATCTTCCCTTCCATTGTGCTGTTTTCTTTCTGTCCTGACTTCGTGTACACGGCTGGACAGATCATTGCCAGCAATTCGGTACGTCGGAATCAACAGGGCATTGCTGGGTCTGTGATTGGCACCCTGAATCTCTATGGGTGTAGTCTCGGGTTAGGGTTCGCTTCCACAATTGAAGAGCAAATTACCCGGAAATCTGGGCAGATCATGGGGTATCGAGCGGCCCTGTATTTCGCTGTGGCTATCAGTGCCGTGGCCCTCATTCTTGACGTATGCTTTGTCAGACTAGTCAAGGATGAGCGAGAGGGGTGGCATGAGGAGAGCGTAACCAATGAGTTTGAGCTCACCGCAGCAGCAGCGACTGGTGTGCGGTTGCCCAACGCATAGGACGTCATCGGCAATACATCGGCAGGCCGAGCGTGGGATGCCGACGGGGCATCCCCGGGGTCTCGTGAACAAAGAGTGGAGCGAGGGAATTAAAAGTAGGCGAGAATCGATTTGTCACAGTTTTTCTTATTGTTTTTTTCTCCGGAATACGAAACGTGGTGACCCCAGATCCCGAATTGACCTTTCAATGGAATGAATCCGGGGACAATGAGATCACCAGTTGTAATTAAACCCCCAAATCCCCCATTTCCCCATCATCCCATCATCTTCGGTGAGAGAAAGTAGGATAGCAACAGAGATGATTGCGGAGAGGCGGGGAACTAAGTGCCGCGGAATTGCGCAAAGCCGGGTTCACCTCACTTCTTCCCCACCCCGTGTCTCTCGCTTGGGCCGGTTTCTCCCGTTTTTTTTTGGGCTTTTTTTCTCTCTTGGGTGCCGTGGCCGTACACACAATCAGAGAGAGTCCCGCATCCCGGTGCCGAGAATGCAATTTGCTGAGCCGACTATCCTATCACAGGCCCTCCCGCTCCACCCCTGTCGCATTCGGGTATGGATCGCCACATCCCCAACCTGGGTCTCAGTGCCTATCGGCCATTCGTTCTCAGGGCCGAGTGCTTCATCCTGGCCGGTCACCCAGTGAAAACTTCCCGGGTCCCGAATCGGCGAAGGGGTCTGCTCCACTGTGACCCCCGCGTCACACGGTTTCGGGCGTGGGGGTACCGGGGTAGTACTCATAGTTTTGAGAAGAAAAAAAAATGTTAGCGCGGGGGGACACCGAGATCCCGTGAACTTGGATCCGGGGCTCGCTCATTTTTTTTTCGTATATTAAAGGCTAATCGCCTGCTGGAATTTCCCCGGATTGTTCGACCTGGTTGAGACATTCACACACACAATGGCGGACGATATCTCACGACAAACTGACCGGATAGAGCTGGAGGCTGACAAGGAACGTGTCGAAAATGTCGAGCACGTTGCCTCACCCAAAAATGGCCTCCATCAGATTGACCCGGCTCGCCGTGTCGTCGTCGAGAAGTCGCTGAAGCGGAAGCTGGATGCCCGCTGCAGTCTGTTCGTGGCCATCTACATCATGAACTACCTGGACCGAAACAACATGGCCGCAGCCCGTCTCAAGGGTCTACAGGAGGATCTCTCCCTCACAAACACCGAGTACTCAACCTGTCTGAGTATCTTGTACGTCGGCTACATCATCATGCAAGTCCCGTCCAACATGTTCATCAACCGCATCTCGCGGCCCTCTATCTACATCGCCATTGCTATGCTGCTGTGGGGAATGATCTCCACCTTGTCCGGTAACACGAAGAATTTCGGCCACATGGTCGCTGTCCGATTCCTGCTGGGCTTCGTGGAAGCTGCTTTCCTCCCCGGTGCCCTTCTGATTCTCTCCAAGTGGTACACTCGCCGCGAGTTGACTACCCGCAACGCCATCTTGTTCTGTGGAAATCTGATTTCCAATGCTTTCTCCGCTCTCGTCGGTGCCGGTGTTCTCTCCAACATGCAAGGCACTCTCGGTCACGCCGCCTGGCGCTGGCTGTTCTGGATCGAGGGTTCTGTGACTATGTTCCTGGCCATTCTCGCTGCCTTCATCTTGCCTGATCTTCCTCACAACGCCCGTGGCTTCACTGAGGAAGAACGCCAGGTAGCTCAGCTTCGCATGTTGGAGGATGTCGGTGAAGCTGACACTGACGGTGACGAGCTGACTGCATTCGGTGGTCTGATGATGGCCCTCAAGGATATGAAGATCTATGTTATGATGTTCACTTTCGTTGCCTACGTTGTGGGATTGTCCTTCAATGCTTTCTTCGTGAGTCCTTCCCGGTTTCGCATTCAAACCCTCATTCTTCCCATACTAACATCTCCATAGCCCACTCTGACCGGTACCCTTGGCTTCGGCTACGTCCCCACTCTTCTGATGAGTGCTCCCCCATGGGTTTTCTCTTGCATTGTCTCCGTCATCAACGCATGGCACGCGGACAAGACGCAAGAGAAAGTCTGGCACATCTTCGGCCCCATCATTATGGGTGCCATCGGTTTCATCATCTGCATGGCCACAAGCAACGTGGCTGCTCGCTATGTCGCTCTGTTCCTGCAGGCTGGTTCCTACGCAGGCTTCATTGTCTTCTACTCGTGGATCAGTTCCTCCTTCCCCCGTCCCCCAGCCAAGCGTGCTGTTGCCATCGCCATGATCAACGCTTTCAGTCAACTGGGCAATGTCGCCGGTTCCTACGTCTGGGACCTCGAGGAGAACGGATACCGCTCCAGCTACGGTATCGTCCTGGCCATGTTCGGTGTTACCGTCGCTGGCTGCTGGTACTTCCGCTCTATGCTGCTTGGCTTGAACAAGCAGCTTGAGGAGGGTGAGATGGCGGATGTCAATGGTGGAAACTCGAATGAGAATGATATTCTGGAGAGTAACGATGAGTCGCTGCGTATGCGCAAGGGCTTCAGATATCTTGTTTAGTGTGTTCCTTTTTTTGTACGGATCATCTCCGGCAACCTGTTATCACTCCGCTTGGAATTGAAGCAGGACATATATGTTGTGGGCGTGACAATCCGCCCTGACTAGTTTCTCAATATATGATATACGATCTTGCATCAAAATTTTTGCAACCTTGCTATAATTCAAGTAGATCTCAAGCCTCACCTCGAAAGTTCTTGGTACACATTCGGTGACACTACATACGGAGTAGCCCGGAAGGTATCTACGAGTTCGGTCTCGTTTTCATCATTCAGCCACACCCAACCAGTCAAGCGTGGTTGTTGACCAGGGCTTTGGGGCAAGTACATGTAGTAATATTAATACAGCATCAGACTAAACTCAGATGCCTTTTCTTAATCTAGATGAAATTACAAACTCTTCTTGGCCGCATCAGACTTTTGCTGTGCAACAATAAATCCAACAGCACGGGCAATACCCTCGTCCAGGGGCACAACGGGCGAATATGCCAGGCGATGCTTCGCCTTCTCGGTCGAGTAGTAACGGGTCATGCACGAGTAGCGGACAGTGCGAGCCGTGAGACGCGGGGTCTTACCGAACAGGCCCATGACAGTCTCCGCGATACCACCAACGGTCTCAAGAAGACCTTCAGGAAGCGCCCACACCTGGTGTGGCTCGACAATGCGGTCAATCAGTGCCCACATGGAGCGAGTCACGTCCCAGAAGTACACGGGTGAGTCGTTGGTGATGTTGAATGCCTCGCCGTCCACGCGCTCGTGGTCCAGGGGCCCGCCCTTGCCAGCTGAGATAAGGTCGTGGCTCGCCAGGAGCCGGTGTCCGGCGAGCAAGTGGCCGTAGACCACATTACCCACGTAGGTGAAGTCGAACAGGTTGTCGTTCTCGCCAAGCTGCATGCGGAGCACGCGGTCGGAGGCCTGTGAGCCATGCTCGAGGATCTTGTGTGTGACGGTCGTGTCCTTTTCGCCGTGGATGCCGGCGGGACGAATGGCGGCTGTCAACATCCCTGTCGGGGACTGCTTGTTGTACTTCAGGACGAGTTCCTCGGCGTCGGCCTAGTTCCACGCAAAGGGAGGTTAGCGATTGAGCACGGGGTCAGGCTTGGTCGGGGACGAGATTCACTGACCTTAGTCTCGGAATAGTACTCCTTCTGCGCAGGTCCGCGAATGTAGGGCCATTGCTCGTTCACGTTCTTCAGGTCACTCTGGGTGTCGTGGACCACGGAGCTGGAGCTGGTGTACACAAAGGCCTTGCACTTGCCACCCCAGTCACCGTGCTCACCACCAGCAACCTCGAGGAGTGTCCGTGTGCCTTCGACATTAACCTTGTGCAACAGAGGCTTGTTACCCTCGATCATCGAGGGCGACGCAGTGTGAATGACAAGATCGGGCTTGACGGCACGGAAGACTTCCATCATGGAGTCAACGGAGGTGATATCGCCATCGTAGTACTTGGCGCCCGGAAGGCGGTTATTCGTTGTGCGCAAGTCGACCACTGACACGGTTGAGTGGGTGGTTGGGTAGCGGGAACCCAGAGTGGGATACTCGAAGCGCGCGTCGCCGACGGGCTTCGCGAGTGCGTAGCTGGGGTCGGTCTCGGAGGGGAAATTCAGCAAGTGATCGACCATGTGCCACCCCAAAAAGCCACAGCCTCCAACGACCAGGACATTGCCCAGTTCTAGTGTGCGTCTATTAGCTGGCATACTGTAGATTCTTTGGAGATGTGTGTACTGAGAAAAGGAGAAATCTGGCGTGGAGATAAGGTGATCCGTGCGGGCGGAGGTCTTAGTATGGGGGCGCCAATTACCGAACTTGGCATTTGCAACTCGCTTCTGGTTTATTGTGTTGATTTTGGAATCACTGAATATGCCTGAGTTGTTTTATTTTGTTTTGTTTCAGTTTTAATTCCTACCAGCTAAAGATTCTCAAACGATCATAGGATCATTGGCTGGATAAGTATGCAATGCCACAAAGGCTCATCTCTTCGTGAATATCAATAAGCAACGGTCTTGACCGAAAGAGAAGCAAATCGATGAGATAAGTCTTCACACTTCCTCCAGGGACGCTCGCACCTTGCGTCTGTACACCCGGCGCTCGGCTTCCGATCCCCAGCAGAGTGCGGTTGCCTCAGGGTGCACCGTCATCAACGGGTTATATGGCGGATTGTCTTCTTCCAGAGTATTAATAATACCATCGATGTGATGTCTGATATCTTCGTCGTGGGAGGGAAGGTAAATCAAGACACCCAGCTTTGACACTCGAATATGATAGATGGGGGATTCAACAAAAACACGAGGTTGTTCGAAGGGGTGTCGTGGGCTAATGTAGATCTTGATCTTGACGATGCCACCTTCTAGTCGAGATTCTGTACGACCAGCATAGATAAGCTGCCACAGGAACGGGTTCTCATCGACCAGTGAGAAATCCATTATTTGGGTATGGGCGCTTAGTTCGGCGAGAATCTGTGCATGTTGGGCCTTCAATTTGACCGCAATCCCGGCGTCGGCCTCGAGCAGAGCCAAACCTTCAACTGGCCATCGGTGGGTCTCCTCCATCAGCTTGTCTCGAAGATCCAAGAAACGGGTTCGTAAGCTGTAGTAGTTCCACTCGCCCATCATAGTGTTACCTGGAAACTCAAAAGGCATTGTGATGAATGGATCGCCCGGCTTTCTAGCTGTGTCTGCAATGCCTTTGTCAATGGCAATTTGATAGTGTTCAAAGTACCATAAAAATCGCCGCTTGTAGTAATCATCAAAGTTGTCATGAGATGGAGAAAAGTCACGCTGCTCGCCCAATTCGTCGTACAGATCGTCTGAATAGGGTGCGTCGTCTGTACCGTGTCTTGGGAGAGGTAAGAGAGCTTCAGTGCCCGCCTGCACTCTATCACGTCGAGAGGAGTTCTCAAACGCTCGTTCTAGTGGGACTATCACTGCCAGTCGAAGGGTCTCATGTCGTATCTGAAATTTCAGTGTTTAGCGTTGATCGTATCATGCAGGTTCTTCGGAGGCCTGCTCTTGACTCATGTGATAGAACTTGCCTTTGACTTGTATGTCTCCATATGTTCCACGTCGTTGGATCTGCTGGGCTCGTCATATCCTGGCTCCATCGTGTAGGGGTTTGCCGATAGAAGGCTTTGGATTGAAAGCAGCACCGATTCAAGTCCCTGTGCGGGTGACCACTGCTCTCCACGTTCCCCGTGCCATGTTCTACGGTGGTGAGCAAGGTTTTGGATTCCAGACATATAGAGAGATCACTGACCCCAGGATGGATCTGAAAAAAAGTCAGCATATCCTGGTGTGACTATTGATCGAGCTTGACTTACAGACAGACTTTGCCGCTGGCATAGAGGTTGGGGCCAAATCTTGTTCGCCCTCTGTTGGTCGTTTTGATCTGGACTCTGGGAGGGTTGGCTGGATAATCTAAGGAACTGTGATCAGTAGATGGTGTGGCTGGGCTCTCCACGGCTATCTCACCTATCGGAACTTTGATCGAGAACTGTCATACCGTTAGGGACCAGGTCTCTAATTACGAAAGCGAAGATCTCACCTCAAAGAATCCGAGTTCATAAGGAGTACCTGGAGGTCCGACGATGATGGCCAGGATATCACGTATGTTGCTTTCGTCATAGCGGACGGTGAACGCTGTAACCGGGTCAGCCAGGGAGGGTATGTTGACAGCATATTGTCACCATGCTGCTCCGGACACTAAGAAGCCTACCGAAGTGTTCACTCCGCTCAAGTTGGTGCAGCTCCTGACATGGCGAGGTTAGTTCCAGCTCAGTGGTTGACAGGGCTTGGCATACCCGGATCAGACGCAGACTACACTGATCGCCCATCTTGTAGAATCTCCGAAATGCTCATGAGGAGTTGGTTCAATGTTGTGTCAATTATGCTGGTCAGATCACCTTGCGAGGCGAGGAGTATTGAAGGGAAAGGAAAAGGTACAACGGTAATTAAATAGTGTTCCGCGAAACCGCCTGTACCCTTTTTTTACTTCCTCTTTGCTTTTCTTTCACTTGGCATCTTTTAATGGGTTATGGTCAGATTGTATTTTACATCAAGAATACACATACTGTTTAATTGGAGACTGTACCTGGGGATAAACATACTGTTGTTTGCCATGACTTGTGTATATTTGGGGTATGAGAAAAGCACTACACCATGATGATGGCTGCTTAACAGCTCTAGAGTCTAAGAACATCTACTTGTATCATATGTTGTCATATGACCATCAATTATTTATATTAAATACCAGTCTATATTGCTACACAGAACTTTAGAAAGGAATAGAAGAACCCAACTGTAGAAGTCTCGGGATAGTACTGCGTAGACTTCCCAGTGCTTAAGTATAAGAGTAGGTTAAGCTTGCCCGTTCTATAAAAAGTATCTAAGGGATGCAACTCACTTAGGTATGCAGTCAGTTTCACACCCAAAGGCAACAGTCAATGAAATCTCTCTTTTCCCAGAGGGATCTCTGGCTAAAAGATATTCTCTCGACTGCCTCGAGAAACTGCTGTTGCAACTGCGAATATCTTCAGTAGACCCTGTACACGTGACCCGGGGACCATAATTAAGGGGAGGGGGGAGGGCAACAAAGTGTAGCCATCTCCATCGTCTCCATTCCCCAGCCCACTTCTTTCCCCCCTCTCTTGCACCTTATTTTTTTTTTTGACCTTTTGAGGATCATTCAATTTGGGAGGAATGAGAGGAATTTGCGCTGATTCTTGGTCTGACTTCGAAAGCTCGAATCCTGGCCCCCGCGTTTAGCCTGCGCCGCTTGACCTTTCTACAAACACTATACCGCCAGTGTGAACCACGTATCTCGTTTCTTCGTGCGCGACTCCGTCTCTTCTTGCAGACAACCCCTCGAATACAGATCCTTGGACTACATGGCGTGAGGGTGAGTATTTCGTACTGTCAAAGTCGACTCGGCCCTTGTGATTCTAATTTAAGAATCAGATTACCATACGCGCCCAACTCATCTCCTCACCGTTCGTGACCGCGTTCCGTCTACTCAACACCTTCGTCCGACCATCCCCTATTGCATGCGTTCGGCGTAATCCAATTCAACAGCCCCACACTTTCCTTTTCTGACGGGGGACCAAGATGCCCCCCGGTGGACTCCCAGCCAGCCTGGTCGCAGGCAACCCCAGCGGCCGTCCCACCGTCGACACCTCTGGCTACGGGGCTAACTATAGCAAAAATACACCTACCTCCCCAGAGGACAGCTTGATTCCTCCCTTCGACTCCCCCTCAACACGAACCGCGGGTCCAGTCACCCCAGTCGAGGATGGACGCTCGGGTCGTGGACTGGGCCCCGACCAGGCTGGCTATCGCGACCGCTCCGCCCCCCGAGATCGATCGCGAGTCCACGGGCGTCAAAACAAATCCCCTGGCGGCTCATCGCGCCTGTGCCAGAAGTGCGGTGAACCTCTCACTGGCCAATTTGTTAGAGCGCTGGGCGGTACTTTCCATTTAGAATGTTTCAAGTGCGAAGTGAGTCGAGTTCTTGGTTTTCTTTTTTCTTTGAAACTGCTGCTAACTTTTCCCCCTTCTTTCTTTGTTAGGATTGCGGCGAGATTGTGGCTTCTAAATTCTTCCCTGTCGATTCCGAAGACGCAAACTGTCAATTTCCGCTTTGTGAAACCGATTACTTTAGACGACTGGGCCTTCTATGTCACGAGTGCGGCGGCGCGCTGCGTGGTTCATACATCACCGCATTAGATCGAAAGTACCACATCGAACACTTCACTTGTTCCGTGTGTCCAACGGTTTTCGGGGCTCAGGATTCATATTATGAGCATGAGAGCAAGGTCTATTGCCATTTCCATTACTCTACACAATTTGCACAGAGGTGCCATGGCTGTCACACTGCGATTCTGAAACAATTCGTCGAGATCTTCCGCAACGGCCAAAATCAACACTGGCACCCCGAATGTTATATGATCCACAAATTCTGGAACGTCCGGTTATCGCCTGCTGGTCAGACGTGGGAGCCCCCGCCAGTGGACGAGGATGCCAGTGAACAAGAACGCAAGCAGATTCGCGACGAGGAGGATGTTATGGAAGACAAAGTCTTCAACATTTGGAATACCCTCTCCACCTTTGAAGAATCATCTGCCGCTTGCATCTCAGATATGTTGCTCCATGTCAGCAACGGCGCTTACCTAGACGGTGTTCTAGTCGCCAAACGCTTCATAGGCCATGTGGAAATTCTCTTCGGCGCAGTCGATGAGTTAGCGACCTATATCAAATCGCACGAGCTAAAAGGTGAGCCTGGCAAGGGTCATGTCGTTTTCTGAGCTGGACGCTGACTGAATTTAATGCAGAACTCTCTTACGGCCGCGAAGCAAAATTACTCTGCAAAAAGATCGTTGCCTTCTTTGCCCTATTATCCAAGACACAAGAGACCGGTGTGCGGAAACTCGGTGTCACCCAGGAGCTCCTTTCGCTGGTGACAGGTCTGGCTCACTACCTCAAACTTCTTATTCGCATTGGTCTGCAAGGTGCATTGAAACTCGAACGGGAGAAGTCTGCACCTGATGGATTACAGCACTTCCTGGAACATTTACGTGATCTAGAGTCACTTGCAGAGATGGAGGATGAGAACGTCCAGCTTGACTTGATGGAGGGTGTGGAGGGCCTGGCCGATCAATTGTCAGATTGCTGCATTTCGTGCAAAGAGCCAATCGATGACGAATGTGTTCTTCTCGGAAAGAGTCGATGGCATACCAAGCCACCTCATCTCTCTTGTGTCGCATGTGAGAAGGACTTGACCGCTGATATCCAAACCGCATTATGGAGTCAAAGTGAAGAAAAAGCTTATTGCGACGCCTGCGCCCATCAGCAGAATCTTGGCTCTGCCGTTGAAGGTGGCTTTGTTCCAGTCTCCAAGCTGCAACAGTTCATTTTCCTGCTCAAGGTAGCCCTCGCACGGCTCCTCGCCGTACTTCGGTCCGGAGGAACCTTGCCTCAAACGTCAGGTAAGCTTCTCTCACATCGCCGATCCACCGCTGGCAGCCTCTCTAACTTGATAAATCACCTCAGACGATCCTACCCTCAGTGAATACGAGAGCAAGGATGGCCATCGAGTCAGCCCCGAGGTTCGACGGGCCAACGCTCGCTCTCAATCATACGGAGGTGGCTCGCGAGAGGGGATGGAAGAATCATCGCTTGAGCAGACTGTCGGCGAGATGCGCCGACTGCGTTCGATTCGCAATGAGCGAACCCTGTCCACAACCTACAAGAGGGCCCGTGCGTCCAGGATCATTGACGGTCCCGAGGGCAGAAGCGCTCGACCAGGGTCCTCTGGCAATGATGGCAGCGACCCACGGGGCCCTGGCTTCCAAATTGTCGAGGAAAGGGATGCCAATGGCGAGACTGTCACTGATCTGACATTCGGTGCCCAAGACGCCTTGACTTTAGATGACATTCCGCGCATCGTTGCAGCCGAACAAGCTAAAGAACAACGTCCCAACGCCTTCAAGCATGCTGGACACAAGCTTGTCGGAGGAACAGAGCCCATGCTCAAATACAACCGCGGCCACCAGCGCGGAGTATCAAGTGGGAATTTGGAGGCACTCATGGAGCCAACTCGAACCAAGCGTTATTTCTCAGAGTTGACTGCGCTAGAATATTTCATCGTTCGTCACGTTGCCGTGCTACAGATGGAACAGCTGGTTGAGGGTCATTTCCAGATGGAAGAACTTCTTTCTTTGATCGAGTCTCGCAAGCCTACGATATGGAACATCTTTGGGCGCGCCTTCAAGGATGGAAAGAAGGGTGCCAAGAAGAAGGGCGTCTTTGGGGTTGATCTGAACTTCCTGGTCGAAAAGGAGGGCACAGAGTCAAGTCATGGCGTTGGCCCAGGTGCGCTCCGCATTCCAACATTGGTCGACGACTCTGTTTCAGCAATGCGCCAAATGGACATGTCTGTCGAGGGTGTCTTCCGAAAGAATGGCAACATCCGACGACTGAAGGATACCTCGGAGCTTATCGACACCAAGTACGAACAGGTCGATTTGACAAAAGAAACCCCTGTACAGATCGCAGCTCTTCTGAAGAAATTCCTTCGTGAGATGCCGGACCCACTTCTCACGTTCAAGCTCCACAGACTGTTTGTCCTTTCTCAAAGTAAGTTTGTCCGCTTTACTTTCTCAAAGCAATATTAACAATCCCTTGCAGAACTTGACGACCCCGAGAAGCAGAGACGATTGCTGCATTTGACATGCTGCTTACTTCCTAAGGCTCACCGAGACACGATGGAAGTCCTATTCGCTTTCCTAAACTGGACCTCCTCCTTTTCACACGTTGATGAGGATTCTGGAAGCAAAATGGACATACATAACCTTGCCACCGTTGTAACCCCGAATATCCTTTATCCCAACGCTAAGAACAGCACTGTGGAAGAGAGCTTCCTCTCTATCGAGGCTGTCAACGCACTGATCACATATAACGACGCTTTGTGCGAGGTAAGTGCTTATTTGGGTTGGTATACCATAACTTTCTGCTGACCCTTTTGAAAGATTCCGGAAGACCTGCAATCGATCTTGAGTGATCCAACTTTGTTCAAGGAAAATGCCGAGGTGACGACCAAGGAAATCCTCAAACGTTATGGCGACATTGCACGGGGTAGCTTCTCGCAGAGACCAGAGAATGGCGGCGAGACATTCACAATCACTACGCCTAACCGCAACAACAGTGCACCAGCTTCCGCACGCATTGAGACCGACCCATCCCAAGACGCAGCCTGGCAAATGCAGAGCTCTGTTCGCCACGTGCCAGCCCCTAGCGGACATGCTCACTCATCTAGCACTAACGCCCAGGCTGGAACTGACATAGTCCCTCCCCCCAAATCCTACCACCGTAACCGGAGTGCCAGCAATGGGAGTCAACCAAATGCTGGGCCCCCGGAAGGCCAGACACAACAAAATGTCGCATATCGGCCACGCCCAAGTCCAGGTGCCATGGGCGTTACTGGATAAACAGTTTATTCATCTTCTTCTATTCCTGCACAGCTGGAATACTGTGATACTGTGACCACCATCCCCATCTATCCTTTTGCATTTGTCCAACCGATTCGGTTTCTTTGGGGACTTCTTAGCGTTCTTTTCTTTTCTTCCTATCCTTTTCTTTTTTTGTGTTCACTGATAGGCTTGGTCGAAGGAGTTACCTTTTTTTCTCCCAAGAAAAAATACCCGAAAGTGATCGATCATTACTCCCCTTGGTCGTTTATTTTTGGTTTGTGCTTTCATATCTATAGGGCCCCAACGCCTTTTTTTTTCCTGTTCTGTTCATCTGCATCTGATTCTTGACAAGGGATCAGCCATACCCATACCTGTCCCTCTGGGCCCATAAATGTCCTGCTTTCCATTCTTTCGAATCTTTGAGCTTGTGCTCTTTTTCCTGTGGGCCAGGCTCCGGATTTACCTAGACCCCTTTTCCCATTTCCTTTCTCCTCTTCTTATTCTTCTCTTCTCGACCTTGCAACTTGGCAGGTGTCTGGGAGCTTTATTTCCTTTATCTTTGTTTTCAATCAGCATGATTGCCATGATACCTGTGCTGGATTCTATGTAGTTAAGTACCCATTTGGATTGACTTTCGATTTCTTCACTTGGGCTTCACTGGCTAGTTGTTGTGGCCAGTTTGCTTAGATAGGCCATCGAATGCTATGGGTTTCGCCTATATACACCTTCATGTTTGGAAAAGAGAACCAATAGTCCAGGAAACGCCTAGGAAACAACTAGAAGTCGTATCCTGCAATACTTGAGCTTACTACGGAGTACATAGGTCTTTATAGATCGTGCTGACTGGCGATAGATTGTTCTACTGCAGGTCCTCTCATAACCCCCTCGACAAGTATACAGTCAAGACTTGGCAAAAATTGTAATTTCCATGTTCATTGAAAAGATAACCAAAAAAAGTCATCGGTGCATAGCCGAGACTGGTAAAGAAATGTAATAAAAAAAAACACCTATTATGATATCACGCCAGTCATGTATAAGGGCCAAAGTGGACCAGACTCAATTTTTCCATTGCAGTGCAATTATCAACGCTCAAAATACCATCAAACTCCAAAGCCGAAACAATAAATTTGTCTTCCAATCGGGTTCCTTTTTTAGATGCGCTTGCGCAAAGCTCGAGTACGCGTGGCTGTCTCGGTTGCAGCTGGAGCGGTAGTCTTGCGCATGGCGGCAGTGTTGGCAGTCTTCTTCACTGCCACTGATGCGGCCTGCATGCGAGGCGCAGGCTTCTTAGCAGCCGCCGCGGTAGACGCCGTCGTTACCTTGCGAGCGCCAGCACCAGTGCGGGTAGGCTTGATAACCGTGGTTCCAGATGAAGCTGTGGATCCGGTACTGTTCTTGCGTTCGCCCTGTCGGGTTGCAGGACGCGGTAATGGGGAGTGGCCAGACTTGGGTCCTGTGGCGGCACGATTGGTGGGTCGTTGTGTTTGAGAAGGGGGACGCTGGTCCTTTACTGCTGAGACTGTGGCACCACGTGATCTCAATGGGCTCAACGGCTTCAATGGAGATGTAGGACGCGACAGGTATGAGGGTTGACCCTTCTCTGGGGATGCGCGGAAGGGTGAGTGAGGGTAGGTTCGGGAGTTGTTAGACTTGGGTGACAGGATCCGATTCTCGTTGCCTCGGACTTCTTGAGATACTACGCGTGATGCCCCGCCTGCTGCGGCTGGTTTGACGCGACGCTTAGGGTTCTTGAGACCGTCTGGCTCCCCACTTGCATGGGCATTCTCTTTATCAGAGTAGAGACCATCGTGGCTGATGGTTTATTAGCGCATTGAACATACTTAACCAAGTGGGACTTCATACCTTCCCCTCCGGTATTTGCCGTCGCGTGCTTCTGTGTCAACGGGTTTGCTGATATTACGCGAGGTCTTGACAGGTGAATATTTCCGGGATGGCGATGCCATATTTGGCTTGCTCGAGGCGATATTGTGTTTGTCGAGCAAATCGCCCATGTTGGCCTTGCGGAGCGAGACTGGGATTCGGTTTACGCGTCGGTCAATGCGCGCGCGAAGGTCGTTTGCCTGGAGGGCATATTGGGCACGAAGTTTGCGTGCACGCTCAGTGACTGGGCGAAATTAGCACTGTAGTTTATGAAGGAAATCCAGACCACCACCCACTTTCGAGTTGTAGATTGTCCATCAGCGCCTGCTTCTGCTGCTGTGTGAGGCGCATTTTCTTGGTAGGACTGCCCGTGGGCGTGGTATCCATTTGGTCAGACTTGCGCTTAGCGGGCATTGTAAATAATTCCAGGGATGTATGTACTGGTGTCAAAAGTCAAGTAGGTTAAAGTGCGGAGCAAGGAGCCCTTGAGAAACCACAACAAACAGCATAAAGGCGGACTGGAGGGGCAGAATGCACAGCTTCCACCTCGCCTTCGTCATCCGTCTTCATCTCTCATACGCCGATCTTACCTATCATTCGCTGCCTCCTTTTCTATTAGATTTCTTTTCATTAGAAACTCGCCCATAATGACGTTGGAAGCTACCATGATCGTGTTCGTTTTTATCTCGCTTCAATCTTGCTTCTTCAGCTGACCCCAAGCTACAGTGTCGACAACAGCGAAAGCAGTCGCAATGGAGACTACACGTGAGTATCTCGGACAATGCTAGCTTTCTATCGATGAGCAAGCATCTAACGAATCCAGAACAACCCGGTGGCAATCCCAAGTCGATGCCGTTAGCATCATCCACAGTGCAAAGATGCGTGTAAACCCGCAGTCCGCTGTCGGTCTTATGAGCATGGGCGGCAAGGGCCCCGAGGTGCTGTCGACTTTCACACCCGAGTTTGGTGCCATCTTGGCCGGACTTCATGCGACAAAAATCCACGGCACATCTCATCTCAGCTCAAGCATCCAGGTCGCAGCGGTGAGTCGTCTAGGTCGAGTATCCAGGTTTCGGTGGCTGACATGCATGATATCATAGTTGGCTTTGAAGCACCGTATGGAGAAGTCGCAGCGCCAGCGCATCATCGTATTCTCCTGCTCGCCCATCGAAGAAGACGAAAAGACCCTCGTGAAGCTCGCTAAGAAGATGAAGAAGAACAACGTTTCCATTGATGTGATAGCTTTCGGCGACCTAGAATCCGACCAGACCAAGAAGCTCGAGGCCTTTGTTGAAAATGTCAAGAGTGGAGATGGCTCCCATCTCGCTATCATTCCTCCTGGACCCCATTTGCTCAGCGATCAGCTGCAGATGACCCCGATTCTGGCTGGCGAAGATGCCGAGGTTGGCGGTGGAGGTGGTGAGGGTGAAGCCGGTGGATTTGGATTCGAGGATGCTGCCGAGAACGACCCCGAGCTGGCCTTTGCCCTGCGCTTATCTATGGAGGATGAGAAGAACCGACAGGAGAAGGAGAAGCGCGACCAGGAAGAAGCGGAGCGCAAGACTCAACTCGGCGGTATCCCCGAGGAGGGCAATGGCGAGTCCAGCAAAGATAAGAAGGACGAAGACAAGATGGATACCGCTTAAGGGTCCAGGGCTTTAATATGATTGTGATGCATACCCGGCGTTTACCTTTGTTCGTCTTGTATACTTCAGTCGACCTTCTCCAGGTTCGCTCTACAATGCAAGGGAAATATATGTGATTTGGTATTATACGAGATGGATTCTTTTTCCCGACACAAGTACAAGCACACATCGTATCTAGTTCGTAAAGTCATGATGTCTATCCCGTGCGCGGTTCCACTGCCGGTCGGGCTCATGCCCTCCCCCGCAACCACGCCCCCAGATGCCTGTCGAATGCCTCGCATCGCACTGGCATTTCGATTTGGTAGAACGGATTCTTCATTACGAAGTCCGCATAGAGCTCGTAGATCTTCTGCACGATCGTATCCACGTTGCCGGTCAGGGGATCCGTGAACAAGAGGAACTTTGTGCCCGTCAATGTCTGGAAACAGGTCAATCGAAACTTGTCGGTCTCGAGGTAGTCCAGACCAGTCACTGGTACGCCTGGGTTCGGATAGGAGTATGACGACGCAGCTGGCGCGGTGGTGCTGGGGGAGGAGGTCGCTGGAGAGGGAGGCTGTACGGAAGGGATCTTCGGGGTAATGGATCTTGTGATAGCATGGACACTGTGTTTCTGGTTAGAGCGGGCACGTAATAGCAGCGCCTCTGGCCAAATTTACCCGTGAAAAGTGCCTGCTAGCACCAGGTAGTCATTGGTGGAGAGCTTGTGCAGGCCAGTCTGGAACTCGCGCTGGTAAATCAGACCTCCAGCTTTGTTGATAATGATCAGGGAAAAGACACCCCTATCAGTGGAAGGCATGTTAGCTGCGATGCAGTTCAATCGGCGGGCAAGGCGGACACGGCGTACATGTTGGAGAGTGACGGTCGGACAGCGCGGAGATACGTAAGGGGAGGGCGGAGAGAGCGCTACTGGTACATCTCTCAAAAGAATATAAATAGAGCAGCCCTCAGTAGAACTTTGGAATTGGAAATATGAGATGGCACGGAGTAGTCAAATACTTCCGTACTCTAAAGTTGCTAGGCTGTTTATTCCAAGCGGAGACAGCTATAACCCAATGGGGAATAGCCGCGACATCATAGATCTTTCGCTGGTGAACTTAGGATTTATAGATACATCAAATCAGTATTGTGGTCTCTAGTTTAACTTGAGAAATGTTTTCAAGTGTTGAAGGCTTTATCATTTGGTAATTGTAAATTTTGGTAGTTCGAATATGAATCAATTATTATAGCGTTATATATCCACGAATGTCTCTCGCAGTATGGGATGCTTCTAGGGTCACCTACAGATATTAAACCCCGGGGCATGGATGTGTACCAACTTTAGAAGATGGCTATAACCACATTCAAGTACCTCTTTTCAACTTTAAAGGGTCAAACACATCTATAGACCAATTGGCTAGTTCATTCAGTCGTAAAACCCGGCGAGGGCCGGCACCATCCATGCATTTAATTCAATGCCACCACCCTGCTCACCTCAACAATGCTCTGGAAGAACGTGTTAGCTGTGGTCCGAGTACCGTCTCGCTGGAATCAGACATACCGGGCCTTTATTTCGAGTGGTGTGAAGCGAATTTGTCTCGTATTTCGTCCCAAATCCTCTGCTGCCACTTGTTCGAATATAGTCCAGATAGTCGGGTGCCCCAGGGAAATCCGTGTTGTCAGCAACTGCCAACGACCCAACACGCCAAAGATTTAACTCTTCAATCAATTTCAGGTCAGGAAGATAGAGCTGCTCCCTGTGATCGAAGAAGGCCATATCGATCGAAGTCACTTTGCCTTCGTTATGCAGGTTCTTCAACGACTCGGAGCCTTCGCCCTGGAATACGTGCACCAAGTCTTCCACACCCGCGAGTTTCACAAATTCCCGAGCCAATGCAACCATCTGTGCATCTGGGTCAAAACTGTAGACCTTGACGTCACTGGGCACCTTGTCACCGTAGATTTCACGCACGATAGCAGCCCAAGCAAGTGCCGATGTGCCCACAAATGTGCCATATTCAATAATCGTTCGCGGTACCGGCCGCTGAATTAGAAGTTGTCCACGTGCAATGTTGACTTTTGACTTTGGAAAGATCATCATATGCCCGACTTGGTTGGCGAAGTCTTCAATTGAATTTGCAAGAGCCTGTGGATTGTTGGTGAACCTTGAGGCTGGTTGATCAAAGATATACTTGCGCAGCTCGACTGCTCGCTCTGTGAAGATATCAGACAGAGGCTTTGGAGCCATGATTGCCGCTTTCGAGGCAAGAGAGTAGTTGTAGAATGACGAAAACTGCATGGCGTCACGGGTGTTAGAATGAATGCCAGTCATTGAACCACGCTGTTTTCTTATACACAAGAACCAGGCGAACTTACAGCAAATGTCGCCATCAGGTCAAAATATCGGGCAGATAAGCATAGACACCACCTTTGATCTGGCAAGCTCTTCGTCTCAGGGTTGAGGTTATGCGGGAGCCAGGCTCTCCTTCCCAAGGATTTTGTTGCCCACTTTATGGCCTGACATTCATTTCGGTTCGCTAGAAGCCGTCGCATCTGATAGGAATCTTCAGCCGATCCTCTGTCTCAGTATTTGCTCTGCCTGGATGTTTCGGTGGGACTAAGCCCGAGACTCGGGCTCGATATCTCCATTGGGCCATTCCGTCCGAACACAACACTGTATCTGAACCCTGAAATGAACAATTGAAGGGCGATAGTGGATAGAAGTGCCCAGGTGAACTTTTTTGCTGACTTTCAGGTTCTGAGGCTATTCTTGCTGGCGCCGGCGTTGAATATAGGTGAATACAGGTCAGCTGACCAATGTGTTTGCCAGTCGCGCAGACCAGATCTCCAACCACAACGCCAAATTCGAATTCCAACCTGATCCGAGCTCCATCATTCAACCGGAATCAGAGTAAAGTACGGGCGTGCTCTGTACTTCATATTGACTGCCGAGAACATCCATTGGATCGCCAATCGTACGCATGATTCTTATCACCAGCCTAGCACCGTTGAAGGCCCTCGATTTCTTGCGCACTCTTCCAATCGTATGAATCATAGCATGCCTTGAGCAGCCATGAGCAGCCTTATACTGGCCTTTTGCACGCGAACCACATCCCAAACAAAATGCAACCAGAGGCCCGAATAGTCGAGTCGGCTGAAGCCGCCAGTTCGGACACCCTCCGCCAACGCCTCCGCCAAGTGGAGATCCCAGACCCGAAAGGGAATCCTCCACGAGCAACACCACAATGGGAGTTTTCCACGACGCATACCGCAACAGGCATGACATCTTCGGTTGTTTCCTGCCGAAAACCCCTTGGAGACAGGAATTAAAGATCTGTTAGCCGCGTTCTTCTGACAGGGCTTGGCCTACTTTATTTCATCGTCAAGTCAATATTTGGATCCACTTTTTACTTTGGCTTCACTATGAGTCCGTTTCTGAGAGGCCTACATCGCGCCCAATAGACTGGACTCTTCGGTTTAGTTACTCTCTAAGGCAAGGGAAATGTACTTCAATGTCTGCCAGTCTGTTTTCTCCCAAATACCTCCAACCCCCCCCCCCCCCCCCCCCCCCCCCCCCCCCCCCCCCCCCCCACCACCCCCCCCCCCCCCCCCCCCCCCCCTTCCTTGAGAGCCTCAAGAATCCCATCCACAGTAGTCTGAGGGAGACCCTCCTTGTTGCGAGAGTAGATGTCGATCCCAGCAGGCGTGAAAAGAGTTTTGGCAAAATAAGTCACAATCCACTAATTACCGTCCTCGGTATCTCCAAACCCAAGACACTCCCAGTGGGAGCTGGCGATGACCAGCCAGCCTTTTCCGCGCCAATCCCAAGCGCCAGGATTACCTGGCGTAGGGGTATCAACTCCGTGGACGGATTTGACCTTGTCTGAGTCGATGGCTTGGTACCAAACCATATCATCGATTTTTTGAACCCCTGACTGGGCGGGGAGGAGCGTGTAGGTGATGTTGACGTTGCGCTTCCCTCTCCAGAGTGGAAGGCTTGAATGAGTGACGTGCTAGCACCCTGTGATGAAGTCATTTGATGAAGGACGGCATTTAGCTTCATCGGTCGCGTAGACTTGCGGAAGTCCGACCGTGATGGATGCCATGTTTTGGTGTTGGGGTATTGACAGGCGATGCTGTCCGCTAGGTCAAGGTTTTGATGTCAGATCCCACGGCAGGCGAAAGTCGATCCTTACCCCAAATGCTCAAATTTTGCTTGTGTAATCTGTACGCATAGAAATAAAAGATGAGGCTCGCGCTTTTACTTAGGAAACATGGTCATTTGTTATTCCAGGATTGCTGCCTGAGTGCCTTATTACAGCCTTGACAGGTCCATGCACTCATTCTCCAAAGGTTGGGCTTTTGATCCCTTAGTTCCTGACTCAGTACCCAGCTTCTTTCGCTCATGTTTTCCGAGTTTGACAGAATCAATGGCTTTCAATATGGCGTAGTGGTAGACCGGTATGTTTAGGCATGGACCGGGGGGATCATTGTGATTATGAGTGCCTGTAGAGGGGCAGTCTGGAAATGGGAGGCGCTCCCCTGGGAATCTTTCATCGAACCAGTCCTTCAGTACACCACTCTTCGTTAATTTCATGGCATACTCTGGATTTTGGAGGCGGGGATAGAAACTTGTGTATCCGATTTTCTTGCCGTTTGGTAGGAGTTTCAAAGTATCGACGATGCTGTGGACACACTTCCAGAGGCACAGTTCCATGCTAGGAGACGGCACGTGGAAGTATCTGACGCGAATGCATGGTCCAGATCTCCGGAGTCTCCAGCTTGGGAATTGTTGGATGAGCCGAAGAACATCATCAAGGCAGCTCAAACTTATGCATCTGAACGCAACTGGCGTTCTCGCGCCTTTTATAATCTCCACGATAGCTGTGAAATCTAACGTTCCTTCAATCGAGGGATCAATCATGATGGTAAGACCGAAGAGACGAGTTTCATATAGAATACGGGAAGTCTCCTCGTAGAGATTTCTATTGCAAAAAAAGATAGATATAATGCCGGATGCGCTGGCAGTGCTTTTGAAATTGTCGAAGAGATGATTCCAGATCTTAAAGCGTAGCTCTGGTGGTAGCTTTGAGAACTTGCCGAGTTGGGCGTAAAGTGGGGATATGGGCTCCTGTCGGGGGTGATCTTGATTCATGTTGCTTGGTGTTGCCAGGGTGGTGATGAGAAATGGGGAGATGAGGAAGGGATATGGAAGGAAAGAGAGGCGAGACTGAACCATGTGTCCAACAGCTCCGACGCCGACCTGAGCAATTCTGACCGTATCCCCCGATCACCAATTGGGGTTCCACCAATTAGCAACATCGCCAGCATCAGTCCAAACTTGGATCAAATAGTTACTGGTAATTTGGAGAGCTTATCAAGAGACTATACTCACAAGGACAAAACTGCAAAAGTTCTCGATGACCGCACTTTTGATGGGTGGATAAAATTTGTTTCAACACTTGAAAGAGCAAGAACTTCACAAGCCGTCGTGTTATCGAGTGATTCATGCTCTTCATGATGCTACCTATGGGAGGGCTTCTTGGGTTCCGGGAAGCACAAAACGAAGAAATGGTAAGTCGCTAAGAATGCTGTTGAGAAGGCACGGCGAGAGAAAAAAGACGAAGAACCGATTGAATTATTCTCTGCGCGGGGAGAGAGAAGAAGACAGAAGAGGGAAGAAGCTAAGGAGCGAGAGCTATCTACTTATTTGGGGTTGGGCGAACTCCCTACACAACAAATGCATTCGACTGTCTAGGTTGTCGCTATCTTTTCAGCCTTAGACGAGTGTAATTTATCACAATGTTGGTTTAAAATCCGCAGCAGCCGCTTCCTCGCCAGTCAGGGCACGCTTGTTGATAGCAGCAGCCTCCTCGCCAGCACGAGAACGCTCGTTCAATGCTGGTTTAAAATTCGCAGCAGCCGCTTCCTCGCCAGCACGAGAACGCTCGTTCAATGCTGGTTTAAAATTCGCAGCAGCCGCTTCCTCGCCAGCACGAGAACGCTCGTTCAATGCTGGTTTAAAATTCGCAGCAGCCGCCTCCTCGCCAGTCAGGGCACGCTTGTTCACAAGAGCCGCATCCTCGCCAGCAAGCGCACCTGTGTTCATAGTCGGTGCAGCAATAGCCATGGTGACTGCCATAGCCAGGGGGATCATTGAAAGCTTCATATTGACGTATATGGTCTATCTCACAATTAGCCTATAGCCAAGGAAAAACGGGGATTTGACCGGCAATGTTTGTTGTACTCACCTAGGGTTGAGAAGAGGTTGAGCTGGGATTGGCGAGGAGTAATGTTTTGGATTTTTACCTGAATCCCAGACTTCTTCGGCCATTTTATAGGATCAGAGCGCAGCACGACGTGTAAAATTGCTAAGATCGTCAAGTATCACCTCCTTGCAGATCACTGCAATATCACCTGGCTTGAACATGCAGGAGGGTTCACAGCTGCGTCGGACGCGGCTGTTGTTGGAACCCATTGGACTAATCACAATACGGCAACCACAAGAGATCTTCAATTAAAGAATCGGGATCTCCGCGGCTTAACCTCGATCTCATAAATTGTGGAGAATGTGATCATCTGCGCTGGCGATCGCCCATAACTGACGTCAAATATTGCATCGAGTTCCACTTTTGAGTCGATGCCGATCGAAAATCAACTGAGCCGCGAAGGGGTCTAAAAATTGAGAGCTGAAGTTACTCGTACGTACATAGGAAGTGCATGATTTACGAAGTGAGATGCGGGAAGTGACGGAAAAACACCCGGACATTTCAGACGGCATCATTCTTACGGGATTCTCCCTAAACTCAACATTCATGCCTCAATTCCTGGCCGGTTCAATCTTCCAGCAGACAAAGTCTGTCCGATCTGGCCAGAACTACACAGCTGGATATCTCAGCCCCGCGACTGTGGCCAACGTCGAATATGCATTCTTTTATCCTGGACACTTCGATCCAAGAATTCTCGCGTTCGCATTCCAAACCAAACAGCCGGTTACGGTAGCAGAGCTTTTGACTATCGGCAGTGTCCCGATGCAGAGCAAGTTCACTGGACCGGTGATGATAACCAGCGGGTCGAATGACGTTCCTTTCTGCGGGGGAGACTGCCTTGCGACTGGTGATGGCGAAGACTCAATTCCCGCTGCTGCAAAGATGGCATTCCCTTCTGCCAAGGCGCTCTCTGCTGTTGTGTAGCCTGATACTGAACATAGTCTTAACTTCCATTATAACGCTACTGGTGGTTACAAGCAGATCGCAGATTTCTTGAGCCAACAAGGCTTATGAAGAAGGGATGCTGAAGAATGTTCTGCATTGACACTCGTGTGATGACACTATATAGCTCTGTGGATATGAGTAATGTTGTAACTCCTCTAATCTGATTGATCTTCGTGCTATCGGATAACCTTCCAGTTTGTAAGGTTGTACTATATGCCTGTGGACCCTTTATGGGCAATGCAAACATGCCAATATTTAAGTATGTGCCAAGCAAAGTTGAACCCCCTTTTCGGGCTCTAAAATACCTCACGTTCGGGTCCTGTTCCCTACCCACACCTCTACGTAAAATTTAGTAATCTGAGTGAAATTCAGATCATTAACCTGATAATTTTATAAAAGAATATCCAAAACACGAGAAAGCACGTTATATTAGATTTTTCAAAAATTACAGCGGTTGCCTAGAAAATGGTGGTGTTTCCGTGTACATCACCGAAATATATCCAACATCAACCCTTCAAACCCGACAACTTTAGAATTTTCGCGATAGCTCCTGAAGTCGAATTCAACTTCTTCCTCCAGTCTCCCATCTTCCCACTGCTTCATCGCCGCTTTTTTTTTCATGGCCCAGTGGATTCATAGTCTTGCGATTCGACGCCGAGAACCTCCTATTACCTCCCGGTGCGCCCGAGCCTACTAACCGCATTTTTTCCGATTCGGAGCCAGTTCATCTCACGAGAATAACCGAGCAGTCTACTTAGTATGCCAGCAGAAGCCTAGTGCACGGATCCAGACCACATACTACATGGAGGACAGATCACGTCCCACCTGGGCACCGACAGAGTGCCACTTCCGTGTTGGAAACCTCGGTCCACTGTCGGCGGGACCCTTATGCTCGATATCCAGGCATCTCTTCTACATTGAGCCACGGCAGGTGAGTCCACTCAAGATGACAGAGGATCGTCTGGAAATGAATACCGGAGCTACCCAGGCGTATTCAAGTCGGAATCTACGATACGGTCCTTCACCACAGAGGCCCCAGAAGAGACATCTCCCTGGCCGGAGCCGTCCAATTGTTATCTTCTGCCGTGGTCATTCGACTCGAGTACCTCGAGTGATCGCGCGGATGGCGCGTCCGGGAAAATTTCGCTCAGCCTGCCTTTCCATCTATTACCAACCCAGCCCGCTAACCCCTGTCGCACGACACTGAAGCAGCGCACGGGTTTTGCTATTCTCAAAAATCTCTATATATTTCCCTTCAGCCAGGTTTCAAGCACATACGACCATAGGGTGTGGAGAACAGGGCTTCCCGTCCGCTCAGCCGTACTTAAGCCACACGCCGGTGAGTTAGTAGTTGGGTGGGTGACCACCAGCGAATCCTCACTGTTGTATGTTTTTTGTTTTTATTTTGGTCTTTCTTGTATCAATTCCTATTTTCAGACAAGTCCTTTATGAAGGGAGGGGCAAGCTATTGTTGCCCCTTATGTGAACCTTATCAAAAACAATTGGTTGAGAATCGGAACGACATCATAGATTGGAAAGGTGCCTAGGGAGGGGTATTGCAGCTTTACACCATGACATGTAACAAAAACCAGAGTTCTGCAACATCTTTGGACGGATAATATTGGCTGGAAAGATCAACTTGGTCATAACATTAACTGTCAGAAATAAACTTCCGCAAAACCCAACCCAGGCTGCGTTGGGTTTTGGGTCGAGATCTTTGACCCCGTATTGGGTTCTGGGTCCCAGGAAACGTTATAAACCGAATCTATTTTGACCTCGATTTACTAGAGGGAAAGAGTCGAAACCGAAACAATCGAGAGGGATCTTGTAACTGAAGCGGGATCTACAACCAAAGTAGGACCTACTACTGAAACAGTATTAAAAAAGCTCGATATCAACCCTAAAGAGACTCGTTAAATTCTAGTACAGGTATTCTCTTATCGGGAACTAGTAGTTGTCACTAGGTGAGCTATACTTTGACGGCAATACAACGTAAACTTGAGTAGGTTATCCATTGACTTCCATCCTCCCGCGTGCAACCGAACCGCAACATCCGACACATCTCCTCGACAGCACTGTTTTTCTTCTCTTCACTGTCCAAAAGGTCTAGCATTTGAGCACCAATCAGCTTGAAAAAGCCCGCGAGTCCGCCACCTGGTCCCTCAGTCATTCGTAAATGCTGTGGCTGGAGGTAAATTTTCTGAACCTTGAAACCAATGACTTCAAGCAGTTCCTTCATGTACAAATCCGACGGGAGGAACCAAGGACACGTTTCTTCTAGCTTCTCAATCGGAATTCCTTGATTCACCAGTGAGAACATGAAAGATGTGACCATCTCCGGGGCATTTCCAAATCCACACATTTCAAAGCAAAACACACCACCTGGTTTCAACGAGTCAAAGATAGCCTGTAGCGTAGAGGACCGCGTCGTGGGGTCCTTCAAAATCCAATGAAAAGCAGCGTTGGAAACACTAAATGAAAATTAATTAGTCAAGATTTCCGGGGAATGTCAAAGTTCAGAAAACTCACATTTTATCCCAATTATGATTCATGATACTAGCCTCCTTGCCCAGATATTTGCAGTCCATGACGCGGAAATCTGTTTTTGCGCCACCGTATTCAAGAGTTTTCGCCGTTTCAATCATTGCTGGGGAGGAGTCCACGCCCAGAACATAATCCACCTTGCTCGAGAAACGGGCTGTGAACTTGCCATCGCCACATCCGATGTCTAATACTCGATCGCTAGCTTGGAAAGGGATGATTTCCACGAGAGAGTCGGCAAAGTGAGGGACGAAAGAAGCTGCAGCTTCGTATGTCTAGCCAACTTATCAGAGTTGGTTCAAGCCTAAGAATCGTGGTGTGATGCAAACCTCGCTAGACCACCAATCCTTCCGAGCCGGCTCAACTTGTGTCATAATTGAGTTTTCTTTCCCTTGTATTGAGTGATGTCGAAACAGACAGGTATGAGAGGATGAAAGCGGCTTTAAAGGGATGATGCATTTTCCAAGCGAGCACCCCGTAGTCCGGCAGATCACGCTTCAATGTCCAGCTAAATACCGATAGAGTGGGTATGATCCGCATTTCAAACCTTGCCTCACCGCATCGTGAAGATCTAACATCAGCTATTGTTTTTGTGGGACCCAGCTCACCATGTGGAGCTATTGTGGGACTCGGCTAGTATGTATTCGTACATAGTACGAGTAGCCACAAATCGTCAACAAACCAATCTCGATCTAAGGGGCCTGAAGAAAATCAAATTCCGTACTTTTTCAGATGTAATTTGGATGCCTTCTCTTCCAACCGTCACGTTTTGACTGCTCCAAACATTGCTTTGGAGAATAGCTTCATTTCACAATTTACTTATAATCGAACTCATGCCCCGCAAGCCCTGATTTAGGCAAAAGCAGAAGACAAGTGAATAATTCACTCCATTGCAGCTGGAACATCGATCGACGATAATTTCCACTTAAAAAGTCCACATGTCTCATAAATTTCGGAATCCAGGGCTGAATAGCGCAAGCCACCGCGTAACAAAGTTATCCATGGATGTTATACCCTAGTTCTCCATCCAATAGAAAGGCATAATTCAAAAGGTGAACATTATGAATCAACCTACACACATCTAAATGATATATAAGAGTGCACCCTGCTTTAACGAATCAAGATAAGGACGTTCTGCCCATTTCAATCTTTGCATATACTCAACTTCAACAATCCTTGGCAATTTTACGAAAATGACCATGGGATTGGAGTCCAGTGGGCCCTCCTCGACTTTACTCTCCGCATTGGCATCAGATTTAAATACAGCGGTGTCTCTGTATTCCCATGCCACCGATCAATCAGAGAAAGAAGCAGCTCTTCGAAGTATAGAGCTTGTGTCAAAACAACTTTCACAATGTTCAACTGAACCAAGAAGATACCTGATGGGATTTCATTTCCAAGCCCACCAGGTTCTCTGTGTTCGACTGGCCATTGAGATGGGTCTTTTCGAGGATCTTCCTACATCGATCCCATTTACAGTGGAGGATTTGGTCAAAACAAAGAGTGTGGACAATGAGTTTACTAGTCGAATTGTACGTGCCCTTGCGGCAGTTGGCATTTTCGAAGAAGTGCGCGAGGGTACTTTCAAACAGACACCAGTTTCCTGCGAGTGGTCAAACAAGAACATGCAATCATATACCAAGCACGCATGGGATAATATCTTCATGTGCATGTCCAAGTATGTTGACTTCTTCAAGGAACGAGGATTTGTGAGCCCTTCGGATCCCATGAATTCCCCATATGCCTTTGCCAAAGGGGCCAAGAACATAGATTTCTTCACTCTCATATCACAGGATCCCAAGGCGGTGAAGCTTTTCAACGAGGCTATGACGAGCATCAAAGACCCCTTGGGAGAGATGTATGATTTTGGAAGTATTCAAACCGAAGAGAGTGACATCGCTGTCGTTGACATTGGGGGCGGAAAGGGACAGAGCATTCAGAGTATTCGCTCTAGATACCCTGGACTCAAAGGAAAATTTGTCCTTCAAGATCTACCCGAAGTCATAGCTGCGGGAGACAGAGTTTGCCCGCCAGATGTCATGGCTCAACCTTATGATTTCTTGAAGCAGGTACAGCCTGTCAAAGGTCAGTAAAGAATATTTCGTTCAAATAGCAATAACCAACTTACAAATTTCTTTTCAGGTGCTGCCATATACCTTCTCAAATCTATTCTTCATGATTGGCCCGATGTTGAATGTCGGACGATTCTGCGAAATTTGATACCGGCTATGAAAGGTCACAATTCGAAGCTCCTCATTGTGGAGATGGTGCTATCAGATTCTCATCCAGATGCTTCAAAGGCATTGTATGATATCAATATGCTGTTTTGCGCTGGAAAAGAGCGCAGTGTGAAACAGTGGCAACTTCTGTTGGAAGGAACAGGGTTTAAGATACAAAGGGTCTTTGGGGTAGACAACCCGGTCAGAAGTGTGATAGAAGTTGTGCTTGAAGAGTAGACAGACATTTAGCTAAGGTCAATATAATATGCAGAAAATTTCACTCGTTTCCCAAGTGACTGTTCGCTGCCTACCCAAAAGGGGGTTGACTCCTTCTCTCTATCTGTAGCTAGCTCCTCTTTTCCTTCTTTTTCTTTCTCCTCAACCAATCAACTCATATCTTCGTGTTGATCATGTCATTGTAGCCTTCACTCCAAGAGTAACAATCATAGATCTTGTTCATAGTGTGAGGATGCTCAGAGCGATGATACTAAAGCTGGGGAGGGAAAGAAGAAGAGAGAGAGAGAGCTGGCAGGATCTTATCCGTCAAAACATAGGACTAATTGTTTGGGCTCGGACATGGCGACGGCTGAGCTCGAAAAGATGGTAAATGCTGGAGCAGGGAAGGTGTGATTTAAAAGATCCATCCCTTCGAAATTAGCTCGAAATCAGAGCTGAATAAATTTTGCTGCTCGTGCCGATTTTTCTCCAGTTTGAGGCAGATTGACTCCACTATATATTTGCGATAGTTCGTCGATAATCTTCTCTGACTGAAGAATAATCGATCCCGCAAAGCCTCGTCAGATACTTATTACCCCACTACTATCGCCCTTGTATGAATCGTCCAATCGAATATACAATCTGTAAACGAAAAAAAAACCGACCTCGCCAATGGACGTGAATACATGATTACCACAGATATACTTCTTTCTGAATAAATGCTCTGAGATACTCAAGCAGAAGCAAAAAAATACCCTTACTATCTATTAAAAAAGAATTTCCTTGCTAACCGACGGGTGCGGATATCCAAACCCGGTTGATTACCTATGGTAGGTCGCGCTAGTTGCACTTTCAGCTTGCGTATCGCAAATTGCAAGCTAGTACCGAATCAAATTCCCGGGCCAAGTATATGGATTTACTGGTAATTGTGGTATAACTAATCTCTGGCCAGCTTTTTAACCAGTTGTTGCGGAGACTCCGTAGTATACGGGGTTGTACAGAATAAATTTCCCATCCATGGGAGTAACCCATGTCGCACGACATTAAAGCAGCGCATGCGTTTTGCTATTTTCGAGAATCTCTATATATTTCCCTTCAGCCAAGTTTTAAGCACATACGACCACAGGGTGTGGAGAACAGGGCTTCCCGTCCGCTCAGCCGTACTTAAGCCACACGCCGGTGAGTTAGTAGTTGGGTGGGTGACCACCAGCGAATCCTCACTGTTGTATGTTTTTTGTTTTGTTCTCTCTGTAAACACATCTTATTTTAATCTAGGATCTCTCTCTCTCTCTCTCTCTTTTTGGCATATGAGATTGAAACCTTGCTGTATAATATTTTTGAGGTATAGAACCAAAGTGTCTTTTTTGGCCAAGAGTGTCGCCAGGCTGCCAATACAGTAATAAAAGCCTGTTATGCCATCGTATCTTGATTTGACATTTGGAGTTGAAATGATGTTTATATACCTGGAAAGCCTATTGATCGAGAGGTTCCTGGAAATTGCTTGTATGAGGAAGAAAGGCAAATGGGATAATCTTATTATCATCACAACAAGACAAGAACTCATAGGTAAGATATGATCCATGGCCATCCAGCAGTAGTAATCTATACTCATTTGCTTTCGCCCATTGGTTGGTATATGTAATATAGTGTTGTAGATAATCGAAAGCGATGTCTTCATTTGGATAACCAGAATCGGAAATATTGATTGCCCAATCTGGAGGGATATTTGTATGGTGATACCATCTCTCGGAATGTATTTTGGCGTTGAAAATGATATATGGCGGGATGATATTACCGGCCGCTGATATAGCTTCAATCACTGTAACTAATTCACGGCTATCACTTGTCGCACTAGGAGGGACCGAGGGCTTGCTTGTAAGAACTGTTTGATTCTGTGTCTGGCCCAAAATAAAGCCGGCTTCATCAAAACCGTAGATGTTTCGGGATGGAATATCATCAATATAATCCTCGAGTAGATCAAACCACTCATGGATTTGGAAAGAATCAACAACTTTCTTTCCATTTTGCTCGAGGGTCTTCTGTTTGACTGATTTAATCTCGTTCAATAACCGTTGGATCTGTGTAAGCCAAATATGGCACCAGGCTATAATGCGCAACCAAGCTACAAGGATCATGCCAAGACGCATAGACGCCGTCCTAGTCTTCTACAGGCTCAACAGAAGCTAACCAAATTAAAGGTCTAAGACGATACTCGACTGATCCAGTTTCACCATATGAGTAGCATCAAAAGCACCAGAAACAGTCTTCTTGCACACTCCACTTGTGTTTTTCCCTTCAAAACGATCACGCAAGAAACGCAACCAATCAGGGGAACTAGCCCCGAGTATATCCCCGTCATCGATACCCGGATACAGATTCAAATGTGCCTCATTACCAAATTGACAGGTGTCATTGAAGGCATCAATGGTGATCTGGGGTAGAATAGTGGTATCTGACAGTCCCTGCACAATCAAAAGAGGTTGATGTCCTTTGGATCCCATGGCTGGAGCATTCATGTTCTGCCATTTGGCGAAGTCTGTGCTGTTCTTGAGCGCGGCTGTGCTGCTGATTATTTCGCTGGGTGACAGCCCGAGTCCAAGGGCCAGGGCCCCGTCATTGCAGGATTGCGTGAGATCCGCAATTTTAGCACGTTGCAGAAGCTCTGGAGAGAAGACTGACATATCCGCCGAGGGAATCGCACGTCGAAGGGTGGTTGTGAGCCATAAGAATATATACGTGATATAGTATTTGTTGTAGTCGGGCTTGGGAAAGATTTCCTCTGCTGTGAGAAGGATCAAATCATAAAGCCTTGAGCCTGGCGCCACGGCGACAGTTCCGACGTAGTTTCCAGCTGCCCCTGACTCGATGAGGGGACTTTCAGATAGCTTCCAGACAGCTCCGCCACCCTGAGAATGGCCAATACTTGCCCACTTGTCTGTGAAGGTGCTGGGGAAGATTTTCCGAGCTGCAACCATGCCGTAGTAGAGGTCATTGGCATGGGCTGGGAAGCTGCTGTATTCGTGCTCGATATAGTTGTTCCCGAGTCCCGCGTAGTCTGGGGCAACAATGGCATACCCGCTCTGGGCAAGCACACTCCAGGTATTGTAGTCGTAGAGCTTGGCGGTGGTGGAAGGTGGGCATCCCGCGAAAATTCCAATGCTGCCATGAGCATAGGCGATGACGGGGTATTTCCCATCTTGGCGAGCTGAACTGTAAGGAATTGCAATAAATCCCGTAGCAGGCACCATAGTTCCGTTCAAGCTGACGGAGGTATACTGGTATCGGTAGGCAGCAAGCCCATAAATCACATTCAGGGATGTACCGTTCAGAGGTTGGAACTTGAGGAGGTCGCCAGGATTTGACGAGGAGAAGTTGCCAGCAGTGGCATAGAAGTTGAAGTCGAAGTCCGTTCCAAACATTTCAATATCTTGCTTTCGTCCCGCGCGAAAGGACCTTTGGCATGTAGCATCGCAGCCTAGGGAACTCAGAGTTGAGTTCGATGCATTGAAGTTCGCGGCGGATTTAGCCACTGCGAGCGAAACACCCCACAGGGCAAAAATGATACCAAGAAGCATTAAGAAAGATGACCGATCTTGACTTCAGAACAGGTTTGAGGAAGAACTCTCGCAGCTTGCAGTACACGGCTTTAAATACCCGGGCTACCCGATCATAGCTAACGAGACTACGAAGTTGATTACCAAAGACTCGAGCACAGGAATTTAGCTGACCTCATTAGACTGTTTAGTCTCCGAAGCCCCCCGTTAACTCTTCCTGATTTGAGCCCCCAAGCCCCAGAATGTCAGGGGCGGGGTGCGGGGTAGTGGGTTCTTGCGTTCGACAAGAAGGCCTCCAGGCCTCCAGGGCTGTTGGGCAATAGGAATCATTGCACAGTGGAGAAAGCACAGCCCAAAGAGCCCACCGTTGATATACAAGGGCAGAATTGACTGGTAGATGGAGGTGACCTCTCACCTGGGCACATGCAGCATCTTAATTGCCATATTGAACTTAGCATATGTAGGCATGATCTCATCAGAGGATCTGCAGTGTTCGGTCCAATAAGAGGTGACCTAAACATCCATACCAGTCGTGATTGCGACAAAGAAATGGGGGCGAAAAGGCTGAAAACTCGACGTTGTAGGTCAAATCCAGCACTTATATGACTGCTGAAGGAGGACTCTTTGGGTGAACAGATAATTCCGACTTTCTGCTCGTGTCATGTGATACATAAAGGTCATGTGATCGAAAGGGGTCCAGATTGTCCCACAACCCTCGAACCCGGACGATTCACAACTTGCCCAGGTCTCTTCGTGTATCCTTTGAGCTCAGTGAGCATAGTTTTATCACTACCAAAGATGTGTCCAATACCTGAGGGCTCATTGAGAGTATCACCGATAATCAGCAGGCCCAAAATCCCCCAAAGGCTACTGGCAAAGTGGGTGCAAACGGCGATTTGATCTATTGCGCAAGAAAGAGAGCGAGCTAGCTGGCTATGAGTTCTAAAGACAAAATTAATCACAGAGGACCCCTTATTATAACGCATGCTTGTCCAACTTCGGGTACGAGACTATCTGGTGGGTATGGTCTAGACGTAGAAGAGCGCCAAGGCAGCACCAACGAGAGCTACGGGTCCGCTGGGAGCGCTCCACTGGGCTGGAGCACCAGCAGTCGAGGGTGTAGGGGAAGAGGAAGCGCCGGTGGACGAAGCGTTGGCAGGGGTAGAAGAGGAACCGGTGGTGGAAGAGCCTATAATGAGACATTGTTTGTCAGTATACACGCGGTGTAACATTGTGTGAAGTTGCATCATGCCTGAGGAAGAAGGACTCGTCGACGAGGTACTTGTTGAAGATGTGGAAGTGGTAAGGGTAGAAGTGACCGGGGTAGAAGTAGTCGTACTGGTTGTCTCGGAGGAAGTGGTGATGGTACTACTTCCGGTGGAAGAAGACGTGGAAGAAGACGTAGAGGAAGACGAGGAAGTAGACGTAGAGGCAGATGTGGAAGAGGACGTGGAGGAAGAGGATGTGGTACCATCATCCGAAGCGCCCTTCTTGACAGTGAAAGCATCACTGACGGCGAGCTCTCCAGCGGAATCGATTATCTGGATCTCATAGTCATCTCTACGCCAAGACATGATATTATTAGTATTGTCCTTTTTCGTACAAAGTAAATCCAACTGTCATCTACATACCCGTTGGAAATGCTAGGGTTAGGCTGGGTCGTGTATTCGCCCTCGGATGTCTTGACATTATCTGCCAATTTGGTCTGGAAGGAGCCATCCTGACTTCGAAGGATGATGCTGATTACGGAAGGGTCTCCAGACTTGCTAGTGAATTTGATGGTTTTGGTAGTGGAGAAGTCCCAAACGGTGTCTGAGGACGGAGTAGTGACGGTAATTGCAAAGGCCGACGAGAGGAGGCTCAGGGCGCTGATGGTAAATGAGAAACGCATTATGATTGAGTGAAATTATGGAATCGCTAGAGTGTGCTGGATTGGATATCTCATTAACTTCCGGGAAAAGACTAATACTATATACTGTTTCAAGGTCTATAAACAGAACCCAGGAAGGCTCAGCTGAAGCCGAGCACATCGAGAATACGAGATGGTTCAAACTTTGAAAAGCACAATATGATCTCTAACTACGAGTAGCATGAGCTCAGCCTCGTGTGGAGACACTGAAACAATCCCGGTGTCTCTCGGGTACTCATGGAGGGCAACAACGAGACACTGCTTCGGACTGCGCATAAGCGACATCTGGACCCGCTCTGATGTGTTGGGCCCACCAAAGTAAGCATTGCACCTTATCTTCCTAATCAAGTATCCCAGTTGCAGTGTGATCTGTATTCAATGCTAAGAATGAATTTTTGACCGACTTCTAGTTTCATGTCAGCACTAACTTGGCGTTGAAAATTGTGGTGAATACGAGGTATAATCTGAGAGCTCGAAATTGAGGTTGTCATAAATAGAAATCCTCCGTTGTGTGTATTGTATTATTACTTACGATCGCGAACGAATACCAGTTATGACCGGTAATTTTCACCGCAGGAGCCAAGTCCACCTTACTCAAGTGCTGTGTTAAGTCTTATAATCGAGAGCGACTGTCGGGAGCTCGCCCAAAGTACGAAGATTCAAGTACTAAGTCAACATAGGATGTTTTATCATAGGTCATAATTGATGAGATTTAATGTGGAATCAGGAAAACCAGATGCACGGAATACGAACATTTCAATTGTCTCGTCTATCATAAATCAAAGCAGCGCAGAATCTATCAATCAAAACATCTGAGAGCCATAAAACAAACATCAAAACTGATCCGGAGTATAGAAAATAGGAGCACAACGCAAGGCATGACAATCTAGAGCATTAGATGGAGAAGTAGGATACGGTCAAGATAGCCGCGACTATCGGTGTCCTAATCTCCCACGGCAAACGAAATAAAGAAATGCCTCCACCGGTAGAAGTGCTCGGATTCGCAGACGAGGCTGTTGATGTCTTGGTGTGATTCCCGCAAATACTGCTGCTTCGGTTGAGACTTTCAGAAGGATAGTACACCCGAGGCCCTCCATCCGAGCTGAGATCCACATCAAGATTTCCCTTTGAATCAGTCATAAATGTCTTGCAAGAAAGGATCTCAGTCACATTTTGCCTGGATGAGAATCCAGTACCGTCAGAGCCAAGGGTGATTTTGGTGGTGGCTTTCTTGGCCGGTTTGGCTCCCAGATTAGACACCACACTCACAACTTGATTACCGGCGAACCCCTTGCGCATTGCCAAAATGTGTGTCGAATTGTAAATTGGCAGTGTGAGATAAGAAAGATAGTCCTTGCCTGATTTCGGAGCGACCGTAGCGCGTTCTCCGTCACTGCTCGCGTATGATCGAATGCCATTCAACGACTGGACCAGCGAAGGAAGCGACGTTGAGTTCATGGAGTATTTGGTAAGCCATAGACTTTCCCGATTGACAGGGTTGAATCCACCTGTCAGGTGTTGTTCTTCCCCGTAGTAAACTGTATTATTTTTTATTAGTGTCTTATGCTTTTGTTTTCATATGCAAAGGCCCAACATACGGATAGGAATACCGTCAGCGAGCATGCTGGTGGTGAGAATGTTTCGCGCCAGCTAATCAGAAGTGAGAACGTGAACACGTGTTGAATTTTTCAATACACGCATCTTACCGATATGTCTGAAGTATACGAGCCAAAGCGCGGAACATCTTGATTCGATGTGAATGTTCCTAGGGTCACTATGTCCTGGCAACTTTCTCTGGTATGCTCAATAGACTGCACAACCCTGTTTAGATCTCCGTTGGTCGTGTTGAAGGCCTCTGACATGATATAATACCTGAAAAGTGTCAATAAACCCTCTGTTCATTCCGATGAGGTACTCACAACGGGTAGTTCAAAAGTCCGCTTATACTGGGCTGCAGATCACAGTAACCAGAGGCGTCTCTCGTAGCACCTTCACCCATGGTGAAAATGCCTGCTGACTTGGTAAAATTGGCGAAGAAGTCGGGGGAAATGTTCAAGACACTGTCGATTCGCAAGCCATCAACTATTGAAAATTAGTCCCATTAAATCCACCAGAGAGATATCGAGCGCATTATCATACTCGAATAGTTTGAAACCAACTCCGAGACCCAGGTGCCCAACATGTTCTGGACCTCCTCATCCTCATTCCGGAGATCTGGAAGCGAAATGGTATCATCTCCCATCCAGCACTGATGAATAGTTAGCAATGCTCTCATAACATGCGATGATAGAATTACATCTAGAACACATGTGCGATTTTGGGGGTCGTCTGAAAGCAGTCTGTAGTCGTGGAAATACTTCCGATCGTTGAAAGGGTTGAACGTGCTGTAGTCAACACTGGAGGCATTTCCCGCCCAGGCCATGTCCCCAACGACAACGTCCAGCATCAAAAACTGCCTTTATTTTAGTTTCGCGACTTCAACTGGTATTCGGAGACTCACCATGTCACGCGCATGCAACGCTGTGGATAACGCTCGGAGATCTTTTGCAGTGCCGAAATGGGAGTTAATGGAATACAGGTCGTTTGGCCAATATCCATGGTACGCTGTGATTTTTCAATTATTAGTCCTCCGCATTCATTTCTGGTAAATTTAGACATACCTAGTAGATTTGCCGTGCGCTTTGATTCCTGTTTTTGCACCGGAGAAATCCATATTGCGTCGAAGCCGAGTTCCTGGATATAATCCAGCTTGTTGATGATACCTTGGAAACTTCCACCGCAATAATCTCCCAGTCCGGCATTGCAGGACGCGGTGGTTGAGTTATCGGATCGAGCGAAGCGATCGGTGACCACTTGGTAGACCGACCGATCAAGCCATTGATCTCGGGATGCCGCATGTACTGTCTCGATAGCAGTAATCAGCAAAACCTTCCACAACCACATTTTGGGTGGCGCTTGCAGGAAATATTGGAGGCGGATCAAATGACGGAGTTAGAGATGATGAAAAGGCAACCTGGAATTAATAAACATTGTCATCTGTGCCCAAATGATGGAAATTATTTACAGTGAGGTACAGAACACAGACGTGTACCGTACCGTACGTGTAATGTCTCTTAAACTTCGGCCCGATCGGCGGGCCGCGTCAAACATCCATGGATCCCAGTCGAGGGCACCAACGTTCATTCAACGGCACATGTTCTCGAGTGATTCGTTTTGAGGCTCAGCCAGCCTTACTGACGATCATTTTCCAAATTAATTTGGTGTACTCCATATTGGGCTCGCAATAGAGAGCCGCATGGTTGATCGCAATCGGCCCCCGACTGCTCCATGGGGGAAGTGTCCGCAATTGTTGCGTGATAATCTGTTTTTCCGCGCAGATTTCCGAGATCAGATCCACATGGGCCGAATCATGGGCCAAATCTGACAGCTGTTGCTCCCATGTGGGTCTGTAAGCAGTGGGGGTAGATAAGAAATTCGGCCGTCCCAGCTGTTGATCTATTGGCCCTTGATGGATTCAACAAAAAACCATCGGCAGTCTAACCAAGCAGAACCAAGCACAGACTGAGTCTATTACTAACTGCCAATTGCGCCTTGTTACAGCTCTAACAACAGGGACAAGGTGGCTGCGAAGAGCTGAAAAATCAATATGGGACAGGCACGACAAGCAACAAGCCACGTCCTTATCATATCCACCTTTCACCGGTCAATTACTTTCTATAGGTCTATCCGGCATCCCGTATGACGTGTTCTATCTTTAGCGAGACGGCATACCCGAACTGGCAAAATTTATACTTTCTGATTGATTATTCACTCCTGACATGACTCGTTTTGGAACACTGGGATATCCCGAGTTCGTATACGAATGCATCTCAGATTGCCTAAGTTTGAGTGAGACATGCTCTGGCTGGGGCCTGGAGCCGGGTCTAGATGCCAAAGCAATGCACGCATCAGATGTGGTGTATCTCGGTGTGAAGCCCATTGTCCCAAATTAGCATTACTCCATCGGCGAGCGCGAGTATGGAGATGCTCAGCTGGAGATTGAGGCTGTACAGCAAGGCTGGGTCTGGTCTCCACAGGTTCGCTTCTCCCTTGTTCCCATGCTGGTTCCAAGGGTTACAATGCACTGATTGGTATTGTTGCACTTGGGATCCATTCTAAAGTTACGGTATAGGCCTGTGCAGCTCCAGGATATTCATTATCTTTCACACGCTTCTCTTGTGCATCTGCGCTCTACGAATCGTCGAGGGGCTTCTTTGACAAAAATTATTTTCTTCTTCCTGGTATGCAATACTGAAGTCTGGGGTTCTCTTCTTGCAGTCGAGGCTTGGACATCGTGTTTTGTGAATGTCATCATAGTGGCATTCACTTCGCAAGATGAAGTTGCTCACCTCCACCCCATACTATCTTGCCGTTGTTGCATTATATATACGCATTGCACAATCATTACCATATCTTCCAGAGGAAGCAGAGTGGAATCTTAATCAAAATCAGACAGCGACGAATCCCCTTGACTACTCAGGTCAGTGGGATGACCACAAATACAACCCCTCGCCAGACAACTGGAGATTTCCCTTCTATACGATATTCCTTGACAAATTTGTCAACGGTGATCCTAGCAACGACAACGCAAATGGTACACAGTGGGAGCATATCTTGACCTCCAACGAGTTCCGTCATGGCGGCGACGTTCTTGGGCTAGTTGATACGTTTGATTATCTCCAGGGGATGGGGATCAAGGTGCGTCTACCTCACCAAGAGGAACATATTTGAAGAGTCCATTGACCATACCTAGGGCGTATACCTCGCTGGAACACCTTATATCAACTTCCCTTGGGCTGCGGATGGATACTCCCCACTGGACCTGACTCTCCTGGACCATCACTTCGGTACAATCGAGAACTGGCGCACGATGATATCCGAGGCGCACCGAAGGGGAATTTATGTTCTTTTTGACAACACCTTTGCAACGTATGTGGATCCATTGTGCAACTTACGATGTCGTATGCTGATCATGGATAGAATGGGCGATCTCATCGGTTTCCAGGGCTTTTTGAACCAGTCAGCGCCGATTAACCCCAATGAGTACGACTACGTATGGAAGTATGATCGTCGATACTGGGACTTCCAGCCTGGAAACGAGATTGAGGAGGAATGTCCTTGGGATTATCCTCGATTCTGGGATGATGACGGGACCGGCTTAACTACCACGACGCTTGGCACTGGATGTCGCAACAGTGAATTTGACCAGGTACGCCCCTCGTTGATTTTTGCATTCTCCTATGGAAGGTGGTAAGGGGACAACCTGGGGTTGCTGAATATACATCGGCCCGGCTCCCCTGTTTTACCCCACCACTTTTTCACTCTCCTCCTCTCTTCCTCCCATAACTTCTTCATTTCTTGACCATAGCTGACCTCTACAGTATGGAGAAGTTGCCGCCTTTGGAAATTATACCGAGTGGGAAGGGCAGATATCAAAATTCGCACTCGTGCAGGATCGTCTACGCGGATGGCGACCGGATGTGCTGGCCAAGATCAAGCACTTCTCATGTCTCACGATCACCATGCTTGACATCGACGGATACCGCGTCGATAAAGCTCTACAAGTCACCCTCGACTCCCTTGGAGAATGGTCCGAACATATGCGGGATTGTGCCAAGTCAGTTGGAAAGGAAAACTTCTTCCTCCCCGGAGAGATTGTCGCCGGAAACTCTTTTGGATCGCTATATATTGGTCGTGGCCAGCAGACAAATCAAACCAAGTCAAACCTGACGGAAGCATTCACAACGACGAACGAGACAGACAAGGCAAATCCAGAATTGTTCTTGAGACCTGCAGAAAGGTCCGCATTGGACGGTGCGGCATTCCACTACACATTATATCGTGGCCTGAGCCGGTTTCTAGGGTAAGTTTCTCTTCCCTTCAACACTTGAATTTTGTTGAAATTAACATCTTCTCGCTCAGTCTGGACGGTATCTACACCGCCGAGGGTGACCCGCCCGTAAACTTTGTCGAGACCTGGAATGAACTCGTGGCGACCAACGATATGATCAACACAAACACTGGCAAGTTTGATCCTCGTCATCAATTCGGTGTTACGAATCAGGATGTCTTCAGGTGGCCGGGAATCAAAAACGGAACCCACAAGCAGAATCTCGGTCTGTATGTCGCTACACTGATCATGCCGGGAATCCCCATGCTCGCCTGGGGCGAGGAGCAGGAGTTCTACGTACTGGACAACCAGGCTGATAATTATGTTTTTGGCCGTGCGCCCATGTCGTCCGCGCAGGCGTGGCAAATGCATGGATGTTACAAGTTGGGGACATCGAAATACGTTGATTTTCCACTCGAACGGTCCCTGACTGGATGTGAGGATGATTCTGTCAGTCTCGACCACCGCGATCCTTCTCACCCATTGCGAGGTATTCTCAAGATGATGTTCGAGATGCGTGAGAACTATCCTGCTCTCAATGATGGCTGGTACCTGCAACAATTGTCAAATCACACATTCGACGTCTACCTTCCCGGCAGTAATGGGACACCGACAGAGACTGGAATGTGGAGTGTCATGAGATCACGTTTTGTGGATCTGCAGAACTTTGATGGCCAAGGACAAGGAAATCAAAGCGTCTGGCTGGTATATTCAAATGACAACAAAACAGTGGAGCACCAGTTCAACTGCAGCAGTAAGGATGCTTTCATCTCGCCATTTCCCGCGGGAACAACGGTCAAGAACCTTTTCCCACCGTTCGAGGAATTCACCCTGGTCAACAGTTCGGTCAACCTTGGGTAAGATCTCTGTTCTGTTATTGATACGTGATACTGACAATGAGTAGATTCGAAGGGTCTCGCATTCCCAATGGATGTTATTCCAACTTCACTATGCCGGCTTGGGGCTTCAAAGCTTTTGTTCCGAAGAAGACATTTATGAAGCCGTCCCCATATATAACGAACTTTTCCCCGGGGCATGATGCTCGACTTGTACCACAGGGAACAAGTGGAGATACGATACGCATTGGATTCGAATTCTCACAGGAAATGGATTGTGCGGATATCACCAACTCGTTGAAGATCACGTCCAAAGCGCTTGACGATAAGATCCCGGAGATTGACACGACGTCGATCTCTTGCAAATCCATTGACGAGATTGACGTTGTGAAATGGCCGGGCGCACACACCAGCGTCTTCAAGTATGAGGCCGATCTGAGTAATGTCTTTCCAGGAATTCATAAACTCACCCTTGACAACGTGACTACAGCAGATGGCAATCAGACCACAGGGGTAAGTACATTCCTCGTTCTGAAGAGAAACCACGATGCTAACCTATTTGGGCAGTCTGTTGATCACTTCCTTTTCCGAATCGGGCAAATCAATAATCCGATGGTCTGGCCACAGCTGGCCAATTACAGTAGAACACTGCTGTTTGACAACCCATCGTCTGAGACTGATGTCTTGTCAGTGAGGCCTCAAGCCCCGGGTGCAGATCTGTGGCGATATTCACTGGACTTTGGAGCTTCATTCAGTCCCTGGATTGCATACACCGGCTTCAACACGACAATCCCGGGAAAGAACTGGACCGGTACTGCCAAACAGGCATGGGATGGAGAACACATCATTGCTCAATACTGGAGCAAGTTGTCTGGAAGCAGTGCTCACTGGCAGCATGGCGACACGCAATGGGCATACAAGCCCCCACGTCGCTTCCCAAACCTCTTCATTGCAGGCGAGTTCAACCAGTTTGGATATGACGCTGGCTATTCCAACAAAATGGCCCTCAGCAACACCACTGGCTTGTGGGAAATTCACTTCATGGGCGAATGGCCCGTGCAAGTTGCATTCAACGCTTGGGGATTGAATGAAAACGGCCTCCCCGATCAAACACAGGTGTTCGGCGACATCGATGGTGACAATGTTCTGGATCAAGTTCCCCCGATCACGCTGCTGAGCAATGTGTTCAACGTCACTATTCCACCACCCTCGCCATATCTTGCCTTCAAGCTGTCGGTGGGAGATGGTGATCTCAAGGTCTATGCTACGCCCACTGGATCAAGATGGGTCCAGCTGGCCATTTTCATTATACTGGCAATTGTGCCTGTAACCACAGCTATCAGTGCGGTGTATGTTTACCTGAAAGCGTTTGCTCAGGTCAAATTCAATCAGATCGGTGTCACCGAGAAGAGATCTACCTTCGCTCCATTGGTCAGCGTCTTTCACAAGGTGGCCGATCGATCGAATGACAGAGATTCCAATGCCGGACTTGCTCTGACCAACGTGGGACCGTTCCCATCCGAGACTGCAGGTGTCGCCGGTGCCATTGTGAACAGTCACCGACGAACGGTGTTGATTGCTACGATGGAGTACGATATTGAAGACTGGGCTATTAAGATCAAAATCGGTGGACTGGGCGTGATGGCCCAGCTTCTGGGGAAACACCTTTCCCAGCAGGATCTTATATGGGTGGTACCTTGTGTTGGAGGTGTTGACTACCCCAGGGACGACCCTGGTGAGCCGATGGTAATCACCGTTCTTGGTAATGACTACCAAGTGGATGTCCAGTATCATCGACTGCGGAACATCACGTACGTCTTGTTAGACGCGCCTGTGTTCCGGGCTCAGACCAAATCAGAGCCGTATCCTGCTCGCATGGATGACCTGGACTCGGCTATCTTCTATTCTAGTTGGAATCAGTGTATCGCTGAAGCTATCAGGAGATTCCCGGCAATCGACCTCTATCACATCAATGACTACCACGGTGCCGCTGCACCTCTCTATCTTCTCCCTCGCACGATTCCGTGCTGCCTGTCTCTGCACAATGCTGAATTCCAAGGACTCTGGCCAATGAAAACCCAAAAGCAAAACCAGGAGGTTTGCAGAGTGTTCAACCTCGATTACGCATTGGTTAAGAAGTATGTGCAATTTGGTGAAGTTTTCAATCTTCTCCATGCAGGTGCCAACTACCTGAAAATTCATCAAAATGGATTCGGTGCTGTCGGTGTCTCCAAAAAATATGGCAAGAGATCCTACGCCAGATACCCTATTTTTTGGGGCCTGAAGAACATCGAAGCGCTGCCAAACCCCGATCCATCTGACCTTGCCGACTGGGATCATAACACAAGCAACGATCTCGAAGATGTTGTCATCGATACCGAATTTGAAGCAGGACGTGTTGCATTCAAGAAGCAAGCACAAGAATGGGCAGGGCTTAATGTTGACCCAGAGGCCCAGCTCTTCGTTTTCGTCGGTCGCTGGTCCATGCAAAAAGGCGTTGATCTGATTGCAGACATCTTCCCATCCATTCTAGACGCCCATCCAGAGGTTCAGCTGATGTGCATTGGCCCAGTGATTGATCTTCATGGAAGGTTTGCCGCGTTGAAACTAAATCGACTAATGACACTCTACCCTGGGCGAGTGTATTCCAAGCCAGAATTCACTGCGTTGCCACCCTTCATCTTCACTGGCGCTGAGTTTGCCTTGATACCTTCACGTGATGAACCGTTCGGCTTGGTGGCCGTGGAATTTGGACGAAAAGGAGCGTTGGGCGTGGGATCACGGTAATATCGATCTGCCTTTTGTCCGATACTTATACTAACAAATTTATTTAGTGTTGGTGGCCTAGGACAGATGCCAGGATGGTGGTTCACGATGTAAGGTACTCATTCTGTGAGGGCAAGCTCAGACTAACCCGTTCTAGTGAATCCATGACAACCAAACATCTTATCCAACAGTTCAAGATGGCTATCAACGATGCTCTGAAATCATCCCAAGAGACACGAGCGCTAATGCGTGCACGATCCAGCAAGCAACGTTTCCCTGTCGCCCAGTGGGCCGAAGATCTAGAAATCCTTCAAACCACCTCAATCGAGAAGCACGCCAAGCATTCCAAACGCAGCGATCGCGGCTCATGGAGAATTTCCCATGGCAGCACCCTCGTCCCAGAAAGCATTCGAAATGTCTCATCGGGCTCAAGTAACAGCCGCGAACAGAGCCGATCACGAGGCTCCACTGTGTCTGTCCCGCCAAGCGGGGCGATCACGCCCGATGCAAGAATGTCTGTACCTCGACCAGGATTTGAAAATGTTCTCACGCCTACAAATTTGTCTTTCAGTCTAAATATGTCCGACGAGCCTGAATCTGACACCGACACAAGACGCAGACCCTTGTCATCTAACCCTCCTGCAAATGCAGATTCAAGAATTGTTTACTCTCCGGCAAGTGATGGGGACGTTCTCGAGCCCAATCCTAGGGCGGTGCACGATTACTTCAGTAATCGCCCATCCCCACTTGGTACACCTACTGCTTACTTTGGCCGATCTGGTGCCAGCACGCCAGTTCTCGGTCTATCGGCAGAAGACGGTTTGCTGGGCCGAAGAGACGCAAGGGCGTCCATGATGAGTCTGGTCAGCGTCGATGGTATCGTCAAAGAGAAACAAGACTACAATCTGCAAAAGGTCGATCCATTCTTCACGGACTCGAACAACGAATATGCGGATAAGTTTGAAAGGAAGCTTGCGGGTCTGACTGGCAAAAACTCCGAAGACCAGCTCTGCATTGAGGAATTCCTTGAGAAGAGTCAAAAGGACTGGTTCAATCGATACCGCGAAGTCAAACTTGGCAAGTCCTATTCGCCGTCTCCTGCTTCTTCTGTCTTCCGCTTCAAGATTCGTGAGCCTCGACCAGAGAGCCCAGAAGTTGCCAGCTCAGAAACAGATCCGAATGCTGGGCAATTCCTTCTCCCAAGTAACTACGTTCCACCCACGGGCTTGAAGCGTTTCATGTTGATGAAACTGGGTGATTGGCCTGTATACTCCCTCTTCCTTGCTTTTGTAAGTTGAAATTCCCACAAAAAGGAAAACTTCACAGATGTTAACGACAATTCTCCAGGGTCAAATTCTCGCATTGAACTCATACCAGATCACACTCCTCAATGGTGAGATTGGAGAGACAGCTGAAAAGCTTTACGTTCTGGCCTCCATCTATCTTGCCTCTTCGATCATATGGTGGATGGTCTTCCGTCTGGTCCCCTCAGTCTATGTGCTGTCAACTCCTTTCTTCGTATGTTAACGCCCATCTATCTGGCTTCAAAGATTGCAAGCTAACTGCCAACAGCTCTACGGGCTTGCCTTTTTGTTTGTAGGTCTTGCCGGTCCCATCAGCAACACCCTGAGTCGGACATGGCTACAAAACGTGGGAACTGGACTGTACTCGTTCGCATCTTCGAGTGGCTCAATTTTCTTCTCCCTCAACTTTGGAGATGAGGGTATGCAAAATTTCCTGTGGAAACTACGAAAATAAGCTGAATCCTTCTCTAGGTGGAGCGCCTCTGAAGTCTTGGATTTTCAGAGCCACAGTCATCCAGGGCTCTCAGCAATTGGTGATCAGTTTCCTTTGGTACTGGGGTAGCTGGATGTCATCTCTCAACCAACAGGGCAGCACACAGTTCAGCCTGATCGCAACCGATCCAAGCACCTTGCTCGGGATCGGAATCGGACTTGCCGCTTTTCTGTGGATTGTCGGTGCGATGGTTCTATTTGGGCTTCCTGGATATTACAGACAGGCACCAGGTCAAGTGCCGACATTCTACCTATCTCTCTTCCGCCGTCGCATTATTCTGGTATGACTCTTCCGATTACCCTCCATCTGCTTAATTGTGATTCTGACACTGTATCCTCTAGTGGTTTTTCTACATGGTCTTCATCTCGAACTACTGGCTATCGGCGCCATATGGACGAAACTGGCTCTATCTCTGGTCCAGCAAACATGCAGAAGTGTGGCAGATTGTGCTTCTCGTCCTCTTCTTCTTTATCATAGTCTGGGCGGGAGCTCTCTGGGTCTTCCACACCTTCTCCAAGCGGCATGCCTGGTTCATTCCGATATTTGCCGTCGGTCTTGGTGCTCCTCGATGGGCTCAGATGTTGTGGGGAACCTCAAATATTGCCACTTACATCCCCTGGGCCGGTGGCCCTGTAGCCGGAGCTATCCTTGGAAGAGCACTGTGGCTCTGGCTAGGTGTTTTGGATTCCCTCCAAGGTGTCGGTAAGCTATCTATCGCGGAGACTAAGAAAAAAACGCAACATAAACTAATTCCTTCATTCTAGGATTTGGAATGATCCTCCTCCACACAATGACCCGATTCCATGTCACCTTCACACTTCTAGCTGCGCAAGTGGTCGGCTCTGTTGCCACTATTCTCGCCCGTGCGACAGCGCCGAACAAGCTAGGCCCTGGTGACGTTTTCCCTGATTTCTCCGCGGGAATCATGGCCGGCCTAGCAAAGGCCGACTTCTGGGTTTGTTTGCTTTTCATGATATCCATCAACGTACTCTGCATCTTCTTCTATCGCAAGGAACAACTGTCTAAGCCTTGATTGTTTTTCCTAGCTTGATACCGTCTTCTGCTTGGTTTTTCTCGTTTGGTTTTCTCTTTTTTTCTTTTGGTTTTATATCAACTGAACATTGTCTGGCGCAGGTACTGTGATTTGTGATTGAAGGATTAATTATACTAAAGTGGGCTGCATTCTCTGAGGTGACATAGACTTTGTGAAGGTTGCCTCGAGTTCTTGATCTGTACATACTGTATAAAATACTATTAATTTACATCTTCAATATGACGATCGACTAAAAAACTTGGAATATATATTTCAGGATCTCTAAACCTCTCTTCAAACCTCTTTTTAAACCTCTTTTTAAACCTCTTTTTAAACCTCTTTTTCGTCAGTGGTTATCCTTGGAACGAATGAGGTTGACGGCAGCTCACGTGAACACCCTAAGGTTCACATCTTATTGGCGGCTGTCAGGCCATCACCATATCGTCACAGCTCCATCGGATCCCCGCTAGCCACCTTTGTCATTAAAGTTCCTGTAACATGGTTTTAGAAGAATCCACACTTTCTGACTTCATATCACTCAACACTATCTACACATAGTGCTATGCTATAGCTCTCCCGAAGGTCATCAAGAGACACGTGCACAAACGAAAGGCACAAGCGAAATGGAAACTCGTCCCTCCTCAAACGCAGCAGAAGATTCCAGCTTTGAGACTGAAATCCACCCAACAACCGCCCGAACCGCCTGGATTATCAACCGACCATCCTCACGAGAGGAGATTGAGGTGGCTATCGACATAATCAAAGAAGAATTCGACTCAGACTGCCCCCCACCTTCCCAATACCTCCTCGTCAAATGCATCCCATCCAAGCTTTTTAAGGCGCTTCTGAAAGATCAAGAGACTCCAAAAGGAGTGCGTGTGTTAATCCTTGGTCACAAACAAGAGATCCTATACAGAATCATACCGGGCAATTGGCATCAATTCATTGTTCAGAGATTTAATAAATGGCTCGACTATACTCTCGAAGCTATGGGGTTAAGCTCCGTCACTCGTGATTTCACATTTGGCGGGTCTACACGGCAGACTAATGGCACGTACGAAAAGGAGCCGGACTCCTCTTTTTTCCCCGGAACACCGTCGGCCACTGGAGGTCCTGTCGTTTGGCCCTCTCTCGTCTTAGAGGCTGGCGCATCTGAGTCCCTCCCACAACTAAGGGCAGATGCCCAATGGTGGTACGTAAACTCGGGCAACAGAACAAAGATTGTCGTCCTCATATCTACCCAATCTCACCTCAGCGATGTGGTTATCGAGATTTGGACCGAGATCACGAACCAGAGCGATATGACCAGGGGTCGGCAGAGTCATGTCCTGGGATGCACGCAGACGGCTAGATACACCAATGGCGTAGGAACAGGTCTTCCGCTAGACATCCCGTTCGAAAGTCTGATGCGGCGGCCGAAGCGGAACCAAGAAGAGGAGGACCCCCAGCTGACCCTGGAATGGGTCAAGTGGCTCTGCCACTGAGACTAGCTGTGTTTGGGGACGTCCTGAGTCTGGTGAAAGAAGAGGGATTCGAATGTCAAGGGGCTGGGAGGAAATGAGAGTACAGGCCATGATAGACGTGTGCTACAGATAGAAGAGAGGGAGCAGCACAGAGATCTCTTGATGCGTGGGGAGGAGAGAAGAAAGAGAGAGAAGAAAGAGAGAGAGAAAGAGAGAGAGAAAGAGAGAGAGAAAGAGAGAGAGAAAGAGAGAGAAAGAAAGTGAGAGAAAGAAAGTGAGAGAGAGAGGGAAGAGATGTGGGGAGATACAGAGGCAGGCAGGTCACGTGACCCGCACTCTAACAGGCCACGAAAGGAACAGCAAGCTGATGGCACAACTTGACAATATGCTCAAGCTCTTGAAGCAAATCGACTCCGTGGAAATTCCGCCAAATGACTTTGAGACTGCCTGGGATCACAACTTGTTCGTTAGTCTATCTGCACGGGTTCGACATTTCCTCAGCCCAGTTCCCATCCCATCAAAACCAACGGAGACCCATATCACTGAGCGTGCATGATGTCCTCCACCCTTTCCCAGCAAAGCACCACTCCCGTTACGACCTCGTCCACATCCGAATTTTGACCGCGGGCCTGAAAAAGAATGACTATGCCACGGTTCTTACCAATGCCAGAGCTTGCCCGAAGCAGCCGTCATCCAGCAGCATCCTGTCATGAGCTTGCCATGTTTACCTCCGCCCAGTTCTACTTTGCTTAGGAGCTTATTCAGCCTATTTATTGTTCAAGGTGCTGTTTCTTCGGCACTTTGTTTTTCTGCGTCTTCCTATTCTAATTCGAAATACAGTAAAACCGGAATAGTATAAACCTGGGCCAGTGCGATTTCCTAGTTTTAGGCGATTTTTTAACCGAAAATTCTGGTTTCCCATCCAATACAAAGTCATCTACAGCCTGTGATGGTTTGCTACCATCAGCAGGTTTTTGCTTTCCATGCGTTTGCGCGTTTGCACGTTTGCATACTTTGCATACTCCCTCTGTACTATAAGAGCAGGTCTCTCCATAGTCTTCTTCTTCATCTTAGTTCTCTTTGTTGAATGGACCTTCTTCTGAAGCTTGCCGCCTCACATTAGAACTAAGATCCTCACTACAGAAGTCCTGTATCTGAGAAGCAGGCAACCCTCGCCATTTGGTTTCTGATTGGCCACAATGACTCCACTATCCCGATCTGAATTAGCCCCGTTCAATCACGTGACTCAATCAACATTGCCCCGTGACACCACTTGGCCTCGGTTTGCAGGCCTCCACAATTAGCGTGCAAAACATGGTGTTTGCCCAGACTGCTCAAGTGCGTACCTGGTGTACCTGGCGCCGTTAGGAGAGCATGGCTCGTGACCTGGGCAATTAAAGGGCCTGAGGCATTGATCTAAAATTGAAAAATTTCATCTGCATGCCACGTCAAGTCGACACCAAGGCATGGATGCCGCCCCACCGAGGGGTTAACTCAGGCGTCAAAATGTTTGACGCATAATGAGTTCCTAATTCTGTGCCGAAGATACCGAATTCTGTCAAACCAAACATGCCCCGCGGCGAACGTGTTTATGGTGCTGATGAAGTGCGAGATCCTCCAATTTTCAGTCCTCGCCACGATGAGATCGAAGCCACGACTGATGCAACCTGTCATCTCTGTATTGCTCTAGTCAATTATCAAACGAGCCAATATCTTTCCTGCGACAAAACCGAAAATATCGAGCTGTATCGAAGAATATGCTTTCACAAAGCTTGCGATACATGTCCCTCCGAATCACACGATCGTCTTTGTGAAATTTGCAAACACATGAGACTCGAGCATATAATTCGCTGTGGATTATATGGGTATGACAGGGAGATAGCCCGCGATGGACGGGGTATGACCAATGCTCTTGGCCTTTGGGGCCTGAATTTTCTCATGGGGGACTGATGATTTGCGAGAGCGCTCCAAAAATTGTGAGGTTTGTTCAGTATTTGTGCCAGAGGCAGCTAGGATCCAAGAGATAAATCATCTCAAAGCCAGCGAAAAGGTGACCATATGTGTGAAATTACGGCACGGGACTCTCAAGGGTGTTGATTATGACTTCACCATTATATTGAATGTTGGAGAAAATGAAAGAAGTTCGTGCGTTGCCCCCTTTTTTGCTATCGTGGAATCATTCACTCATACTGTTTTCAGCCGGCGTGAGATTTGTGGGGACCGCAGATAGTCGGTGTGGGAAACGACTTGTTATGCTCGACAGGCCAGATGTAGAGATTAACTGGGAACCATTCTCCCGTTGGATCGAACAAAATGAGACAAGCGCCCCTTCTCCCGCGATTTCTGAATTGTCAGTTCCAACTCGATTTCGTGTCATTGATATCGGGAAGAAATGCGTGATCAAAGCCTCATCATCTTGCAGATATGCTGCACTAAGCTATGTGTGGGGAAATGTGAAGACCTCGCTACAAGCCTCTACATCAAATATTGAAAGCCTCGGGGTGTCTGGGTCGCTATCAGATATTGAAAATCCGTTGGCAGCAGTGATTTCTGACGCGATCACTGCATGTGAGCATCTCAAAATTGACTATTTATGGGTTGATCAACTGTGCATCTTGCAAGATATCACGCTGGAAGAGAAAACACCCCACTTGAACGCAATGGGCGCTATCTATAACCATGCGTGTGTGACTCTGGTCGCTCTAGCAGGAGCCGATGCCAATTATGGACTCCCTGGAGTTGGAGGCAGACAACGGATCCCCAGATGGAAGGGCAAACTACAGGGGCTCTATCTTCTCAATGAAGTTGATGGGCATGGGGCAGTTCTCAGACAGTCTAAATGGGCAACTCGAGGGTGGACATTTCAGGAGGCAATGCTCTCACAAAGAATGTTGTTATTCTCAGATATGGGGCTTGTGTTTGAGCCTTATTATGGCGTCCCACAATACGAAGATTGGGGCAACTATGCGGATTGGGGTTCGGCTAATATTCCTCTCAAAAACTACGAAGAGCAAGTCAAACAATTCACAAGAAGAGACTTCAGCAAAGAGTCGGATATACTACAAGCCTTTGCAGGTCTCCTGTCTGCAACCTGCGAAGAGGGTCATTACTATGGACTTCCACTCGATCACTTCGATGATTCGCTTTTCTGGTATACCACGGACAAAAGCTACCAAGCCAGGACTGCACCGGACCATGACGATATCTTTCCGTCGTGGGCTTGGTCATCAATCACTGGTCCTATTGATTTCTTGAGAAGCGATATGAAAAGTGGATTGCTGGCAATGTGGGCAATTCCATCAAGCAGTGATGGCGAAAATAATCTGAAAGTGATCCCAAATTCGGTGGAGAGTCAGCAAAGAGGTAGTTACCAAGACGAGTTTATGATGACGCACGCGTGGAGACGGGGCTGTTTCCCCGAGAAGATCCCAGCAGCACTGGACAAGGATGGTCTGAGTTGGGATGAGTATCTCGAAGCGCGTGAAGGCAAATGGTCATCGCTCGGAGAGATCTGCCATTTTGCCCAGGGTATCGACCGGCAAAACACTTCGATCAGTGATGCCGAAACCAAATTTCCTGCTCACCTTCAGCGCAAATGTGGACCAGGTTGTCTTCTGGTCTACACCCAGTCGCTCCGAGTCAAAATCATAAGAGCACAAGATGATCGCTACTTCAAGCTACAGGACAACCAGGGAGTAATAGTAGCATGGCTGTTGGAGAGCACATACAAGTGGGATCTGATAAGCAATGCATGCTCGGATGAGACCGCCGACCTATTCGATCTGATAGCTCTGTTTACGCACTGGCATCGGGACAGTGATGAAAGTGACCCACATGTGAATGGAGGGGCATATGGCGAGGAATGCCGTTCGGGATGGCCGAGTGTCATATCAACAGAGCGGCCACTTGAGCCTGAAATGCTGAAGGTCATTCTGATGCTTGTAAAGACTGAACATGGCATTAGCAAGCGTGTTGGACTTGCTCGAGCCTGGCTTCCTGTCTGGTGTGACGTAAAGCCACAGTTTAACACATTCATTCTTTCCTAAGGGAAACAGTACAATGCAATGCGGTGATCTATGCAGCCAAGAAAAGTGGGAATAATCGAGTAATGAAACATCGGATAACAGTGTGCGAAGGTTGTAATTTCGGCTAAATATCATCACGCATATCCTTGCTAATGAGAGATGGCAAATTCAATTAAGAGCGATGCAATTACTCCGTATAGAGCTCTCGGCATAGAACTCAAGTACTCCATACGGGCGAGGGAGTAACCAAGGGGGCCGTCTAGCCCGATACAGTAATTCACATTTCCACCACTCATAGTGTCTATTTAAAGACTAGGGCGATAGGGTCTAGCCATTAATCTGACAACATTCAAGGTCCACTTTAAGCCTAGTCAGGGGAGCTAACGTTTAGCTGTACTCTGTCGCAAGGTATAAATGAGCATGAGGGTCCTTATTTTCTTTTGCCAAATTCATCTCTCTCTACTATTCGATTTGTTATTCTTGCCACTCTTTTCAAGATAACACGATACTCATCCATTCATTCTTTTTATTTCATTTCTTTACTTCATTCTCCTATCATATTCTTTAATTTCATTCCCTTACTCTCCACAAAATGTATCATATTTTTCTATCATTCGTCGTCGCCCTCTGCCTTGGCACACACTGGGCGGTCGCGGCTACAACATCGGGTGAAATTGCCAATTCTCTCAACGAACTAGCACAGCAAGGATTCGCCATTAAACAGCTCGTATTTGAAATTAACTCCACTGCGGACGCTGGTCCTATTCCGGTAAGTGGGTCTTTGGGTGCACAAATGACAGCTCATAACGGAATCCAGGATATTTACACTGAAATGGACACCATGGGCGCTGTGATTTTGACAGATGTAAAATATATCACGAATACGCCAATCATTACTGGTCAGACAGAGCAGCAGGATGTCTATGAGGGATACTCTAACGTAAGTGGATGGCCAGACCTCGGGAAATAGGTCATTTAGAGCCCTGGAGTCACCCATACTTAATGACCCTAGTTCGTACAATCCCTCCTCGAGCTCATGGACGCCTTTTCAAGTAGCGCAACTCAGCTGAAAGCGATTAACTCAACCACCAAAGACAAAGTGCCCTCTGAAATTCGCATCTTGCAAAGTGCCGTTGACGTGAGTTTCTGAACGTATTCCTTGCGATAGCCTGAGTACTCCGTACATTGCTGATCGGATGCTGACACTCCACAAGGCCTACTTTTACAATATCATTGGTCTTTTCTCTGCCGAAAGCTCGTATAACGCCCAGGCAACTAATCAGAAGGCTCAAGTGGATACGCATTGCTTCCAGGCTGTCTGGGCATTTGATCTCGGTTCTAGCAATGGTAGTCAGGCTACTGCTAGCGCGCGCAGGAGCAGCTCCCTTCATTCTCGGCGGATGAAGCGTGCTTTCTTTTAGACTATGTCTATCTTTAAGCACGGAGTACTCCGTACAGTGTGATGTTTGAAGTGTAGCTTACAAGACCATTCAGGGTGTCTGCCTTAGGTGTCGACTTCAAGTATATACTCCCTCCCTGCCTCAGTCTTCGAAGAAGACCTCCATAGACGCAGACTTGACAATATTGATCCATCCAGCTCCGTCAGTCAGAGCCAATAGCACTACTTTGTCTCCGACCGCCAGCGTTCGTACAAAGTCGCCTTGATCGTCTTCCCCAACTGGCCTCCGGCCCCCGAACTCAGCGAATTGTAAATTCCGACTAGGATCCGAGTACCAGGTGCAGTCGAATGTATGCAGAGTCGTCGTTCTTTGTTTGTTTCGAGCCCATTCTCGCTGCAGAGTAATCTGACCATTGCGTAAAATTCCAAGTGCAAAGGTTGAGTGGCTTGTGAAGGAGCCGTCCGGCAGATGTCCAAAATATTGAGGATGGCTCCATCCTTGATCTCGGCCCTCAACGACGACATGAATTCGTGATACAGGAAGTTTGATATTGCTGGGGATCTCATCGCTTATCAAATATCTCTCTTCGCGTAGAGATGTTGGATGCCAGGTTCGATCCCCTCGTAGTTGCCATTGGCAAGACTCTTTGGGCGCGCCAAGCACCATGCGCCAGTCGGATCGACTTGATCGAGTAGATGAGGTCGCTGCTATGGGATTTGGTGTCGTGGGTCTGTCTTTGGGATTCACAATTGAGAAGCAGGTGTTCACACTAGAGCACCAGTCAACCGGCATGCGGTTGTAGTTGTCTTTGATGTGTAGGCTGGCATTTGATTGAACAAGAACCTCTGCCATTTCCGGTGAGTCGGATGCCACAGCATGATGAAGTGCGGTTTTCCCATTTTTGTCTTGTGCATTGATATCGATGGAGTTTTGAAGCAGGAATTGTATGGTCCCTCGTAGCTTTTTGTCGATGGCCTTCATCAGTAGGGTTCTGCCACTGCTATCCTTGGTATCAAGAAAAGAGCGGTCACAGGCGACTACCTTGGAGGTCATCTTGACCATAAGCTCGTCGGAGTTTGTTTCAGCAAAATGATGGAGAATCATTGGACGATCACTTTCATTCACCAGATCGAGGACGAAGTTATCGTCCGACTCCGTGACAATTTCTAACATCGCATCACATGCAGCTCCGAATGCAGCTGAAAGTAATGGATCTCCTCGGCCAGTAGAACGAAGTTTGTTCGCTGCGTGCAGAATTGGTACATTCCCTCTGTTATTCTTCGAGGTCAAAAGCTGGCGAAATTTAGCAGACGGTATGACTTGTTTCATGATCTTGAAATAGATCTCCCTATCAAACTGAAGGGCAATGTGAAGTATATTTCTGCCATCTTTTTCACAGATCAAAGGATCTGCACGCTTCAGTAGACTCTTCAAAATTTGCACGCCAGAGGCGGAGTCAGTTCTCTCTGAAGCGATGTGTAAAGGGGTACGTCCAGTTCTTTGTTGGATGTCTGGATTGGCTCCTCCTTGTAATAAAGCTTGAACTGCTTCGAGATTTTGCCAATGAGTTGCAACGTGGAGAGGAGTATCTTCCCAGTCCAACCAGCCTGTCTGGTTGAGAAGCTCTTTGTCCACCTTTACCAATAACTTGATGACTTCTGGCTGGTTTTTGAGCGCTGCATTGAACAGTGGACTGCAGGAGTCGTAGCATTGGTGGTATAACAGTTTGCGCTTCTCTTCGGGAAATCGGGATAGAGCTTGAATGATCATTTTTACGATCCTAGACTGGGATCCATGATCTGAGACGGCCAAATTCAGGATTGAGTTACCACGAGAGTCGTGTTGATTGGCCAGGCTTTGAAGTTGCTCGTCTGACAAAGATTGTAGAATGTAACCAACCACATTGGCCAGTCCTTGTACAGTGGATTCAAAAAGTGCGGATTGAGCTCGTGCTGTCTTGTGCATGGGATCGGCGGAGTTCTTCAGTAAGAATAGTGCGATGTCTTCTTGATGCATGTTGCAAGCCAGCCACAATGGAGTTCGATCTGCATTGTCCTCTGTGTTGACATCGGCATTTGCGGTGTCCACCAGCAGCTCCACAACTTCTCGATGCCCTTGCTCGACAGCCCATAGGAGTGAAGTTCGACCAAACGCTCGATCTTTGAAGTTAATATCCTCCTTTCCGTCCATCAACAGCTCCTTCACTACCGTGTCATGGCCGAAATATGAGGCTATCATCATGGTGTTTGTGAGGGTCCGCAGCGGACTCGATGGACGGAACAGTGTAAATAACCGAGACCATGCATTGAACCGTCGAGATGTCTTGTCGCAAACTTTGAGTACAGACTGTAACAGTGTCACATCACCCTGGGCCTGTGCTTTTTGATAATGTAACATCCAGGAATTGGAGGCGTATCCTAAATACTCATACTCGAAGAGCTCATCGAAGGGTACATCATCACCTGCATCCCAGTCAAAGCCATCGTCAAATTCTTTGAAACTGAGGAAATTGATGCAGCTTTTTGTCATAATGAGCTCGGTGGAGACTGGGTCAAGGGAATGCTTCCAGTGATCCAGTACTTCACTCTGCCCGAGAAGAAACTGTCGTGCGGTTTGGTGGATCAAAAATACTCGCTCATCTTTGATGCTAATGAAAAGACCGCCGATGAGTCGAACAGTTGACTTGAATCTTATTTCGTTGTCAAGGTCTGCCTTTAGGTCTTCATAGGACTCGTGAGTGTCATCGATTGTAAGAGCAACATTCATCTCGCTCAAAGTCAGAGGTCGAGTTGCGGCGACAATTATCGAGAAGAGCTTACGAGCTTGACCCTTGTTCTCAATTTTGGATAAGATCTTCTCATATGCATCGTCGACTGTCGGAGGAATGGATCCAACTATTTCTTTCAACTTTCTGCGGGTAGGCTGTACTTCCGCATTGAGAATATCGAAGACGAGGGTTGCCCAGAGATATGTACGTTGAGGCATGGACAGAAGCTCTTCTTCCAGTATAGACTGTTCCGCAGCGGTGAGACTCAAGGCTTCTGACAGATTGTGTAGCTTTGAACGGATAACCATATTAATCTCACGACTGATAGATTCTGACTCGTTTTCCCCAGAGAGGCGAATCTCTGGGAATTGTTGATTAAGCTCAGTAAATTGGCGCTCGATATCAAGGTATGGACGACTCGTTATCAAGAACTTGAGTCGCGATTTGCTCTCCTGGGAGGCTGAATTTTTGTAAAAGTCGACCAGTGCCCTGATGAACTGGTATCGCTCGGTCTTTGGGCATTCATCAAGGCCATCCAAGATGCAAATAATCTCTCCGGCTTTGGAATCCTCGGTTGCTTTGAGAAGGATCCCCCAAAGCTTTTCAAACAGTTGTGGAAGCTTATCCCCCTCGACTTTGTAAGCTTTCATCGCATATGATATGAGGTCAACCCTTTGTGTGAGTAACTGGTGCAAGATAGCGGATAGTGCGGCCGCATTGCTCTTTTGGCTTTCGTCGTCATCCTTGAAAAAGAAGTAGCAAACCGCGCGGGTCTTGTTCGCTTCCAGACACTTTTCCTTATCAACAAGATACTTTGCTAATACTGATTTGCCGCATCCTGGGTCTGCGGAGACCCATAGAATATTGGAAGTCTTGCTTTCTTTGAACTTTTGGAAGTTCGGGTGTCTCAGAAACCACTCGCACGTCTTGTCTAGCCTCTCGGGATTTCGGTCTTTGAATTGTTCATAATTGGAAGTCCGGAAGGCTTGAACGCATTTGCTTTTTACCTCGCTCGGAATGTCATCTTCTAGAACTCATGTAAATCTTTGCTGTACATCGGAGGGCTTGGATGCATACCAAGATTCTGCCTCTTTTCAAAATCTACTGCCTTTTCCATGAGCTCTTCAAGGTCTTGCTTCACCCACTCGTACCCCTGGTCGTCTTTACCGCTGAACTTGACCATGTCTCTGTGGTTTTTGTCCAAGGTCCGAGGACGTTGGGCTGAATCATCAAGACTTGAAGACTCGGGAGGCACAATCTGGTGGGTGATTAGCACAAAATCCGTCGGAGACGAATATAGTCGAGTTGACTTTTGGGACATACCAGCTTGTTCATTCCTCCAATACCGATGCCGGTAAGCCCTTTGGATTCCTGGAATGATCGGACAGTGATCGTATCTTTTCTGTTGCTCCATTGGCTGGCGAATGTCTCGCGACAAAGCTCCAAACTCTCCGAGTCCGGTAACAGAGCTTGAATGATTTTCGGATTAGCGATCAATCCTATATTATTCACAATGCGTATCGCGACTTGTGCAGTGGTTGCCCATTCTTTGCTTCCCCGATGTGGAGTCCCGAAGAAAAATATTCCAATCGTTGAGAAGAAGATCCTCTTGATCTTGTCGTCGGGATCGGATTCTGCTCGTCTAAGAACTTCTTTGACAAGGATTCCTCCCAAGGAATGGGCGATGAAGATAAGTGGACGCGTCGGTGTTTTCCTCCTCTTGCCCTCCAAGTCGTATAACAGGTTCTTGGCATGGGAAAATAGATTCCCCTGGTTTACTGCTTGAGTCCCTTTCTGTACCACTGTGTTGTACCCAAATGTCATGATCCTAGCATTTGAAATATCCTCCTTGAGCAGGTCCTCGGGCCAGAAGACATCTCCTTGGGCTTCATTGTCCTCCTCCTTATGTTTTGAGTGACGGTGGCCGAGGATTCGACTAAGCCCTTTTTTCGGTGAGCTAGGGTGATATGTCCAAGTATCACGAGGGTGTCCCTGAAGACCGTGAACGAATACGATACTGGTCATTTGCTTGTTAATGATGGAGATCAAGGCGGGGCAGAAGGGTTTGGACTCACTCCGCTATCGCGTCTTCGGGGTCACTCAACACGGTCCAGCCAACCTCTCTGACGACTGGGCTCATCTTCGTCAACAATAATTATTTGCTCTGGCGGATGAAAAGAGCGGACAAGAGATGGAGTCGGGTGTAAAGGTGTTGTTGAGCCACAGGAGAAGATGATGAGCAGAAAGATAAAGAGAGTGAAGAAACTCGCCGAGCTGCAGTAAGACCAATATAGGCACCCATGAACCTGGACACGATTTAGCCTCATCAGTACACCCATAAATATCTCACCCGGGTACTTTGGAACCCGGGTGATCTAATGACTGATTCATTCGTCCACAGCCACAGCCACATCCATCCGATAAGATGGCGAAATATGTCACGCCGAGATTTTTTGCATGAGGAAGCTCGGCCAGGCAACTCTCATCCTGTGTGTGCTTTGTGCTTGGTGTCAAACAAGCCGCATTCCTGACGCGGCTGTAGCGAATCATAGCCGTCGCCTGTGGGTCATCTCTCAATGCTGACGTGGTCCACTGCCTGCGCCACAAGTAAGCAAGGGATCTGCGCCTCTTTCGCTCCCCAAATTAGCCGAGGACCATTTAGCCGGAGATGCGCTAGATACCTTGATCTAGCCATTCTTCAGGGGAAACTTACCAGTACCGCTGTCGTAAACTAACAGAGAGACTGCGTCGATAGGATTAGAAGGGCTGAACGTAGTCTCCATAGCCTCACCTCAAGTCAAATGAATTCAATATTGTTGTCGATTTTAAGCTCTGAAAGATATGGACCCTGGTTGTCGATAAATTTGATTCTCAACGGCCCGTTCCGCTGACCCGCAAATTTGCCATCCATGGATGCACCAGTCAATATGCCCATGCTCATCCTGTGATTCCAGCTGTTTTTCGAGTGCGATGGATGTTCATCTCGACAAACATATCGGTGCCGTAGGAGATTGAGAGCGCATTTGTTTTCGAAGCCCACGGACGAGAAGGAGGAGTCGACAGAAATACCCTCTTGCGGTTAGGGATGGCCGGGCTGAGAGTGTAAGCTTCGTCGAGTTAGACATTCAGAGGTTGCGCAGTTTTCATGCGGCAGTCACCTAGGCATTGGAAAGGATGATGTCAGCAACCCATTTTACACCGGCTTGAGTGGCTCTAGAGTAACCAAAGGAGCCCCATTGAAAACTGGCAAGGACTATTTTCTCGCTGGAATCGCGTGGCGAGGTGGATGGGAGAGATTGAATGGAGTGTACACATGTGCCTCTTCTCCCTACCTCCAATCTCTCATTTCCTTTTCCTTCTGTCTCTTTAGAGCTCTTTCTATGGCTACTTTCCCTGATAACTTCCATGGACTGGCGAAATTCGATGGAAAGGTTTCGAGTGTGGTTGTTAATCTGACCAACTTTCTGCTACCGCTGCAAGCTGAATAACCTAACGACCAAGATGTGGATGCACGGTGTTACTGATTCGCCATTGTCTTTTTGTTGACCAGTGAGGCGGAGCTACTTCGTTCCCATGAGCGCTGCACTGATACCTCAAGCAGAGCGATCCACTTCCTTGACGTTACTCCGGGCAACGGAGACCTTGCCCCATGCTGATGAGGTGACTAGGCTATCATTCTTCCGTTGCACCATGCGGGTCGCATGCTCGATCTAATCTGCCGAAGATCCTTTGTGGCCATGAAATCCTACGAGCTACCGCTGCGAGTCACCATCCGCTGGTGTTCCATTCCTCTTGGTGGAGGCGTGCACCGTGCAGAGATGGCTTCAATATTCGTAGCCGGGAGCTTGGTGGGGGTTTCTTGTGCCGAATTGCCAGAGAGTCAGGGGGGTGTGCTCTTGTGTGCGCCGAGTCAAAAACGGGAGAGTAAAAGACCTTGCGTAGGTTGCTGGTGGGCTATTCCAGTCCGCCGGTGCCTCACTCGGCCCATATACCGAGCCCAAAGCCTTGCTGCAAGTGCTACGCACGTCCGGACGCTCACTCAAGCCCTGCATGGTCCTTCAGTCCGCCATGCCCCCCAGGCGCGGAGTCAGGCCCCTGTGGATGGAAGACGAAGGGGAAGAGATGCAGGTTCTATCAAGTATCTTCTGCTCATGAGAAAACGAAAGAAATAGAGGGAGAGAGACAGAGAGGGCTGGATCTCCACAACTCCTTATACTATCTTGACAGACGGTTGAGAGGTCGGCTTTGTTCGACGCCAAATCAATGATATTTGCGGAATATGGCTCCTGGGGCTGAGCAGTTGTACATCAATGACATATTGTGGGGCAGAAATTCTCCTTTCATAGGGAGGTATGGTAAGCTTTAACCATGAGTGTTGGAAGATCTGATTTAGTCGCTTTGGGCAAGTCGTTGCGAAAGAACGAGGAAGAGGAATGACTCAGGATAGCAGTCGAGTAACTGATGATTTTGAACCTTTTTGGTCCTAAATAAGATGTAAATGCATACAGGAGAACCACCCAGACAAGGCTAAGGTGGACATTTCCGGGGCTCATCGAAGTAAAATGCATGACAAAAGTCGAGATCACGTGACTTGAACAGTATAAAATGAAAAGAAGGAGTAATAAAAGTTGTAGAGCTCCGGTGGTCTAGTGGTAACACAGCTTGAGGGCAGGGCTGGTTTCTAGGAAGCTTATGTGGAGTTTCCAGTTCCTGCCAGGAGGGAGGAATCAAATGCTAGCTAGATGACCCTCTGGTAGCCCAAGAGTTGACCCCACGGGGCACCCCGGTTCGATCCCTGCGATCTACGAATTTGGGACCCCAGGGCTCTACTTTCTCTTTTTTTTTCTTTCTTTTTTCTCCCCTTCACTCTGCTTTTTCCTCTCATTGTAAATTTGATGGCAGGGATGTCGGGAGTTGTACTCCGTAGACAGTTAGACTTTGTGGATCAGCGGGTGATCTGCACTACCCGCAGCAAGACCATTGGACCAGTGGATTCACGTGATCTACCCTGCATAGCCAAGGTTCCACCTTGAGCCCAAAAGGGGTGTTCTGCCACTGGGCACCGCACTGGGTTTCAGCCGCAACCGTCATGTTTCCTTCAGCCAAATTTTCTCTCCTCATACTCTCCGATTCACCCATCACCTGCTTACAAGGCATCACTGTCGGAGTGGACTAGTGTTACCCGCTGGGGATCGACCAGCTATTCTCCAGCAGCGTGACGATTTAAAGTGTTTCCCCCAAAGGTTTAGGCGCGGGGTTACTCCTTGATCGAAGCCATATCCTCATGGCTTAGCAAATCGGAATCGACAGATGAAAGGCTGACAGTAAATACAGACAACAGCTCCCTCACACACAAGCATTGTCCACCCTAACACCACATCCAAACGACGATACAAGACTCGGGTTCGGCGAGGAACCAACGCATCAATCTCTCCAATCTGGGAAAGCCCTTATCTCGGAAATAGCAGCCCGATGTTACGTGCTATGGCGTTTTCTATGGATCTCTCGGATCGTAAGGCCGAGCACTCCCTCCCTGGGTGAAGAGTGTACGACATGGCAACAATCTTGTTGACAGCAGCGTTCAACACTGGGGATGAAAGGGGAAGTGCACGCAACCTCATTGATGTACCCAAAACTGAGATAACCAGCGAGGTGACTGTTAGAATTCTCTGTTCTGACAAGCGATTTGAAATTGCTTGGATCGCCAGATTTATCACATCCAGCCACTCCCCTTGTCAACCCAGTTGCTTGTGTGTTCGCATCGCTGCTGCATAGACGCTGTGTCGCTCTAGAATCGGAAGCGGGACTCATCAATCTGTGTCAGGGTATGATTCTTTTACCGTGCTGATGGCCAGGCCCGTTTGCGTCGGCCAGTTATATTGCCTTGAAGTTTCCCGAAGGTGATTCCTTGGAAGCAGATTCAACTTTGCAGAATCCATGGAGCCTTCTGTTGGCTCGGGTGACTCTGTCATTAAGATCTGCAACGATCCCTCAAGGCTTTGAAGTCAGACAGTGAAGTAGCATCCCTGAACTTGGAATGAATACCCTGCTGCAGGAATGCCAATCATCATATGCGACTTGACCCTGGTCGTCGGAGGCTAGGTGAAGTTTCTATTCAACCAACACCAGCCTGCGCGATTTGCCACTGCGAAAGACGAAAAGGGTAGAGTTCATTAGTTGACTTCCGCCCGCCCACACAACGATAGCCTCCGAGGGATGTTAGCAAAAGTGGCCTGTTCCCACCCTCTTATCCCAGATCCCGGATCGTTCTGTTCGAACACATAAGCCATACACAAGATGCATACTACGAGCCGCGGTTTTTCATTTCTATTGTGCGTCATGTCATTTTTCATCCGGTCGACTACTGACCAACTACGAGGCCTTGTTCAGCCTGGGAATGTCCTTAAAGAAACTTTCAAATAACGAACTCACGCTTTTACCAGATTCCCGAGCTCAAGTCTAGAAGTAGACGGTCCAGGCTTGTGGTACAATATACTGTAACTAGACATGGGAATGGGCCGGTCACGTCCACTTAGTCATATGGACCGCAACCAGTGGACCCGTGGACAGAGCCCGCGTGTAAAAATTATATAAAACTTTTAGTTTCTATACACTCTGCCATGTCTTTTCTACATCAACACTCAATTCGAGGGCTTTGATAATTGGGTCGCAGACATTGCGCACAAACCTCCCGGATAAACCAAGCACATTGCCGACTGTGTAAAGCTCCGTCTCATCGTCCAGTGGAACTTGATGGGCTATACCAGCTTCTTGGAACACTCGGCAAGCGTCTGTTTGGAATGGATTGATGGGTTCACTGTTCCTCCGTTCTGGCTTACAGCTGGAGTAGCTCTAGCCAACTGCGCCTGGGCTGGTTCCATGTTTTGTAAGGTGGAATAGTCGTTCGAATAAAACAAAGCGCTCTGAGACCCTGAGCCGAGGGGCTCACTGTTATCGACAGAAGTGGGGGAAATTGACAGACGATCCTCTGAGAGGACGCAACAAATTGTTGTGCAGGGAGTTCGTCCCAACCCCCGTTTGTGTTTGTAGATAGACCCTCTCTCCCGAGTCTCTCTCTCCCGAGTCTCTCTCTCCCGAGTCTCTCTCTCCCGAGTCTCTCTCTCCCGAGTCTCTCTCTCCCGAGTCTCTCTCTCCCGAGTCTCTCTCTCCCGAGTCTCTCTCTCCCGAGTCTCTCTCTCCCGAGTCTCTCTCTCCCGAGTCTCTCTCTCCCGGCAGTCAATACGATCGGTTCTGTCCGCTTCTTCTTTTGACCTGTAGATCCAACACAAATGACGCGAGTCAGGATATGGAAGACGAGGGCGACGAAACAGACCGAACCTCAGAGAGGACGGAACAAATGACGCAAGGCGGGATAAGGAGATGCTCGTAGAAGGCGAAGGCGAGACAAATTCACGATGCTCAGCGAGGACGTGAAAAGAAAGGCGAAAAGGATTCACGCAGGGCTGATATATCCAGTGTCTTCACGGATGTGGTCAACTGGAATCAAGTACGGGAAGACTTGGTGAAGAGATCATGAGTTCAAGCTGGGTTTGGTGATCCTAGTTGGAGTACCACCAGCTGGTATTCGTCCGTAGGTAAGGGACGGACTCCGGTAGACCGATCTCTAGCACAAGAGAGGGCCAAGGTGTGGGTGCTCCGGCGGCCGGTTCCCTTCCAGGAAAAAACGAGGTGTCTGACCAAAGCTGGTCGAGAGAGGAGGGTCGGTCGAGAATGTGAGCGGTCAAGAGGGTGGTCGGATCTACTCCAAGGTCAATACTATCGGGGCTGGAGAGTAGCAGAGATAAACATCTCCCTTCTTCCTCTCCCTCCCGCGGTCAATTCAACCGGTTCTATCCAATCCTTCTTCGTTGCCACCTAGTCTCCACGAGAGGCAGATTGGGAGGTCAATGTTTCTGCTGAAGCTGCGTTTGAGGAGCTACTGGACTCGGAGCTTTGGGCCTCACGGCAGGATCGAAGATTGGCCGGGCATGCTTCGGCGTTGCCAGAGGGCATAGTAGGATGGGAGGTACGAGGTGAAGAGTTGGATAGGTGGGAAGTCTGAGAAGTTCGATAGTTGTTTCGATACTTGTTATTGTAGTTGTAGTAGTAGTAGCCCTGGACTAGTTGTTGTTGTTAACCTTGGAATGTTTTGAGAGGGCAGGAGCGAAGCTCTTATCCCCGTTCTCTCTCTAGGGGTATTAGGACGGGCTAAGCTGAGATTCAATCTAGACTAGGTCCTCCGAGTCCACTAATGTAAAGTTATACACCCAGGCCAATACATATCTACTAACTAGGCTAAAAAAACCACTATATCTGTCAAGCTCACATGCCTGGGACCGATACATATACTATCAAGTAGCGTCAATTGCACCACCCCCAGCGCCACGTGTAACCAATAAAACAGACAAGACGAACTTTAGAAGTAGTTAAAAACCAAAAAAACAAAACAAAAACATACAACAGTGAGGATTCGCTGGTGGTCACCCACCCAACTACTAACTCACCGGCGTGTGGCTTAAGTACGGCTGAGCGGACGGGAAGCCCTGTTTTCCACACCCTGTGGTCGTATGTGCTTGGAAATTGGCTGAAGGACTATATATAGTAGAAAGATTCATAGTGCCCAAGCGTTCCATGACGCATTTTGTGCCTGAGTATCCCGGCAAGAGCCTGATTTCAGATTGATAGAAAACCAAAATGCCCGAATTGCTATTACACAAATCATACGAATGAGTGTATATTTATTTCCCCAAGTTCAACCTCGGGGTTGCTGTAGTTTTGAAGCTCCAGGTTAATTCAGAGAGACATCAACCGATCGATCGGTCGGGATGTGACGGTCACATGACCTTCACCAAAAAGGAAACAGGTGCTGGTCTGAGATCTTTGCGTTTATGACCTCAATGGGATATACTTAAGTAACATCCCATCGTTCGTTCTGACGAAATTCCCTTCTTGGCATCTGCAATTACCAACCCCGCCCTGGTCGATCCCGTAGATCACGAACTAATCAGTACTAGGCCAGCACCCGGGTGAACGATCACGGGATCCAGTTTCGATTTTCCAGCTACATCCCTGCACTTTTCGCGGAATCATATGGCAAGGTCTTACCCCCTTCACGGTACCTCATCTCCCCAAGTCATCAAATGACAAATCGAACTCGACCAACGAATTCATATTACCGCCAGCATGACTACGCAATGGACAGAGCTTGTAGTACCCAAGTCCCGAAGCCATAAAAGCTGGAACGATCGTTGTCTCGATACATGGACATTGGAAGTTTTAGCCGCTGTCTTTAGCGTCTCTTGCTTCGTTGCGATCTGTGCCATCCTTGGCGGCTACGATGGCAAAGCTCGACCTGACTTGCGTTTTGGTCTATCTTTAAACGCCATCATCTCAGTTCTAGCGACTGGGTGCAAATCCTCATTGATGTTTACGATTGGAGAAGCTCTGAGCCAATCAAAATGGGTCCGCTTCCGCAACTCATCTACCCCACTCGTCGACATGCAGACTTTTGATAGTGCTAGCAGGGGGCCGCTGGGTGCAATGATGATGCTTTTCCACAAAAGACCCTCGGTCGCCACATTTGGCGCAGCAATTGTTGTTTTGATGCTTGCATTTGATCCATTTGTTCAGCAGATTACAAAGTATCCAACGAGATCGGCTCCGATACGCGATGGTACCGGGGTTGCGATCACGAAGAAATTGGCACACTTCGTTCCATTTGCCACTCCGATTCAGTGGGATATGGCATACACCTCCGGCCTGTGGTCCGATGACAATCCGTTCCACGCGACTTGCTCATCCGGCAACTGTACTTGGCCAGTGTCACGTTCTGTTGGCATGTGTACAAAATGCGACGATGTCAACACCGAGTCGATTCTACTACATTGTGATAGGAAGCCATACATAAATCAGACCTATACAGAGTGGTTGAATGGGGCCACTGGCTCAGATCACTTTGAATCATCATGCCATATCTCGTCACCATTCGGAAATTTCACCTTTGCCGATGCATCCTTTACAATTGGAAATAAAGGCCGCGATGACGACCACCGAGTGGTGTACTTCCCCAAACATACGACATGGCATGCCTACTCTGGATTCGATCCGCTGGCGCCAGTAGATGAAGCCGATCATACTGACAACTTCACATTCGCGGGTGTCACCAACCCTTTGATGGTGGTCGCCCATGCTCAGATGGAATACGACACAACATTCCCCAACGCGTCGGACCCAGTCCGGGGACTCAAAATTAAAAAAATAACAGGCTGTTCTCTTGCACTTTGTCTAAGCGACTGGAGGATTTCGGTCAATGATGGCACCACCCAGGCTGAAGCATCAGCCATAGAGTTTGGTGATATGTTCTGGCGACATACAGGTCATTATGTTAAAGATCAAACTTTGTGCTGGAGGCCAAACTCCAGTCCGCCACATATTCCTTTTGATCATACTGATGATGAAAAAGGTAACCGCAACCCAAGCATTCTTACCTCTAGCCTGGTAGAGTTCGCTTTCTGTGGCATCAATTCAGGTATTCTGCTCCCTGGAGCCCCCTTTGTGGGGTCAAGCATAACGGTATGGGCGTCTCACCAGGGCAAAGATGAAGAGTTCAGTCCTGAGATTCTCCGTGGAAACGCATCAACGGAACGTATCGCCCATGTTGGCCTTGAGTATGTCATGGCCAATGTCGCAAATTCAATCAACAATATGGCGTTAACTTCTAATGGAGAGGACCTAAGTGGAACCGCGTTTGGCATTGAGGTTTTTGTGGAAGTGCAGTGGCCATGGATAATTTTTCCCGGTCTACTGGTTGTTTTTGGGATAACTTTCTTTGCCGTTGCCGTCTTTACTAACAAAGACGCATCATTGTGGAAATCCTCTATTTTTGCTTTTCTTTATCATGGTCTAGAGGGTATTGATACCGAGGATTGCCCTACTGCGAGTACGATGGAAAGGAAGGCGGCAGATATCAGCGTTCAACTCACACAGTCTCCCGGAAAAGATGATTCGAAACTCAGAGAAGAACAGACCTTTCAAGAGACTTCAAACTAAATCAAGGCACTCGGGGTCTTTTGGTTTATAGCTAGATGACCAGCCTCCAATTCTTCTTGGGCGATAATCTCATGCGCAAGATCATCCTCATTGCCGTGCTTGATCGAAACGATACTTCCACAATCGTCAAGCCCGGCTCACATGCATCTCATGAAGGCGATATTCACTTCTTCCATGTGACTCAGGAGACTATCTATTCTGTTTTCCATACCGAACTTCTCGGGCCGGGCAGTCTCAAAAGTACGCGTAGGCCCGGGCGAAAAAGTCTCAGCGGGAAAACTGCCCGAACGGCCCGAACCCGGCAATTTCCCGACATCCACTCGGGAACTACCCGGCAAATAACCTTTCCCTACCACGATGCAGGAACCGAGCCTTGAAGGGCTCTTACATCTTGTATGTCATTACCTAAATTATAATCTTGATGCTTGGGTCCCACATTTGATCGTCTCATATCTTCCCATATCTGTGCCTAATCTTAAATCCCCATATCTTCCTGCGTGATTTCTTATCCAATCTGTTGGCCGTTTATCTTAGAATGGAAAACTCGAGAAATTATTCAGCTTGGCACTGGTAGGTATAGATATCAAGTGAATCTGGCACGCAGTAGGGGTTTCAAGCTTAAAACCCCCTTCGCCCCTGATTACGAACCCAGGGGAACTCGGTTTCGAGCCATTACCTGTCGGCATTCTTATCCTCTTCATTGATCCTTCACTCGCATTAATATGCGGGTTCAGAGCCTCCTCCTGGTGGTTGCCGCGGCCTTGCCGGTGCATGTCATCGCCTCCTCGGTGGCTCAAATTGGAGACATAGCTTACTATGTTCCGGACAAAGTCGAGGTATGTGTATATATATACCAATTTATATTATGATGACTGATAGAGAAACGAGGCGGACGCATGTTTTGATGTGAAAAAGCCGCTCCCCATGACAGTTGTCAGATCAACTGAGAAAATAATCTCGGCTGCATGGCTCAATGAGACCATTACCGACTTTAAAGCAAAAGACGATGTCTATTCAGATGACTTCTTGTCAGGTAATATGGTGTTAATGTTGAGGGATATACTGTAACTAACAGCAAATCAATAGCATTTTACTTTCAGGGTCCTGAGGGTGTTACTATTGCAGATGATGCTCGGGAATTCCTTCACAATCTGAAACCGCAACTTGTTAAATTTTCTCCTTCTACCTCTGATGCACCACTACCCAACGGCCCCTACTTCGCAACACGCTACGGACTTCACCGTGCCTGGCGCCTCTATGACGACTTCACCAACTCTTTTGTACTTGCTTCGGTCCCATCGGATAAGAGTTCGGACGTCTATGAGCCTCTTGCAGCCAGCAGTGGAAGTCAGTTGGGAGTGATCTCAGTCGCTGTTCCATCCAGACTTTTCTATACACCTACCGCCGAGAAGCCTCTTGCTGGGTACCGCGTGGCAGCCAAAGATGAATATGACATCAATGGTCTCATTACAACTTACGGTAGTCGATCATACGCAAAGACATACCCACCAGCCAATCAAACATCCGGCGTCATCCAGAATCTGATTGACCAAGGCGCCATTATTGTCGGCAAGACAAAGCTGTCTTTATTTGCAGGTGCTCTATTCACAGCCTCCGAGTGGACTGATTACGAACTACCAATTGTACGAGAGATCAGATTCCAAATTGAGCAGTACTGACCATTTACTAGAATGTCCGAGCGGATACGTACCAAATCCCCGGTGCTTCTTCAGCAGGATCCGGTTCTTCGATGGCGGCATACGATTGGTTGGATAACACAGTGGGCGAAGATACTGGTGGTTGTGAGTTTCATCTTTGGCCAGACTCACGAGCTATCGAGCTAACAGTAAAGCGATGCGCTTTCCGTCCGCATTGAATGGTGTCTTCGGGATCCGCTCGTCAATCAACAGCACAAACAACACCGCCACTCACTTCGGACCCTTCGATGCTGCCGGACACTTTGCTCGCGATGTCGACTCATTCAACACTTTTGGCTCGGCTATGTATCGTGGATCCGGGTTGAAAAATTACACCAAGTTCCCCACTAAGATTCTCTATCCACGCGAGTACTGGGTCAATATCGCGAAGAACTATACCGCCCCTGGTGAAGAATATGTCCAAAAACTAGAGGCATTCTTGGGCGTTAGCCGAACTGTCGTCGATACAAATGAACTTTGGCTCACGACTTCCGGTCACGGAAACGTTAGCATGGCAGACTACTTCAAGAATGTCAGTACCAACCCAGGAGTCAATTCAGAACGGTCAATAGGGGCAGAGACTAACCCGGTCATTGTCAACAACAGACTTATACCTATGTTCAGAACTCCGATACCTTCGCCAATGACTTCAAAACAGATTACCATGAGAAGTTCGGAAGTTACCCCTACATGTCCGTCGACGAAGCGGGAACAGCCTCTACAGAGCCAGAGAGCAAATCCAAAGCCAAGCTCGGAAAAGATCGAAGAGCAGAGTTTCAAGCCTGGTACAGAAAATACTTCCTTGCTTCCAACGATGAAACGTGCTCAGAAACGATTATTGTCTTCCCATTCAACGGAAATGGTGGCGTTCCTTGGTACCTAGATGCTACCACTAAAAACTCAGCGGGTGGTTTTGCTGCTGCACCGGAGGGATATCTCAGTTGGAATATGCTTTCTGTTCTCAACGGGAGTCCTGAATTGGCAGTCCCCGTTGGGGAGGTTAGATATACGAGCAAGATCAGCTTGGTTGAGGAGAAGATTCCTGTTGCTCTTGAGATACAAGCAGCTTACGGATGTGACTTGATGTTGTTGAACCTTGTCCGTGAATTGGCATACACCACGGATGCTACCAAGAGTGTCCAGACAGGACGCTTCCTGTTCTAGATCTTTATGCCAGAATCAGTCTCGTTATTTGATGGGGGTAACTAGATTGCTGGATAGAATCATTTCCCCCCTGCCAAAGCATGGCCAATGGATTTCTATAACCTATGTGAGACTTTCATCTCGTTACGGAGTACCCACATAACAAATTATGCCCCGACATGCACGTCATCTCGATGATTCAGCAAAGTCAACCGGGTATTTCCAATGAAAATGAATCATTTATAAAGTCATGATAGGGTTAAACATCGGTATGACGCACCAATTTTGATGGGGATGGTGGATATCGCGGGAAAGGTCTCCACATCTCGCTGGTTAGTAATGTAGACATGGGGGGTCACGTGAAGTGGACCTGTGGACCTGTGGACCCGTGGACCCAGAGCCGCACGTGTAAAATGTACAACTTTTAGTTTCCACCTGTAGACTCTGCCAAGTCTTTTCTACATCAACACTCATCTTAAACTCATCATCTATTCACCAACTCTTTACTTGATTCCAGTTGACCACAGCTGTGAAGACACTGGATATTTCAGCCTTGCGTGAATCCTTTTCGCCTTTCTTTTCACTTCCTCTTCACTTCCTCGCTGAGCATCGTGAATTTGCCTCACCTTCGTCTTCTACGAATATCTCCTTATCCTACTTCGCTTCATTTGCTCCCTTCCCTCTGAGGTTCGGTCTGTTTCGCCGCCCTCGTCTTCCTGTCCTGACTCGCGTCATTTGGTCCCTCCTCTCAGTGAGTCAGAGGATCGTCTTTCAATTTCCCCCACTTCTTCGAATAACAAAAAGCGCTCTCAGACAACCATTACTCCGCTTTCCACAACATGGAACCAGCCCGGACGCAGTTGGCTAGAGCTACTCCAGCTTTAAGCCAGCACGGAGGAACAACGAACCCATCAATCCATTCCGACCGTCTGTCAGTCGCCTATATGTCTCTATGGAGTACATTCCAAAGGGACGCTTTCCGAGTGTTACAAGAAGCCGGCATATCCCATGAAGTTCCACTGAACGATGAGACGGAGCTTTACACAGTCGGCAATGAGCTTGGTTTAACCGGGAGGTTTGTGCGCAATGTCTGCGACCCAGTTATCAAAGCCCTCGAATTGGTGCCAGGTATGGCGTCAACCCGTTTTGCTGATTTTCAGGCAATCTCCACTGCACAAATGACTGTCCCAGACGTATGTTTGGGGCTGGTTGCGACCGGCCTTGATCCTCACAACGTTTATGTGGTTGGAGAAATGAAAACGCCCTGGACCATCGCGGGAACAGATCTTAATATCAACCGGCACGAATCATCTTTTCGCCTCGAGCCACTGATAGGTATGCCTGCCCAGTATTCTGTCACTTTCACATCAAGTTCGCTGACTCTTGGCCCTTTGCTTAGGACAACTTGTTGCGCAGATGCGCACATGTGAAGCTCGGTTTGGATTTCTGTCTACTTACAGCTCCACCGTTTTTGTGAAGCGAGAAGCCGACTCTTCCTTTCTACTTTCGTCGCCTATTTGGTGTGGAACTACACAGCCTTCCCTTCGCGAGTTGCTTGCCGGTTTCTGTTTAATGGCCGTCTCAGAACCAAAGTACATCGAAAGCCAGACATTTCAGGCCAGGAACGTAAGTATTGATTTGGGCAACATTCTGGGATATGAAAAAGCTGCTAATATACTGAGAAGCTGCGAGGCCCTCCTCCTCTCAGAGTCTCCGGTCGTCAACATGATACTTCAGCCTATCACTCCGAATCGATTGCGAACCAAGAAGAGACTATCACATCCAACAGTGTGGTTTTCAACGCTGGCGGAGCTACCCCTGCGGTCGTTAACTGCGTTCGGCTGTTATCAGAACCAACAGCTCAAAACAAGGCGACCTGGCTAGCAACTATGGGAGGATCAACGGTGATACTCAAGTGCTGGGGGCCTCAATACAATGACCTGTGAGTCAGATTACTCCAATAGCTTCCTGTTTGAATCGCTGACTTGTTACATTCAGGTTTGAAGCGGAGGCGGAAGTTTACAATCGCATTTGGGACCAGCAGCCGACCGGACGTCGCAACTTCGCCAAGTGGATCTCCAGGGGGGAAATTGTTTGCTCAACTCTCTTCCCATCAGGCCACGTTCTTGTTCTAGAGCAGAGGCCCGGAATGCGCCTTGACAGAATCTGGGATGATCTATCCGATGGTGAACGTGCTTACGTTCAGTCCGACTGCCTGAATGGCATCCATGCTTTGCGACATGTGGGCCTCCGACTCGATGATCCTGGAAAGCACAATGTTCTCTTTGACAGAGATCGTCGTGTGTTAACACTGCTTGACTTCGAAAGTGCGCAACTCTTAGAAAGCCACACCTACATCTCAACATATTTTGAGATGCGCATCATGTTTCGTTCGGACCTTATGATAGGACGTCCATCTGGAGGTTGAGCCGAAGGTTACGGAGGTGCTGAGGTACGGAATTGCTCCCTCCTCGTCGGCAGGTCCTTCACCTCGATCGGATTGCGTTGATAGTTCTTTCGGTTGTGTCGATAGGACGATATTTGCTTTTTTCAAGACAGGAACCAATTAACTGAATGCATTCTCTGGATTCAGTCGAGAATTCAGCATTACGGTGACCGACTAGAAGGCATTGGAATGTAACTCTTCAATCAAGTAAGACTAATTGAACAAGCATACCATGTAGTCATTGTTCAGTCCGACAGAACCACATACACCTGACAATCCGCTTTGCTTACATTCTCGCAATAAGAATTAAACGGCTGGAGTATTGGGCATAAGAAGTGGCTCATCTCTTCTTCCTCCTTTTTGACCACCCACTGGTTTGTCTCAAACGCAGCTCGCTTTGGTTCTCTCTGGCATGAGCGTTTCTTCGGCTCTTGCTATCAACAAACAAATCGAGCCTGGTAATCTCACCGTTGCCTCAATTCGAGCACCGCCTGTCAATGTGCCATACTCGCCACCATCTAGTGACTGCTATGGCCAAACGCATGATATCAATGCAACAGTTGACTTTGGTGTCAAGCTCATTCAACGCGCAGCACTCTCTGGTGCAGACTTTGTCGCATTTCCGGAGTTGTGGTTTCCGGGGTAGAAGCTCCTCCTGAATCTGAAGTGAAGTGCGCTAACCAGTTTTACGCAAGGTATATCGACGCCGATCCCGGCCCGACCGATTTCCTCGACAACTATTTTGACCAAACAATCACTGTGAATGATACCAACTGGAACAAACTTGTTTCAGCAGCACGCAAGCACAGCGTGTGGTTGGAGTTCGGCTTTGCGCAGCACATCAAGGACAATGTTTTCATGGGCCAAGCTTTGATTGATTCGAAAGGAAATGTCATTCAAGTCCGTCAAAAGCTCCGGCCCTCCGGTGCCGAGCGAAACATCTTCAGTGATGGTACTATTGACCAACTGCTGGTGCACAAGACACCATTCGGTAGATTGGGAATGCTTGAATGCTGGGAGTGAGTGCCCAAATTGATCTTGGAGTATTGGCGATAAGTAATACTCACAGGCATATGCACCCGACAATGACATTCGTTATGCACGCTCAATACGAAAACATCCATATTGCCGCTTTCCCCTGGGCCCCGGACTTGGACGTTGATTCCGGGGTCACCCGCTCAGAAGTTTCCTTGGCAGCCGCACGCTTCTACGCAATCACTGGAAGCTCTCATGTGTTTATGCCTGCAGTTGGTACAGCCGCTGTCTTCGCACCAAACGGAACCCTCGTCGCCTCGATCCAGGCATCGGAGGATCCACATGAAACCCCCATTCTATATCATTCTATCAACACAACGAGCTTCATCAGCAGCAATCAGACATACGACACGACCGAATACTCCTGGGCAGCGCTCCAGCAGGTTGACAAAGCGTACCCAGCCTACATACCGAAGATTGCCAACAACTCTTTCATCCAACATCGGCAGAACTCAGTTACTGAGATGAGAAAAGTTGGACCAATTGTTTGATTCTATACGTTTAAGCTTTCTTATAAGCCCTGAAGTCAACATCTCGGAGGAAAAAGTAGCTGTCTGCGCTTTTTCCAAGTCAGGATTGATGCCCTTTTGATTGATGCTGAAGCGCTGAGCCTAGGAGTTTGCAAAAGGAAGTATATAATCGACCTTTCCCAGAGGCACGCCTTCCTTGCGCAAGATTCCATAGGCAGTGGTCACATGAAAGAAAATATTAGCCTGCATGATGCACGCAAATGTAATGCCAGACATGTCCTGTGTATGAGCCCCCAAAGGGACGGGCCCGATAGCCTCGGCATGTTCGAGGATAACTGCTTTGTGAACCGTGTCAAGTGCCTCGAGCGCCTTGTCGATGAGAATGTACATTTCCTCATATGTGAAGACAACATCCTTCGTTGTGTCGTCTGTTGGGTATAACCCCGCTGTTAGCTTAGCCAGAGCTAGCCGGGTTTGCGTGGTTGCCGCAAAAACTTGGTAGCTTAGTGTTTTCATGTCATCGTGGAGTCGAGAGGATGGAAGACTGGAGGCGTTGGGATGCTCCTCGGCTTTTTGAAGAATATGCAAAAGTGTGGATAAGGCGCGCTTTGCTTGGAGAACAAAGCCCTCATAAAGGGTGTAGGCCATTCTGGTGATCAGTTTTCGAGATTTGGAGGAAATTAAGTCGGGAAAGATATTTATCTGATCTGCGACCCAGGGAGGCAGATCACTGCTTATATAGCTTACAATTATCCTCCAGAGCCTCCGAGCAGCGCGCGGGGTAGCCCTATTTTGGGTCCACGGGTGCGCTATAGTGATCACGTAAGCACTAGCAAACGCCCAACACCAACTTCAGCGCCTGAGCGCGTCCTGTCTTGACGCTTCTACTATCAGCTTCGAAACCCAAACAGGATTATTAACACGAATGGATGTTATGGAGAAAGAGAATCACTGGATGAACCTCCTTCTCTGGCAGCTGTCCAGACTTTTTGAGAACGACCGGACTTGGGAACAAACATTCCAACCATTTTGTGCTGAAGATAATTGGGATCTCAGGCGAGAAGAGCGTGCAGGTGTTTTGACTTCGGATCAATGGGCACAGAAAATTTATCGCCGAAGTCGTAAGTGGCGATGACTGTCATACGTGTGCCTGATTAATCGTATACCAGTTCCCTTATTATTCCAAACAGGATGCCAAAATACAGCTTTGTTGTATCGGAGCTAGAGTGTTACTGACTCATGAAACAGTAAATAATGCGGTGCATGAGCTCGATAGATTTTATCAGAAAGCTCAGGCATACAGCCATATCGATCTCTTCTGTTCCACCCGGGAGAGAATCTGCTTATCCACTTCATCCACACCACAATCTTGAGGCCGATGGGATCTTTGATCAAGCAAATGATGCATGTCTCCCAAAAGCCGACGCATCAGACTCTCAATCCCTTGCAATCCCTCGCTTCCAACAGCGAGCCGGAGACCCAGAGAGTCATCCGAGCTTATATTGCTGATCGCCGCAGTAACTTCGGTCTCGGCGAAAGCGCTGCGTCCCACTCCGTGTCCGCTAACTGCGTATCCCATGTGGTCGATAACCTTCAACAATACTCTGCTGCTCTTCTTGCGACTACTACTCCAACCATTGCTGTTGGCAACGTTACCTCGGAGGTATTCTTCGATCTCCGCCACGCATGGTAGAACAGACAGTTCCGTCTGACTCGTCTATCTGACCTCGGGGTGCGTTCCCAGCTTATTTCGATGCCTCTCACCCTTGGTGCCCTGGAGGCCCTGCAAGCATGGAAAACCCCTACGTTCTTTTACAATCGCTCGCCGAGGACTAGCTTTTCGATGGAGTTCAAGGGCAATGTCCAGGTCGCTCAGCGCCCTACGCTTGCGCGCACTACGGTTGCTCCTACCGGTGGTGCCGTGGGTGCATTTCCCGAAACCGTCCATATCTCGGCAGTTGAGAACAATATATTGTTGGATCTACAGGGCAAAAGAAGAAGCGGACAGAACCGATCGTATTGACTGCCGGGAGAGAGAGAGGAAGAAGAAGAGACAGACTCGGGAGAGAGGGTGTATCTACAAACACAAACGGGGGTTGGGACGATCTCCTTACACAACAGTTTGCCAGCCATCTCTCTCCCTTGACGGCTGCTTCAGATGACAATGATGGCACCGCTGCCTCTACCGACATCGCAGCTTCACACCCCCAGCTTGCAAACAATGCCCGGCAGTCAGAAAAGGTGGAAGAGTACTACGACTGGTTCCAAAGGGAGCTGCCAAAAGATTCACCTCTTCCCTACCATCTGCTCCAACTGCAGAATTTTGCCAAACTCGGCAAAACAGGGCAATTGAATGCCGACACAGGGCTTTCTACCCTTCCCGTGGTACTGCGCATGACAATCCTCGCTCGAGAGCCGGAATTCCGCATGTCTGGAGTAAACTTGAGCTCTATCACCATCGGTGGTGACATACCGGCTCTCACAGCCACCACTGTGGAGCTTCGATTTCTTGAAAGGTATCAGGCGGAGCACAACCCCCTCCACCGGTGCAAAAGTTGACCGGTCCTCCTCTCTCGACTGAAGAAAACAGTGGCCGGACCAGTGATCAGGCCGGCCATCACACACCTTTGTAACTACCTCACATGTCGGAGGGAAGACAACTGCAGAAGGTCGTACGGCGACCTCTCCACATCTCGAGTGATCTTCTGGACATCTTTATGTGTTTAAATCTCAGCTTAGGCCGTTCTCATACCCCTAGAGAGGTCGGACGGGGGCAAGAGCTTCGCTCCTGCCCTCTCAGGACGTTAACAACAACAACAACAACAACAACAACAACAACAACAACAACAACAACAACAACAACAACAACAACATCATCATCATCATCATCAGGCCGGCCGCATGAATTGGGCGAGGTTCCGTCAACTTTCACGTGTTTCTTTCTCACCGCTGTTGGATGTGTTCCTGAAGCCTGTTTACAACACCTTCGGTCCCGACATTTGTTGAGCCTACAGGGCGAGAGAGAAGAAGAAGCGGACAGAACTGATTGATTGAATGCGGAGAGAGAGGAAGAAGAAGAGAGAGAGTCGGGAGAGGATCTATCTACAAACGGGGGTTGGGACGAACTTCCTCCTCCATAACAACATTGACGCATTCGCCCAACGTGGCAACGATTGCGGGCTCGGCCTTTTCTACAACCGAACTGTCGAGAGCTCGCGACACGGGCTGCCAACAAATCGCATGATCATGGTGCAGTATCTACTGGCGGACTGCCCGCGTCCGCGATTTTTGTTCCACCTCTTGTACCAGGAAGGGGCCTTGGAACTCTCTGGAGACGCTGCCCGTTTCTTCATATTCACGAACTGGCCGATGACACGTTGGTTGGTCGAAATGTTTTTGTCTGGGCTCGGCGTGTGTTTCGTGGTCATCAACGCGTCCACCACAGCAGAGCACCGCTCTGCTTTGGTCGAAAAATTCAACGACCCGGATTCGATGGTCCGCGTTTACTAGCCACGTCCAGCTGTGGATTCCTGGGTTTGAATCAACAATCCCAGCGCTCGCGCGTTGTCCTGCTTGAGACCCCCTTGAATCACAATGCCGCGATACAAACTCTTGGGCGAGTTCACCGACTCGGACAAACGCGCCAGCAACGTGCCTGGATCCTTTTCCAGGACCACACAATCCAGCGTTATGTGGAGGATAAAGCTACAAAAAAGTGTTGGATCTACAGGGCAAGAGAAGAGGCGGACAGAACCGATCGTATTGACTGCCCGGGAAAGAGAGAGGAAGAAGAAGAGAGAGACTCGGGAGAGAGGGTCTATCTACAAACACAAACGGGGGTTGGGACGAACTTCTTACACAACAAAAAGATGCTTGCGCAGCTGGCTGGTGACTACAGGCTCTACTTGGAGGAGATGTCTGACGACGACGTTTCTGTTGAGGACCGGCCATACAAACTGTTGGCGCAGATCCTCGGTCAACACCCTCTAGCACCTGACCGTCGCCACATGGAGGACTATACGGAACTTGGGTCACCTCACACCAAAGATGAAGCTTCCCCTCCCGTTAAACCTTCGGATACACAGCATTTTAAATCACCGAAGATCAACCAATCCTCGCCCCCACAGCACACTCAAACTCCTAGCCGTGACATTGGTTTATCTGACGATCATCTCCGCAGCCCCTTCTTTCTTAGTTCAATAGTTTGCGTTTTACTTTCGCATATTGCCTGAATTGAATATTCTATTATTAACTCATCACCTGCGGTCATTCATCGTTGGGCATTTTCCGACAATTTCAACACATTTGAATGAATATACATGCTCCAGCGACCGACTGTTCTTCTCAGTATGCCGTTCCTTTCCATCTTTTTGATCATTGTCACCCCGCCGCTATACATACTTAGTGTAATAATAGTTCATCTTAGAAGTAAAACTGATGCAAGTGTAACTTCCGAAAGCCCATGGTGGGGTTCATCATCTGTAGCTCCAAGTTCGGCTATACCTGTTCGTGTGAAACATCACACTTAGGTGCTATCAAGCCTCAATGAACGAACCATCATAATCGCTTCCATCTGGTCGGATCTTTACTGAAGCACAATTTCTGTCTGGGTGTCACCGATGCAAAAAGACCGACCTGACTGGGGGTCTACCTCTGGTACAACGACTGGTACACTTCTGGCCTTCTGGTAAATCGGAACAGTATTGGTAGCAAGCTAATCTCATAAAATGTTTTGAAACCATAGACGATAAGGTATATTATCTCGAACCAGAACAGGAAGACGCAGAAAAACAAACCGAAGTCGAACTCCATCCCACCTCCCGAACAGTCTGGCGCCGAGCAATCGAAAACCCTCAACGTGCTACTCAACCACTCCCACACCCAACTAAACTGTAGATCCGACTTCGACCACGACAACGACCAAACAGCCCTCGTCCTCACCGCAAAAGGAAACAAGCCCGCAAGTATTGAAGAAACAGCACCTTGGTCGACTTGACAAGGACCTCAATTGGGGACGTATGAAGGCACAGAAGTGGAAGGATAGTGTCGGGTGGCTTCTCAACTGCTGGGAGGGCATGAACTGTTTCACTCAACCGAACCAGAAACATTTCACCCAGGTCCTCGAGAAACCGCCACTCACCAAGAGCGAAACACGCCAGGAGCACAACGATCGGACACCACCCAATGATAAGCTACCCACAGGTTCTCGGGATCCACTGAGACGTGAGCTGTAAATTTGTCTCTGCCGGGTTCCGGGCCGGCTGCCGCATCAGTGCCTGGAAAGGGAGCCGTGCGTTCCGTCAGAGGACTTGACTTCGGATGGTGCTGCGACCAAACCGGTGCGAACCCAGCCCTTGCGGTAGACCGTTACGTGTGCCTTTGCTAACGCAGGGCCCGACACCACGCCATTCCTAAGGCTAGCCGTCTGGGTACACTCCAGGACGTGAGTGTGTCGGCCCCTAGTAGTGGGCCCAGCGCTTTGGTTGACAACCGGTGTCCAAATGTCAATATTGTTGTGTAGGAAATTCGCCCCAGCCCCCTCCAAACCTCCAGATGGACGTCCTAACAGAAGGTCCGAACGAAATATGATGCGCATCTCAAAATTTGTTGAGATGTAGGTGTGACTTTCTAAGAGTTGCGCACTTTCGAAGTCAAGAAGTGTTACCACACAACTATCTCTGTCATAGAGAATATTGTGCTGTCCAGGATCATCAAGTCGGAAGTGTTGTGAGGGAAGTTCATCCCACCTGCGACCCTCGTTTGTGTCTGTGTAGATAGACCGTCTCTCCCGAGTCTCTCACTTCTTCTTCCTCTCTCTCTCCCGGCAGTCAATCAATCGGTTCCAGTCCGCTTCCGTTTCTCTTTGGCTCTGTAGATCCAACAGGAACCCACTTGTCGCAAAGCATGGATGCCATTAAGGCAGTCGGACTGAATGTAAGCCCGTTCACCTTCGGATAGATCATGCCAGAGTTGGTCAAGGCGTATTCCGGGTCTCTGCTCTAGAAAAAGAACATAGCCTGATGGGAATAATAGTAGAGAATTGTTGCACGCACCCCTTTTGGAGCTTTATGATCTTCAACAAGCAAGCGCCAAGAAAAGACCGACCGGGATATATCGCACCAGAAGGTGTTGAGTAAGAAGTTCATCCCACCTGCGACCATCGTTTGTGTTTGTGTAGATAGACCCTCTCTCCCGAGTCTCTCTCTTCTTCTTCTCCCTCTCTCACCCCCCGCAGTCAATCAATAGGCTCCAGTCCGTTTCTTCTTCTGCCCTGTAGGCCCAACAGAAGGTATTGCGAGCGGGGGGGATCGTCTGACACAAAATGGGTTTTGAATATGTCAAGATATTCCCCAAGCTGGTCGAGAGAGGACGGTCGGTTGAGGGTGTGGGCGGTTCGGGCGGTTGTCGGGTCTATTTCAAGGTTGTTACTCTCGAAGCTGGAGAGTATACAAGAATGAGAGGAGGATTGGGAGGTGAATGTTTGTTGTATAGGGAGTTTGTCCCAATCCTCGTAGTAGATAGATCCGCTCCCCGCTTCTCCCTTCTTCTTCTCTCTCCCCCGCAGAGAGCAGTCAATACAATCGGTTGTGTCCGCTTCTTCTTCTCTCTCGCCCGGTAGATCCAACAACACCAAATGACACGCTACCGACAGATTCTCAGGATGAATTCCGGCGTAAGCTCCAAGTCCGTCTCTGCCGGGTTCTGGGCCGGCCGCCGCATCAGGGTCTGGAAAGGGATCACTAACACAGGGCCCGACACCACGCCATTGGTAAAGCTAGCCCTCTGCGTGCATTGCAGGACTTGACTTTGCCGCCCCCTAGTCCTGAGCTCGCTCTGGCTCTCGACCTCGGTCCAAATCTCGATACTGACATCGCGGGAGTGAAATTGGGAGGGAGATTGGGAGTTAGGTTGGGAGTGAGATGGGGCATATATAAGGACCACAATCTTTGTTCTGTGGCCGGAGTTTGCGTACCACCATTGGGCATCTGCCCTCAGCTGTGCGAGGGATTCTGATACACCGGCCTCTAAGACGAGAGAGGGCCAAAGGACGACGGGACCTTCAGGGACCGGCAGTCCTCCGGGGTAAAATGAGGAGTCCGGCTCCTTCTCAGACGAACAACCAATCCGCCGTGTAGACCCAGCAAGATCGTAATCAGGAGGGTTGGAGTCCCAAAAGCTTACCCCCATGGCTCCGAGAGTAATATCGATCCATCTATTAAACCTTTGAACGATGAGTTGATGCCAAGCGCCCGGCATGATCCTGTATAGAATCTCTTGTTTGTGATGAAGGATTAACACACATACTCCTTTCGGAGTCTCTTGATCTTTCAGTAGCGCCTTAAAAAGCTTGGATGGGATGCATTTGACGAGGAGGTATTGGGAAGGTGGGGGACAGTCTGAGTCGAATTCTTCTTTGATTATATCGATAGCCACCTCAATCTCCTCTCGTGAGGATGGTCGGTTGATAATCCACGCGGTTCGGACAGTTGTCGGGTGGATTTCAGTCTCGAAGCAGTCTTCAGCTGCGTTTGAGGGATTGAATTTGGGGTATTGGACGAGCGGCGAAGAAGGGTCTGGCAAGACAGGCACCGAGGGGATTTCTTTGGATGTTTGTTTGGGGGAGCCTCTCACGACGTCGTGGGATCGAAGACGGCGTGTTGAGAGCTCGGCGTGATCAGCGGGCATAGTTGAGTGGGTGGTGAAATTCGATGAGTCGGACAGGTGGGAAGACTGAGAAGTTCGATAGGGCGCGAAGGAGGGAGTTTCCACCTCAGTCGTGCCTTCCTCTTGTGTGGACACTGCCTGATGACCCTCGGAAGAGCACATGGCTGATTTGAAGGAGAGGACAAGATCCTACTGATCGAAGTATTTGAGATGGAAATAAATAATCAAACTAATAGGATATTTGTCGAGCGTAGTGTAGTGTTGACGTGAAGTCAGAAAGTGTTGATTCTTCTAAAACTAGGTTACAGGAATGACAAAGGTGGCTAACATCCGATGGAGCTGTGACGATATGGTGATGGCCTGACAGCCGTCAAGATGAAACGATGGACGCGAACTGACGGGTGTTCACGTGACGAGGGCAGTTCTGAAGGGATAATCACGTGGCCTCACAGCCCCAGGGCGATTTTGCGTTTGCATCCACACATCGCACTATGTAGTTCTTTTCAACAATCCGGGAATCTAAACCCAGTTCCCTGGAAAGCCGGGATCTTCCGGCCCTTGATACCAAACTGTCACTTCATAAGGTAGCATTGAGGCTCGAAATCGGTATGAGCCGTTGATGCAGTGATTAGGGGGCGCAGGGCAAGCTGCCAAGAATTTCACCTGATCTTGGCGCATATGAGCGGCTTTGTGCGTCGCCCGCGACTCACACACAAGGTCGTGAAGGGCCACTTGGCACGGGGTAAACCCGGTAGTCTACGAGGAAAGAATTGGAGCTTGGTGATCGGGTAAGAGGCTGTGAGCTGCTTTTACTCAAACGAAAACCCGTACTCTCTTCTGTTTAGAAAAGATACCTGACGGCCACTGACTTCCATGTCTTTCGGAGCTTGCTCGTTCAGAAGCGGCCTGGGCCCGAGCGCCATGCACATCAGGATCTTGGAGGAGTACTCCGTAGCCTGGGTGGGATAATGAGTTTTAAGCCACCAGAATGGCCTTCTACAGGCCAGAGTCATCGCGCAGCTAGCACCGTGAAGACCTCGGGAGAATCTTGGAATGATCCATGCCTTTATAACAGACAGCACGATTGGCGGCATAGGTCACTTCTCGGCCCCTAAATCCCGGGGGTGTGTACCATTAGACAGGGCTATATGCTGAGATCTGCATTGAGAGCACCTGGGCAAAATCGTCAAGATAAAATGACATGGATGTTGGGCGAAGCGCAGGATACTCCGTCGCAGCCCTACCACAGCCACCGCTACCTATTTTTTCAGAAACGTCTTCCCAGCCTCACCAAAATGCCTACAGCAAAAGCAAACAGTAGATTTCATTCATAATGCCACCGCATTTCTTCCAACGGCCCCTGCGGTGGTTGGATTCTCTTACAATCAAGTGGGAGAAGGTATCAACCAGCCCCTCGAAGAAACGCAAGTCGTCGGAAACGGAAGATGATGGTCTTGGGGAAGGCGAAACTTTGCAAGAACCCGAAAAACCCCCCAAACCATCCAAGTGGGCTAAACTTAGCTCCGACTCATGGCTTTGGGAAACGTCGGCGGTAGTTTTCAGTGCACTATGTTTCACCGCCATATTCTGTGTGGTCTGGGTTTACGACCAGAAGACATCCCCACAACTTCCATACAGAATTACACTGAATAGTGTGATATCAATACTTGGAACAGCGTCTAAATCGTCTGTGATCTTCGCGGTGGGAGAGTCTCTGGGGCAGTTGAAATGGCTTTGGTTTTGGACAGCTAAAAGACGGCTGCGGGACCTGCAGTCATTCGACAATGCCAGTCGCGGACCCTGGGGCTCTTTTAATATCCTACTACAACATAAGGGCAGATCAATCGCGTCTCTCGGGGCTTTGGTCACTATCCTAGCACTTGCCTTTGACCCATTTCTTCAGCAAATTTTGACATTTCCATTGAGAGAGATTCCCAATCCCTCGAATGAGAATCCGGAGACCTCTTCCTTCAATCAAGTTCACGTAATTGCACCCATATTACCACCCGATTACGTCAGAGGAGGCCCGAAAGAATTGAGCCCGGAACAGGCGGAGTATCATGCCACTTTTCTTGACGCCGTACTATCCGGTCTCTGGTCCAGTCAACCTCAGAATAGCCCAACCTGCGCCTCGGCAAATTGTACTTGGGAGCCCTTTCGATCAGTCGGCTACTGCACCAAATGTCAAGATGTCACGACCTTGGCTAGTCTCAAGGGCTGCGACAATGTTTCCTTCACTTACGATGTACCTTTCAAAACAAACACGACCTACGCCCAGCCTAGTGATTGCAAAATATCCTTGCCGCAAGGAAAGTTCTCACCTCATCTGATCACGTTTGCACGGAAGAACATCACTTATACCGACCGCCGGGTGCAACAGATGAACTTAACACGTCATGTCGTCTGGGAAATTCATAATATAGCCAGAATATTCGACAACATGCATGATATATATGTGCCAAACTCAACTTTCCTTGGCATTGAAAACCCTTTGCTAGTGTTTGGACAAGCCGAGATTGAGTATGACTTCCCCAAATACATAAAGTATAATGCCATGCCTGAACCAGAGGCCACGCGTCTTCTTCATCCAGAGCGGGTTACGAAGAAGCTTGCCAAGGTCGAAGAATGTGTATTGTCGTTGTGCTCGAGGACATACAATGTCTCCGTTACAAACGGTATGCCTCGGGTTGAATTTTCCTCACCAGACTTTGGGCAGTCATGGTTCCCAGGGCCCGAGACAGTCGTCAGCGATATTGATACTGAGTTTGACTGGAGATTTACATCTGACGTCAGTCGACCAGATGCTTGGAAAATGTGTTGGAAACAATGGAAAGTCGATCCGCTCGTTTACCAAAATCTCTGTTCCGAATCTATTAAATACAACACACCACCCCCTGATCGAATCACTGGGCCGCATGGATCTGGTTTCTGCTATGTCACCACCCTTGTTCCAGACATACAAAAATATATTGGAGGCAATCTCGAATACCGCACGGAAATATGGGATGGTGGCCCATACTGGTCAGAGCCAGATGGTCAAGCCAGAGATACAGACTCTGACATCTTTCAATGTGTGATGAGGATTGGGCTCAATAAGATGATGGACAATCTCGCGATTTCATTGACCAACTGGGCACTACATGAAAGTAACGACGCAAACAACGGCACTTCATATATCTCAGAGGTGTATGTGAAGGTACATTGGCCATGGGTAGCTCTACCGGCAGTAGTCATCATCCTATCTTCCATTCTCCTTCTATCTACAGCGCTGGTCAGCAGGTCAAAAAGTCGTGTGCTGTGGAAAACCTCTACCCTGCCTATTCTATACCATGGTCTTGATGAGGATATCCTGAAGGATACAGATGTGTGTTCTGCACTTAGCAAAATGGAGACCACTGCGGAGGCTACAAATGTTGGGCTTCGACTTTCCGACACCAAGGGTAGGGTGTTGCTGCAAATGTGATATTAAGAGCTCCAGCATTAATACACATGATATGAGATCCGTGGATTTTGATTGCCCATTAACTATGAGAACTGTATTGATTGGGGACTTGACTTGAAATCTATGGATTTCCGGGCGTGTATTCCGCAGGCTGCCTAGCCCTTGCGGCTCTCTCAGAAATTCACGGGGTTAGTCCTGCCGCTGGGCTGGGGGATCAGAAGTTGGTACACAAGGGGAAAGAAGAGACCTGTCCGCGGGCGACATACATGTCTGACCTGTAGACTGAGCAAGGGCATAGCGGCCGGTGTCGAATGATGCCTGAACCTGCCTGATTTCTGCCTGCCCTTTAAGGAATCATCAAACTGAATGATAGCAGACGCCAATACCCAAATGCCAAAAGTTTCAAGCGCTTAAATACATTCAGTCACCCCATGCGAAGTAATCAGACACCCCAGAAACACTCTATATACGAATCCTAGCATACCCATACCGACACCCATCATGAAGTCTCAAGTCCGTATCCCCATCCGCAGCATCATATAGCCCATTATTAATGCCTTCGACGTCCAAAGGGATCTCACATATCTTGAACCCGATCAGCGGACGACGTACTCGAACCAATTTTCCCATTTCATCTGATCTCATCCGCTCTGTGTAGATCGACGGGTGTACAGCAATCAGTAGTGCGCATGTTATGGCGAACCCGGTCCAGAGACATATTTTGCCGACTTTTGGGAGGTAGTCGGTTATCCAGGCAAGAGTGAATGACCCAAGGAAGATATATGAGTAGAAGAGTGGCTTGTAGCGTGGGATTGTGTAGTATATGTTGTATGGTTTTCGGGGGCGCTCGTCGTCCTGGGGGCTATTTGAGAGTAGGCGGGTGTTGCTTGACATTGTGAATATCTGAGAAGATACGAGTAGATGGAAGGATTCCAACTGCAACCTTGGAAAGAGAAAAAGTGATACCCTGGAGGTCAATTCAAACGAGGCGGGGCAATGATCAACCAACATAAGGGGGCCATTCTACTGCAAAATTTTCAGCCCCCATGAGCAAGGTCTCCACCGACCTGTTACGATTTAATCCTATGCTAAATATAATCACGCACCTTAGGCGTTTCTTATCGCCACGGCTCCTGCGTTCAGCCTCTAAATGTACACTCTTAGTAGTATCCTTGATTGTTCAAGACATGGTCGTCATTCCGAGGCCGGTAATATAATATGCAATGTAACGCTTTTCAAGTGGTCTAGACGAGACGAGTGTAGTTACCATAGATCATGTGGCAGGTGGTCTCACCACGGCTCTGGAAAAGCCTCAACCTGACAAATTAGTCATGAAAGTAGATTTACAGGCGGGAGAAGGCCCAGCTCAGAGACTGGTATGAATCAGTGGGAGTTAAATCGATTGGAGAGGTTTGAGGTAACATAATCTGATTCCCTTATGGGACCAGTGAATCTTGGAAGAAACAGACTAGTACTCGCAACCTCAGAAGAGGGGAGTTAATCCAATATTTAGTATGGAGTTCGTCATGAGAGATACTCGCACCTCCATAGAAGAGGGGAGATACTCGCACCTCCACAAAGAGGGGAGTTTACCTTCAAGGACCACCGAAGCAGTACCTGGGTGTTCTCTCTGTCACCACCCCAATCCATCAAAGCTCTCACCACTTCCACTTGTCCCAGCTGCCACGAGGGTGGAGCAAGGGATCACAGGGGCCACGCGGGGGTGGTTTGATCAATTCAAAATGAGCCAGAACGTCATTCGACAACTGTCTATCCGTTCTCAACGAACCGTGAAACCCTGAGATCCATAGATCAGTAGACTCTTCGTTCCATATTATCTTTCCGATATGCTGCCCTCCTGGAACCCAACCGAATGACAATATTTCCCTGATTTGACGTTAGTCGACGTGATCTCAAAGACTTGGTTCCGCACTTACTGATATGCAATCCGGAACTTGTCACGAATCAGATCACGTCTCGATTGTGAGAGTGACCAAAAGAATTCCGGACTCAAGATTTCCCCGGGGACCTTTTCCCAAACAAGATGGGTTATGTATCCTCCAGGTACAGGTCCGTATTCTCCCTGCACGGATTGACCCCATCCAAGTAGTGGAGGCACACTTCGGCATCCGCCTTGTTGAAACGCCTTCCGAGCTTGGGCTTCGTAATGTTCAACGCTAGGATCTGCCTGTTGGGCTCGCATATGCGGTGGAAAGCGTTCTGTTCCTTCATCAGGGCCTTGAGAAAAGACTCTCATGAAGGCTTCAGTTTGGGGATTATGGAGATCATGACACAGGTACTTAGCCTTCCAGCCGGATGGCATTGTTCCGGGACTGGGACTCGACATATGCTCATGCACGTCATCGATTCGATTATCATAAACCTCCTCATCGATCACCCATGTCCTCGCCTCCAGCCCGAGGGCTGCGGAGCTAGGCAGAGTGATCTGAGCACCCACGTAAATCTGAGAGATATCGGTCATTATGAAGGATAAATGTAGAAAAGAAAGTTGCAAGGGTGAAAAGGGAAAGTTTTGAAAGAAGTGAAAGGGGATAGACTGGGCCAAGTGATCATTCGGTGGTCATACATGGTGCCTGAGGCAACACCGCACTACGAAGACATGTTTTGGCCTGACTTTGGCCCTGGTGCCTTGGTGCCTAGGTATTTGCCAGAGAACAAATATTGTCTGAATTTCTATTACACTCTTTTCGTTCCTCTAACTCATTTCTAGCCTCAATTCCACAAAGGTAAGCTCCATTCTACCTACATTACCGTCACTGTTCCTAAACCTGATTCTGAGATCGTTGGACCCATCACCGCGATGCCTTCATGTTCATCTTCTTCTTCGCCGCCATGATAAGAAATCAGAAGCCGAAAAAGCATCAAAGGCTAGAGAAAGGTGTTTCAGACTGCGAAGGTCAACGCGGATGGGCTGTTTGCTCTTCCTGCGATAGAGCAAAGTGAACGCTTCAGAATGTGGGGGTGTGAATCTTTGGGGGTCGGGAATAGCTCAATGCCTGTAGACTATTCTGGAATGTCCTTTCAAGTGAGAATTGTTCCTATCAAAGTCTTCTGTGGTCTATCCGGTGTCGAACACGACGAGACTTTGACCTGACAGAGCTATCTAGGCTGGGAAGATGCAGACTTTGCCTGCTGGGGTAAAGGAGAGGATATGCTTGTTCTTTGAGCGAATAGACGCGATCGAAGAATCTTTTACAAGTTTCTCTTGGCTCCATAATCATTGCGTATATACTTTATACTAGATTGAGTAGTTATTCTACGGCTTGGTTTGTGGCAGGGATCAGCTTCTATCTGAAAGGTCGCCCATACATTTTCCATGTACCTATACCGGAGTGTTGCAGACTTGAGGAAGTCCACAGGACCGAACGAGCCTTTTCCGAATTATAAATGAGACCATTGTCCAAACAGGAACAGTTTCATGATATTCCCTAGTTTATGACTTGTCTTGTCTAGACCAATTGAAAAGCGTCGCATCCCTCGGTGGATTTGAGCTCATGCCAGTCAACATGGCTTGCATCAGTGTAAGGAAACAGAGTGAGGTCGTCGACCACTCCGAGCATCAGTCGAAGCATCTTTTGTTGGGTTGAATGGGCGTATCACCTTCTTGGGCGCAGCCATGTCATGCTTAGTGACATTCCAGAGTCAACATTATAGCCTTATAAATACTCGAACCGGTGAGGCTGACGCATGTAGAGTACCACTTCATCATTCTGCAAGGCGTTGGAGTAAACGGTTTTGACATCGAAATGCCTCCATGTTGAATGCTGGGGGACAATGATAGAGCGAACCAGCTTGGTAAACACGTCCGATATCACTGGGGTGTAGAATACGGACTTCCGATCCTTCATCTGGTGATTGGCGCAAATCACCCAAGTCGTTTGGAAGCCGTGAATCTCAGTCTTGGCGTTAATATTGACGGTGTATCTCCACATCCCTGAAAGAGATTTATCCTTGCGGTTCTTCGGTGGTGGAATACAGATCGGATTGTATGTGTTCTTCGCAAGGAGGTCGTCGATCTGATCTCCCATCGCGATCTGTCGTTTCTTCCTGAATTCAAATTATGATAGCTGCTTTTGCAAACTCGGAGTAACGACATCACTGACATGAAGCGGTTTGCCCTTGCGCGTGAAGACATCATCCGGAGCCCGCATTCCGCCGTCGCCTGCCGGGGTATCGGTCGGCGGTTTCCGCTCTCATCATCTCCTCCGTTATCGCCAGCATCTGCTTCTGCGAGAGTCCTTGGTTTAAAGTCCTCTCAGCAGCTTCCTATTCTAAATTTCACATCGGTTGTGCCGGGGCTGTATTGGAATCGCGCTGTCTGGTTGCTCGTTGGGATCGGCCGAGTGAGTTTGCGCTTCGAGGGAAGTGACGATCCGATTCTCGCGCTCAATACTGTCCGAGTTGGGCGACATGTCTTGTTTATCCATGTGGACTTTGATAGCGAGCTTCTTCGAATGGCATCAAAGCGCAGGGGTGATCTTTTGCTTTGACTTCTCTTTGGTGCATGCGTCGTAGTCAAAGTCCGGGCTCTACCTCGTCATTGTGGCCTATCTCGAGACCACCGTTGATCTGGTTGAAGCGTTGCAACTCTGCATGCTCCAGAAGAGATTTCATACCAAGAACGCAGGGGGCAACGTATGGTGAGAATTGCTACTGCGAGAGCAAGACCGAGGAGATAGTGTTGAGAGAGGAAGGGGACTGAACCGAGAATTCATTCCTAGGGAGAGAAGAAGGAAGAAGAGAGAAAGCCTATGGAAGGAGGGTTTATCTACATCAAACGAGGGTTGGGGCGAACACCCATCTCAACAGATAGAAGGAGAGAGAGAGGAGGAGGGAGCAGAAAATTTATCTACAGATCTGACCTACGGGATCCAGGGTCTCAACAGACTGACAGGCTTCATTGGAGACTGAAAGAAGGGCTAAGGCCTCTAGACACTTGATCACACATTCGACAAGAAAAGGGATCTACTCGCATGAAGGAGTTTAGTCTTCGGAGATACTCACACCTCCCTTGGTAGGAGAGGGGAGCGTACTCACAGCTCCATAAATGAAGCGGAGTTTTCTCACGTTGTATCCATTCTTCCTTCCACCCAGGATCGCGGAGATAGCTGGTTATCAACACTCCCTTGGCGATAAGCCAGGACCGCCATATGAAAGAAGCATTCCCTCACGGTAACAACCGGAGATCCTTTGGTGGAGACATTAGACGCCGGGATCACAGGGGAGCAATCCACCACCCATGTCGTACCATTATGCCGTTGGCGGAAGAAGATGGTTTCGTCATAACTTGACAGAAATCCATACATGCACTCCATCTCTTTCATATATCTTAGAACCTGGGCTATCAAGGCCCGGAACTTAGACTCTGGGGCGAAGGGATCATGGAAATCTTCCATACGATGATAGGAAACCCAGGGCACCTTCAAATCACCGACAGCCTTCAGCTCATCTGTTGATGTCCTCATAACACAGTCAGGGACTTTCTTTCCTTGACGAGGAAGACACTTGAAATCGGCAAATTGGATATCAAGATCTTGGGCCTCAAACACCTTTCCAAGTGTTTGGCCAATAGCCTGTTGGAATCTCCCTTGTAAGCCGCTCTCATCTCCGACATAGACCTTATTTTCTTCAAGATTACGGGTCTTCAGATTGCACCCAATGATCTTGTTGCTCCACTGTTGACTGTCCACTGTTGCTCGTGTGTCTTCACAGAAATTTCTCCACTGATGCAATTCCCCTCTGTAAAAAAGCGAATGAACGGCATTGGAAGTCGTATGGAACCCAGTTTTCCGCAGAGGAGGCAGAGCCTGCCTAAGGGTCTCACGCGCACGAATATTCTTACCCATTTTGTTGGTGAATCCTGTTGATGGAAGTTTTGGAAGTGCGAACAGGGATAGTGAAGGAGGAGAGAGAAGAGTGAGATGAAAGCGTGAGAAAAATGAGAAGAAAGCAAGACACATTTCAGGAAGGTAGGAATCTCCTGCTTCAGTCGCATTTTCGGATTTCACTCACTCAATTCGTTTGAAAACATTTTCTCTACTACACTTTTAAACTCATCACCGAATACAAGAACAACCAGTCCGTTTGTTTAACCAATATTGATGCCAAAAATGCACTCATTTCCTGCCACTCCTTCCTCAATCCTCTTCCCTACTTCTAGGATTATTGCCCAGCACTCAATCCTTTTCTCTCGCCCGCGCCAGTGTTGCCAGTGATCAAGCTAGGTAGACCTATTCCATTCTCTGACTCCTCGATTGTTCCTTTTTTATGTTCTGAGCCCAGGTCTTCCCCTACAATTTACTTTCCCGTCCACTACTCCTTCTTCACGCACGGGTTGAGATAACGCCGGACGTCGAGCAAACTTCGGTGCCAGAAATCTCTTTCGTGGTCCCGAAGCCAACTTCTTACTTGACACAGGACACATACTCCGTACTTTTACAACAATCAACCAACGTGCTAACACAATCAACTACTCTTCCGTCACTCACTACCCATTCCTTTCGACCATCGACTGTCCTTTCGCTACTCGGATACCCTAACTGACAATACTACGCATAGTAAAAGTGCAGTTCTGGATGAGACGAAAACACTCAACCAAGCATGCAGGTCTCGAGGCAACCACTCTTCCGTTCCCTGCTATGCCCTCCATCGCCTGTGGATCAATTTGATGTGGGGAACCGAGCTCACCAAGAATCAAAAAGAAACTACGATACGGGGAATCGAACAACAATGTTAGCCACTACCCGTGGACACCATATCGGATGACGGATGACGGAATTTTTGAACAGCTACATAGCACTTCAACGCCGACGGTCGCTGTGCGTGCGGGCCCATGGATGGCTGAACAAAAGTCTACGCACATCATCTCGATAACAAACAGCACTGAAGCTCGCCTATCTCAAAAGAGACCGCAATCCTCGATGCATCCAACAACTGACACAACGAACATCGTTTCGGAAGGTGTGAAAACGTATCCAAAGGCATTTCCACAACATTGTTTGTGAGATTCTTTAATGACTATTCTGATCAGATGATTGAACTTTGTCGAGAGCACAGAGCGCAATAAAACGATTTGGATTGCAACAAGCAAATTCAAATCTATCTACACCTGGCAGTCTGAACCACAGAGATGCGCTCACTCAATAATTCCCCGAAGCTTTCGTTTGATTCATCTAGTGAAGAAGAGGTGTGCGGTTGCCAGATTCCAGTTCCTGCAGCTCGATGACCCAGTTTTGCCTGCAAGGAAGAAAGATGGACGGAGCGAATTGATTCTGCTCCCCCTGAGAAGAGAAAAAAGGAGGGAAGCGGGCGCGGTCTCCAAAAGGGCGAACAGAAAACGGAGCTGGGATGAACCACACCACTTAACACTCAGTCTACGTGAACTTGATGGTGTCCAGATCGAAAATAGATTTGTCCCAGATCTGCAATCAATACTTCGTCTTAATGCTTCGCCGATGCCAGAGGCCTTGCTCCCTATCAACCCGTCTGCTATGTCAGACCGCCATCGCGCTCTTCTCTCTTCTCTCGGTATATCAAGTTTACATTGAAGATCATTGGGGGGAAAAAGAGACCGGAAATTCTGCCCGTTACGGGCCTTTCAATTGTTGGCTCTATTGGCCATTTACTTTGGGCTCTTGTCGATGCGCATCTCCTCCCCATCTGAGTTGAGATCCAAATTGATCTCGAACTCACAGTCGAGGCCGTCTGTCACGGAGGGAGCCGCCGGCTCTTCCCTCTCCTCGGCGAGACGCAGGCGCAAAGCAGCCGCCGCCTCCAAGCGCAAAATGGCCTCTCGTGCTGAGGCCAATTCGGCCTCCACCTGGGCCAGCCGAGTGGCGGCCTCATCAACCTCAGCACGAGAGGCCCCTCCTCCCTCCACCATCCCCCGTCCGGCGTCCCGTACCACCCCTCGCCCGGCGTGCCGTGACCCCCCCTGGCCTCTCCATCCCTGACCGCCGCCGCGGCCCACATTCCCGAAATTGTGGGTGGCGTTGCCCACCCGGCCCACGTCTCCGTAAACGGAGCCCTGTTTCCATTGGTCACTTTGACCCTTCAGGGTTAACCGTCAAAGAAGGACTTCTTACCGCAATGTTGATGACAACGGGAGCACTGGCTTGCTGATACAAGCCGCACTCGTGAGTGCGGTGGCCTCGCACACCGCAGCGGCCACAGCGGCCTCGGTACCGCTTCTACCATGAGTTAGCATCAGCATTGTATTTCGTTGCCGGCTTGCATACCTTGATGGGCGCGCCGCCCGCCCCTTTTCCATGGCCCTTCCGGCCCTTGTCTTCGTCCCCACCAGTCTTCGAAATTTGGCTTGACATTGCGGTTGAATTGAAGCTTGAAAATTGGAGTTTGAAATTTGGGGTAGGAAGAGTAAAATTAACGAAACTAATCGGAGGAAATACCCACGAAGATAGATATACATATTTATACTTACACACATAGAATAGATGAAATCCTAGGGTCTGAATAGAAGGTCACCTATTCAGACAACACAATTATTCAATTGTCCTACTGATTAACTTAAATATTTACACAATCCTAGGCTATCAATCACAATGCCCTATTATTGACCCATTTCAATCTACTATTCAATGGCCAATAAATGACAGCTCTATAGCCCTAAAAAACAATCCTTTAGGTATAAATATCAATTATTATAATGATATTCAATCATAGTATATCTAGTATATTATTTCTAAAGTTAACTATTGACTGATATTTTATGTGATCTACTTAGTCAAATGTATCATTTATACTAATGATATACAGGCTGTGTAGTAAATCAATGAAAATTTTCTTTTGGTCTGCTTAAAAGCATGAACAAACAACAATAGCGATTGTCCTTTTGAGAGCATCTTGAGTCCCTTATTTACCTTGACGCATTATACACATTCTTGGCACCAGGCTTTGTGACTTGCAGTCTTCCTTTTGAAAAACCTGAAGAGAAGTTTCAGCTTTTTAGGTGCGGTTTGAGCCGTCTCCCAGGGATGGTGGTTTCTCCCCTGGCATCCTTTCGATGTAATCCGCGGATGATTCGTCGAGTCCGCACATTCCGCCGACAAAATCTTGACGAGGCGGTCGTGAAAAGTGGGTTTGAGAAATTCGTAGGAAACAGATGTGTGGAGAAGAATAGAGAGAGGGGGCAGAGAGAAAGAGAAAGAGGACTGGAAAAGAAATGGAAAGAGCAAGAGAACTGTAACTTTAGAAAGAGGAATGGCCGAACAGAAAATTGCTTATTCGGACTTCAGGACAACATAATCATTACATTGGCCTGTGGATTAACTTGAATGTTCACTAGCATATTCCAATCCTTCAATATCACTGGGGCTTACAAAGTTGTGGTTCGGAAATCTTGAAATGAATTCAATTTCAATTTACTATTTATCCCGAATCTTCAACGCTCAATCGCTTATAATCCTCCATTGCCCTGAACTCATTTTGCAATGTTCTTATTGTCTTTTTTCGAGACCACATCTAGATCTGATCAAACATTTCGAAAAGCTCAAGCGGCGAGGATGATTGGCACTTCGTTGATTATGGTCTGTGCAATGGCAATTCAAGTACATAAGTACATATCTTTTTTTTTCTGCCCCAGATTCTGACGAAGTTACGGTATTTCCGGTCAATTGGAGAGAAGTAGTCTGTCAGGATTGGATGAGAAGTCTGATGCATTAGTATTACCAGATTCCACCCCTTTTTGTACTGGGTAGTTATCGTGTGACTGCCCATGCAAGATACAGACAATGCAAATCATGCAAACCATGTACTCCACTGCTGGATTCCGTCAGATTCAGGCATCCTCAGGCACCAAAAAACTGACGGAACCCAGGGTTGGGTCATGTGGACCATAAAATATTGACTAGCGCGATCATAGACCCACTTAGCACAATAATATCTGAGTCATCAATATTGCTTTGTCAGATTCATTCTTTTGCCCGATTTATGCTGAGCGGTCAAGGTCAGGGTCAGGTGATCTTAGAATCTTTGCTCCTAAATACTATACTGCTCCTGGGCATACCCCCCCCTAGGCTTACCCCCCTCCCCTAGGCTTACCTCTCCCTCCGGGCTTGCCTTTCCCCTCTGCGGGTATGCTCTCCCCGGGTATACTTCCCCCCTCGGAGTATACTCTCTCTGGGTATACTCCCTATGGAATCGACTACCAACAGTACCTGAGAGGGGAGGAGGGCATACCTAGAAGGGGCATATCTGCAGAAAGACCAAGGGGGGAGAGCAAACCCGGAGGGAGAGGCAAGTCTAGAGGGGAGGCCAGGGGTATACCCAGGAGCAGCATAGTACTTAGGAGCAAAGATTCTAAGATCACCTGACCGTGGCCTTGACCGCCTGGAGCAACGTAGCGTGGAATATAGATGCCTGAGGTTTTATAGCACTAAGTGGGTTTTATGGTCGCACTAGTGAGGATTTTATGGTCCACATAACCCAACCCCGGAACCCAGGACTGAAGTGGACCTCTCTACGGTTTGTATCTATTGCAAACTCTGTGTGTATTTTACATAGTTAGATCACATGATTACTGCCCTGTACAAAAGGGAGTGATCACTAGTAATAATGCGTCAGACTTTTCATCATATTTTGGACTACCCTATACTTCGCTCTCATTGGCCGGATCGTACTGACTTCGTCAAAAACAAACACGTCATTGGGGTCCCGATACACACGCACACGTGTCGTACTCGCGCGCACAAAATGGATGAATAAGCAGGTCACATGATCTCAGAACTTCAAATTATCAATTCTTCCCCACTTGCTGAGAGGTCACAGGGCCCCCCTTCCGGGGCCTATTACCACCCCCCAGCAAGCCCCCGGAGGTGATCTACCGGCTTGCCCCCCGCCGAGGGAGGTCTTAATCAATTGAACCTTCCAGACCCCCTAATATGTGTAAAGGGTGCTTGCAATTGGAGCATAATCGGAGGCAATGCCCTATGAGGTCTAATTAATTAAGGTGTAATGAGGGTACGTCGAGGTGAGATCTGTCAAATCTACTTTGCCAAATCAGCCTCTATTTTTTATTTGGGAATCGCCCCCGGAGGGGGCTGCTGGGCGCCCGGGGGGTTTGGGGGGGAATTGCCCCCAGGGGGCTGCTGTTGGGGGGGTAGTATATTGGGAGCGCAGGGTCCACGGTTATGATCAATGATGAGAACTACTGAGATCATGTGACCTGCTTATTCATCCATTTTGTGCGCGCGAGTACGACACGTGTGCGTGTGTATCGGGACCCACGTCATTGTCTGCGATGCATCTTCTAATCGTGGGATTTGCACTTTCTTCTTTTCTCCTCTTCTCGTTTCTTCCACTTCCTCTTCTCATCAATCATCAACTGCCATCATCCAAGCTCAATTCCTCATTCAAAGACCTCTTCAATGTCTTTTATCAGCAACCAGAAAAATGCCTGCCTCTGATTCACTTCGTGCGTATTTGAACTCTTACGGACGAGGTTGCATACTAATTGGGTTTAGAGCCACCTCTCAGCCCAGCTGAAAGAGAGATCGTCAAATCGTACGGAGGCTGGACTGATTTCCTGATTTCCTTCGGCCTAAAGCCCTGGAACTCGGATGAGGCAGAAGAGGGGAAGATGATCCTCGAAAGAATGGTTTCTCAATCCGATACCGACTCCAGCTGAAGTACGAAGATACGCCATAGAAATGCTTGTGAGGCTCCTTTAATTTAAAACCTCTAACGCATCCAACTTTTGCTGTGAGTCTCCCAAATGCTTTGAAATACTTCTCATCTAACGGCCGCGCTAGTTTCACTCTCCCTTGACCTTGGCTTTTGTTACCAGTGGAAGACAGATGAGATGACTTTATTCTGAAATTCTGAAAAAAAAACAAAGATTTGCAATCACATTCACGTTGCTTGTTGTGGCTGTTGGGCCAAATCTTTTCTGTGCCTGAGTGCATTGTGTCCTATGTCTGGTCGTAGTTCAAAGTTCTCCACTGAGATGGCAGACCATTAGAAAGAGACAATGGTGGAGATGTGATACAATTTTGGACGAAGAGGCACTCAACCACAGCGAAAGTTGTTGAGCCTACAGGTGAGAGAAGAAGAAGACTTGAACCGATTGATTGACTTCTCAGGGAGAGAGAGAGAGGAAGAAGGAGAGAAAGCCTAGGGAGGAGGGTTGAGACGAAATTCCATCTCAACAAAAGTGCTCAGGTGATCAAATGACCTGGAATGACACGAATAAAGAAGGGTTCCCAAGGGCTTTCCCGTGGCCCAGACAATCCCGCGCTTCACATTCGAGACACGCTGGGCGGCCCCAGTCATTTCAAGGCCCATACCGTGATCAACTCCCGCTACCGGAAGAGCGCCGCGCCCTCACCGGCTTCCTGCCCTGGGTCCCTGGCGCTCTCACCAACGATGCAGAGTTGACCAGCGCTATTCTGCGTGCGTGGTGCAATGCTGCCAGGAATACTGAGACACCAAAGCTGTCGTGTACCTTCCCACGTGGTATTCGGGCGAGACTGGCTGGGTCGACAACCAGGGAGCTTACCGCGAGATGTCGGCGCATCTACCAGCAAGGCTCTGCCTGTCCTTGCTTCCTTTTTTGGCGGTTGCAGATGTGACCATAGATCTCAACAAGTTGTGATCTAGGTTGGGTGCATGGATCGTAAATGCGGCGTGTGTTATAGGAATGTCTGTTCCTATCATGGTTCTCAGTCGCCATACGGAGTACAACCAACCCGTGTTCACATTTGAAGGCAACATATGCCCATCACGCACTGAGCTGGATGTGTGGTAAAATGTTGCAGGACTTTTCGACGAAACAACGTAACCATCAAACTTCAGCAGCTGAAGAGCAAATTGCAAAGACACTGCGGGAAGCATCCACCCCCTTCCAGGTTCTTTCCCATCTGGAGTTAGCTTACGGAGTACTATGCACTGAGCTGCAGGCGAGAGTGTACCCGCTATATCACATTCAAAGAGAAACATAACGCTCGCCCCTTACTTCGCAATGCTGTTACACAGAATATTCCGTACTCACCGGCCGGATCTCATGGAATAAAAAGGAAACATCAATGCAGGATTTCTGTTAGGGCGCGTCCCTGCGGTCGGCGCTGCACCAACAGTGCGCTACCAGATCTACCGGTCCCAGACATGACAAGACGAGGTCTTGTCATATTAGGTCTTTTGGCCCAGCGGTATCGCTATATGCCTGGGTATAGTGGTTCTCAACAATTTCGATACTTAGGGGAGCTGCAGGACTCAAGCATGCTAACAGATTTTGTGCGATCTCGGTCCGCAGCTCGAGGATTGGTCCAGGGAAGTAAACTCCATGCACCTCGTGCATACAGGACAGGCATTCGTGCTTAGCTGAGGCTGGGGGCTCCGTATACCTACGAGTGCACGTAAGATCATCACTGAACACTGAGTCCAGGAATATGCACGCGGTGCTCTACACGAGGACGCATGTCGCAATTCAATAAGTCGGCAATGCCACCGGAGAATGTTATTAAGACAGACTTCTGCGCTTCAAGAAACCAGCATTGATTTCCTTCTTTGTTTTTGACACAAGAAGATTCGTTCCAACCTAAGTTTCACCATCCTGGGCCGAGTTGATTGGAAATTGTCTAAAGGATGACCATTCAATCTACCGTGGAAAAAGTTGATTCAGTCGCAAAATGCCTTTTCCCAACCCGTAATGACGGAAACGTTGTTGGCGAAGGGCAAACCACCTGGGATCAAATCGACATCTGCACGTGCACTCTACCAGGATTGACAGCACGCCCATTATGCAAGCCCTCATGTCCAAACCAGGGACTTCAACGCGGTCTGGGGCTCGCGGCAGAGCGAGACGATCCTCTGTGCTTTCTGGCAACTGTGTGGGCTCGGATCCTAAGCGAATATGCAGAGGTTGACTTTATTCGCATTGGTGTGTGCCAGGCCACCGGCACATTCACCGCTGATATGGCAGAGAAGTCCCGAATGGAAGTCTTTACCGCGACACGGATTCGGATGGACCCCGTGTCGGAATTTCTGAGCATGGACCGGTGGTCAGTTCTACCCGCAAAGCAAAGTGACTATCCATACTTCAACACCGGTATTGCAGTCTGCCAAGATCCAGAGGTGAAGCCCGATACCGGACTAGAAGAGACGGTAGCGGAGGGACAAAAGAGTTCGAGAGAGGAGGTGGATGAAGAGGTTAGTTCGAACTTTCACCCGCATGGGTTGAGATATCATGATAGTGGCTGACTATTCTGAAATGTACAGCAATGCTCCATCATGCTCGCTCTCAACATCACGACATCGAGATTATCTCTCTTTTACAAGACATCAATCTTGTCTACCGGACAGGCGGGCCATATGGCATCTCTTCTGGCTGAAACAATGGGAACTCTGGCTGGGGATGCAACGAGCGGACCCCTTACTCAGTTGGCCCTTAGTAGCGGCGCGCAGCAGCGGCAGATCAAAGAATGGAATAGCCAAGAGTTGGTCCAATCGTCTGCTCCGACAATCCACTAAATCATTCGAAATCTCTCCCTGACCCAGGCGGACCACCCCGCCTTAATGGCAGCGGATGGCACTTTAACATATGCCGAACTAGACGCTGTGTCCTCAAAATTAGCACGTCATCTCCAAAGCTTGGGAGTAACGTCTGGCAAACTCATCCCGGTGTGTTTCAACAAATCTGTATGGGCTATCGTAGCCATGCTTGCTATCAACAAAGCCGGTGCGGGATTCGTACCTTTGGACGCGGCGCAGCCATTGAGTCGCCTGAAACTCATTATGAATCAACTCGATCGTCCCCCCGTTGGGCTTACTTCGCCTCAGAACCAAAAACTTATGGACCAGTTGATCACACCCACATTGGCAGTGGACTCCCAATCAATCTCCGCACTCCCCAGGAGAGCAGCAGATGAGACAATCCAAGGGGCCGATCAATGGCCAGCTATCCCAACAGCACCTTCATATTGCTTCTTCACGTCTGGCAGTACAGGGGAGCCCAAGGGATGTCTTGTGGATCACGCGGCGCTGGCGAGCGTGGAAACTCAATGCAAAGCCCTGCATTTAGACTCGAACAGCAGGGTCCTCCAGTTTGCCTCTTTCAGCTTCGGCGTCTCCTTGATTGAGATTTGGTGCACACTTCTCGCCGGTGGCACAGTGTGCATGCCATCCGACTCCGACCGAGTCAGTAATCTGGCGGATGCGATCCGCTCAATGGGTATGAACTGGGCTTTTGTAACACCCACAGTTCTATCGACCATCGATCCAGAAAGTGTTCCAGGTCTACAAACCATTCTGGTGGCCGGTGAACCGCTGAAGAAAGCTCAGATATCGCTCTGGGCGGATCGCACTCACCTATTCCAAGCTTACGGTTTCACTGAATGGGCTGGGGTCTGCTGTGTCTCGCCGCAGATTCACTCCGTCGCCGGTCTTGGTATCATTGGAACTCCAGCCAACGCCCGTTGCTGGTTGATCGAGCCAGATAATCCGCATCGAATTGCCCCAATTGGTGTGGTGGCTGAGGTATTCGTCGAAGGCCCCAGCCTTGCACAGGGCTACTTGAATAACCCCAAAGGGACAGCGCTAGGATTTTTGGAAGCGCCGGCCTGGAGACAACATGAACTACAGGTCGATCAAGCAGACTATGGGGATACCGCAGGTGTCCGCTGCTATAAAACCGGTGACTTGGCCTACTATGATTCGAACGGCCTTCTCCGGTATGTGAGCCGCCGGGATCGACAGGTGAAGGTGCGTGGACAACGGATTGATCTAGGAGAGCCTGAGTTCCACATCACTCAAGCATCGCCGCTTTTCCGAAAGGCCGTAATCGATGCCATTGAGCCTGCCGATGGCAATGGAGTCGCCGGCCTCGTTGCCTTTGTGGAAATACCCTCATCAACGATAACCCCAGAAAATCCCGATCCTGGTGACGCGTTCTTCAAAATGCCAGACCGAGAATTCGTTGAAAACGCCCAGCGGTCGATCGAGATTCTCGAGCAAAAATTGCCGGATGTTGTGATCCCACGTCTATTTTTGCAGATCAGCCATATGCCACTCACTGTAACGGGCAAAATCGATCGTCTTCGACTGCGAAAAGAGGCAGAACAACTTCGCCTCGAGGACTTGTTGGTTTGGAGCGGTGTGACGACCGGTGCGGTAGAGGTTCCGCAGACTGTGGACGAGATTCTCATCCATCAGATCGTTGTCGAGTTGTTGAGTCTTTCCCCGACACAGGTGGGCATGGAGCATAGCTTCTTTGCCCTCGGTGGAGACTCGGTAAAGGCGATGAAGATGGTGTCTCGAGCCAGAGCAGCCGGGCTCGAGCTGAAAACAACACATATCTTCGCCGTGGCCAATCTACGTGAATTGGCCCGCATCGCAGCCGAGCTTGGGGACCCTCCGTCGAATCGGGCTAGCTCCAGCGAGCCTTTTGACTTGGTGGATGCTCAATCGAAACAAGCTCTGATCTCGAATGCAGCCTTGCTGTGCGGTGTTGAGGAAACTCAGATTGAAAATATGTATCCTTGTACCCCGCTGCAAGAAGGAATGATGGCGTTGTCTATGGAGAAGCCAGGAGCATACATCGCTCGCTTTGTTCACCGATTACAGCCTCACGTGGACCTTGCTTCCTTCCGCCGTGCGTGGGAAGCAGTCTTTCAGGCCAGCCCTATCCTCCGGACAAGGTTGGTCACGCAGCCAGATAGCAACAGCATGTTTCAGGTGGTTCTGCGAGAAGATTTCCAATGGGACGACACAAGGAATATGGCAACCTGGGACACGTATATGAAGCCACACCCGACGGACAAGCTCCTCCTCGGATCCCCGCTTGTTCACGCAGGAATTCTAGCCGGATCAGACAGCTCCACATTCGACTGCGATACGTCCGCGAACTACTTTATAGTGATGATGCATCATTCGATCTGTGACCGCTGGTCTTACGGCCTGATGATGGACATGTTGGAGAAGTCATACGCGGGAGAGGCTCTTGTCATGAATTCTCCGGCTCCCTTCATCAAATACCTCTCTGGGCAATTGTCAGACTCCGGCAGCGAGACATACTGGAGATCCCGTTTTGAAGGAAACTCTGGAGAGGTTTTCCCTGCTCTACCATCCTCGACATACACTCCAGTCCCCTCATCTCGATTGCAGATCTCCATTCCTTGCCCCCGCGATGTTCCCAGTGGCCACACAATGTCCAACGTGATCAGATTGGCATGGGCCATGGTAGTCAGCCATTACACTAGCTCCCCTGATGTCGTTTTCGGCGTCACCGTGTCCGGCCGAGCGGCCCCTGTGGCTGACATCGACAAAATGGTTGCTCCAACCGTGGCAACAATACCACTTCGCGTACTGCTAAGCTCTAAGGACACCATTCGAACCGCACTGGATAGAATCCACAAGCAATCCAATGAAATGGTTCCCTTTGAGCAATTCGGTCTCCAGCGAATCCGCAAGGTCAGCTCAGAAGCGGCCGATGGATGCGGCTTCCAAAGCAAGCTCATTGTTCAGCCACGATGGGCTGACGAGCATCGTCCATTGCTGGAGACCCTGGAAGCCGGATCTTCTGTGGCCGGTGGATTCTCCAGTTGGGCACTCTCGGTCAGTTGCAGCCTGACAGACTCAAGGAAGGTGGATGTAACCATGGAATTCGATCAACTGGTCCTTTCAGCTCCCAAGGTGAAACGAATCAGTCAGCACTTCGAGCAGACATTACAATTCCTTCTCAAAGAACCTTCCCTTCCGCTCGAAGAGGTCCCATACCTAAGCTCGATGGACTTGAAGGAACTACGCCAGTGGGATGAGCCAATGACACAGGCACAAGAATGCCATGAATGTGTACACGAACTCATACAAAGGCGCTGCCTGGAGCGACCTACAGCTGATGCTGTCTGGTCCTGGGATGGGAAGCTCACATACGCCGAGCTGGACCAGGTATCTACCCGCTTGGCCGCTCATTTGATTGAAACTTGCGGAGTGAAGACCGGTCTGATTGTGCCCATCTGCATGGAGAAGACCCTATGGACGACCGTCGCCATCTTGGCAATCATCAAGACAGGTGGTGCCTTCGTCCTTCTGAACCCATCCCTGCCCTCTTTACGTCTGACTTGGATCTGTGATCGGGTCCAATCGGTATGTATCATCACATCTCCATCTAAGCTCGAATTGGCCCAGACTTTGGCGCCGGTCGCAATCGGCGCCGGTCACGATCAATCGGAGAAGTGGCCTCTCGCGGACGCATACACCCCGATGGCAGCCGTTCAGGAGTCATCCATACTATATGTTGCGTTTACCTCTGGGTCGACTGGTGTTCCAAAGGGTGCCGTTCTGGATCACAGGGCGTTTCGTACTAGTGCCCTGGCTCTGAATGCTGCTACGCGTTTGACTTGTGAATCTCGCATGCTCCAGCTCTCTAGCTATTCCTTTGACGCTTGTATCATGGATACATTGGGCGCATTGATAGCCGGAGCTTGCCTGTGCGTATTGTCAGACCATGAAGTCCAAAACGAGCTGGTGATAGCAGGAAGCAGGTTCCTCCTGACCCATGCCCATACCACACCGTCAATGGCCCGGCACATCTTACGCAGTAAGCCAGATTTCACCGAGGTTCTAATCAGTGGGGGTGAGCCTCTTACGCCCACTGATGTGGCCGACTGGGCTGGCAACCCGACATGTCGAGTGATGAATGCTTATGGACCGGCCGAGTGTGCGGTACTTGCCACGATTCAGTCTTTCACAACGGCTACAAAGCCCCAGAACGTCGGTTTCCCTCTCTCTGGGGTCTGTTGTTTTGTAGCTCACCCAGATAACCACAATATTCTCCTGCCCATCGGGGCAGTTGGAGAACTCCTTGTGGAAGGCCCCACTGTCGGACTCGGCTACGTGGGCGATGAAGCCCAAACCAAGAAGGCATTCCTTTTGTCCCCACCTGCCTGGATGCGCCTGTTACGCCCAGAAGGGCCGTATGGTCGGATCTACAAAACAGGAGATCTCGTGCGACACAATGATGACGGCTCATTGCAGTACGTTGGCCGCCGTGATACTCAAGTCAAATTACGTGGGCAACGCATCGAGTTGGGAGAGGTGGAGAATCATGTCCGTCAAGCTTGGCCGAATATCGACCAAGTTGCTGTCGAGATGACTACCTTGAAAATCGCTTCTTCTTCTCCTACCACCCAGAGCCTGGTCGCTTTTATCCTGATGACCGATGTCGCTGCGAATTCAATCAACGGAACCAGTGATGATGACCTTTCTCTCGCTGAATATCCGTCATCTTCGTTCCAAAATCAAGCCGCAGATACACATGCCAAGCTCCAGGACAGAATGCCGCTGTACATGGTTCCTGAAATATTCGTGCCCCTTCGCTACTTACCCAAGTCTGCATCTGGAAAGCTGGATCGACGCCGACTCCGTGGAATAGTGGAAGGTTGTGCCCCGGAAGAGCTCGCCTTGTATCGCCTAGACTCAGTGAAGGTTTCGATCAGAGCTCCTACGACTGATGCAGAGCAAAAGTTCCACAATGTCTGGGCTCACGTCTTGAACCGACCACCGGACGAGTTTGGCGTGGATGATAATTTCTATCATATGGGAGGTGATTCTATCACTGCTATGCAGATAGTGGCACAGGCGCGACTCAAAGGCCTTCGAGTGTCTTCCGACGAGATCTTGCGGCACAAGACCATTTCCCAAATTGTGCTCCATTCGGAGCATTCAATGGCCGGGCTGCCAATCGATTGCGAAAGCCAGCTGCAGGACGAGGATGAAGCAATTGGCACTTGGTTCGATCTCTCGCCCATCCAGCAAATGTTTGTAGACCAGCAACCCGAAGGGGCAAACATCAATCGGTTCAATCAGACCTTTTTACTTCGTGTCAAGCAACCCATTGCACTGGAGGCATTGCAAGCCGCGTTGGGCAACATTCAAGCGAGACATCACATGCTGCGAGCCCAATTTGCAAGTTTGTCTGATAATGGCCGGTGGATGCAGAAGATATTGCCGGCTGGCCTGGGAGAGGACGGGCAATGGACACAATGTTATTGCACATGCGATCGGGTTCAGTCTCGTTCTGACCTCGAGGCCGTCGCAACAGCAGCCACGCAGTTGATTGACGTGGAGAAAGGACCTCTCAGCGTGGTGAATTTGGTCGACGTTATGGAAGACCACTCGCAATTGATTTTCCTCGCGATTCATCATCTCGTGATTGACCTTGTTTCGTGGCGCGTGATCCTCGCTGATCTGAATACTTTGCTTGCGGGCGAAACTCTACCAGAGAACACGGACTCAATTTCCTTCCAGTCATGGTGTCGACGCCAAGCCCAGTATGCACAGCAATCACTGTCCCCTCAAGCCGTGCTCCCTTGCGCCTTACCACAGAGTTACCACGAGGACAAGCGGGATTTCTGGCTCGTGTCTCCCCATCAGTCCAACTGTATGGGAGATACACAGCTTCAGAGTTTCACTCTGGACCAAAAGAGCACACGATTACTGTTCAAGGCAGCTCAAATCGCCTATGATTGCCAACCGGTTGAGGTGTTGCATGCCGGCCTGTTGTTCTCATTCTTGGAAACATTCCGCACCCGCGATGCTCCCATTGTATTCAACGAGAGCCACGGCAGGGAGTCTTGGAACTCCACGATTAATCTCGGACAGACTGTGGGTTGGTTCACCACGTTCTGGCCAGTGTTGATGTCGGCGGACCTGAAGCACGATCGTCACAGTTTCCATCGTGTGTTACGGCTGGTCAAGGATGCCCGGCGAAGTGTCCCACACAACGGGTGGGCGTACTTCACATCTCTCTACCTTAACACGGAAGGTCGAAGCATGTTCCACCATCCACAGCCGATGGAGATTATCTTCAACTATGCTGGAGAATTCCAACAATTGGAGCGGGCGAATGCAATGTTCAACTCGGTGTCCCATGAGTCTCAAGGCGCTTTAGACGCCGGCAATGATATCCAACGATTTGGCATCTTTGAAGTCTTTGTGTCTGTGCAAAATGGCTCGCTGCGGATTCAGTGTGTCTACCCTCGCGATATCCAACATGAAGATCAGATCCATCAGTGGATGAAAACGTATCAAGAGACACTCCAGGTTGCGGCATCTCAGCTCCAGGCTTTGACCCGGTCCAACACCCATTCTCGCTACACGTTATCTGATTTCCCCTTGCTGCCGTCACTAACTTACCCGGAGCTGCAGGAACTTGCGGTGACCACATTACCAGCTCTGGGTATTTCGGTGGAAGATGTGGCACAGATTTACCCATGCTCGCCCAGTCAGCAGGGAATGCTCATTGCCCAGGCCAAAGCTGCCAGTAACTACAATGCCAGTGAGACGTGGGCAGTCTCAACCTCAATTAATGGAGAGCGTCGACCAGTCGATTCACAACGTCTATATGCTGCTTGTGTCCAAGTCATCAAACGCCATGCTGCGCTACGAACGGTTTTTGTGGAGAGCCCGCGTTCTGGTTCGTACATGGAACAAGTCGTTCTGCGCGATGTGAAACCGGAGATTGTTCTCAACCACACAAGCTTGTCAGCGTCCGATCCTCCTCTTCCAGGCTCGATGTCAGATGGTTGGCACAAGGGGGAATTAATGCACCACATGAGCCTGTGCACCCGGAAAATTGACGGACAGGAAGAAGTTATGCTCCGCATTGACATAAGCCATGCGATCATCGATCAAATGACCATGCAGATCATACAGCGCGATCTGGGTCTGGCATATGATGGTAAGCTTTTCCCAGGGACCGGTCCCCTCTTCAGTGAGTATGTGAGCTATATTGAGCGACAAGATGGAGAAACCGATTCTCGCTACTGGCAAAAGTATCTACAAGGGGTGGAGCCATGCCTGTTCCCAAGGATCGGGGGAAATGAAAACGCCCCTGCGAATGAATTCGGCTACGTTTCTCGCAGACTACCCCAGGGCAGCATGGGAAATGCCACCATTGATACCTTCTGCCGTCAGCACAGTATCACCATGTGGAACCTGGCGGCCCTTGCCTGGGCCTTGGTGCTCCGCAGCTTTACTAACTCTGATCACATCTGCTTTGGCTATATCAAATCTGGCCGAGATCTCCCTATTGATGGGATCCAGGATGCCGTGGGTGCTATCTTTAACCCTCTCACCTGCCGTGTGTCCTTTGCCGAAGAGTCGACTGTCGAACATAGTATTGACAAACTGAAACAAGGGTATCTGGACAGCCTTCGGCACCAATGCTTCCCTTTGTCTAAAACCCACCGGCTTGCTGGCATTTCGGACGGATTACTGTTCAATTCATCTGTTGGAGTTCAGAGTAGTGTCAACCTACGCGATGCAGCTGGGAGCTTGGATTTCACGACGCTTGCCAAGGAGGACGGAGCTGAAGATGATTTAATTATGGAGATGATTCCAGGAACCGACAACACCATACTTGATCTCCGATACAAGACTCGTGTCTTATCTCCAGCGCACGCTTCTACTGTGCTTTTGACATTCGACAAGGCGATCCAATCCATCCTTACTGCCGACGGCAATGCCCCAATCACATCTGTTGATATTCTCAGTGAGGGCGATTTTGATCTCATTTGGGCCAGAAACCAAAATGTACCTCCTCGTGTGGAGTCATCCGTTCACCAGATCATTCACGAGCGGTATATTGAAAATCCAAACAGTGAGGCTGTTTGTGACACGGAGGGATCCTTCACCTACCGCGAACTGGAAGTTCTCTCATCAAGCCTCGCGCGCCATCTCATTGTCAACTGCTGTGGTCTGCTTCCTGATGAAGTGATTCCGATATACATGACCAAGTCCCGTTGGACACTCGTGGCGATGCTGGCAGTATTGAAGGCTGGAGGAACAATACTCTTGCTCGACACGTCTCATCCACCACAGCGGAGAATGGAGATGTGTGCCGAAGTTGAAGCGCGAACTGTGATTTCATCCCCTGAGCACGCGTCCCTTAGCCAGGATCTTGCAACCAGTGTCGTCCTCCTGGGGCCTAAACACTGTGCATGGAATGTGGACTGTCCAGCGAATGGCGATGCCAACGACATCGTTTTGCCCACGGTCCAGCCTGGTGATGCCATTTACGTTGTGTTTACTTCGGGGTCCACCGGGAAGCCCAAGGGAGTTATTATCGAACATGGCTCTTACTGTACCGGTGCTCGTGATCATATCAAAGCATGCGGCCTCACCAGACATTCTCGAGTGACTCAATTTGCCTCCTATGCGTTCGATATGAGCTTGATGGAACAACTCAGTGTTCTTATGGCAGGAGGCTGTGTTTGCGTGGTCTCTGACGAACAGCGCAAAGACAGCTTCGGTGAGGTTTGCTCCAGACTCAATGCCAACTTTGCCGGTCTGGTGCCCTCTGTAGCCCGCCTCTTCCGGCCTGAAGACTTGCCTACGATCCGGACTCTGTATCTGGCAGGTGAGTGCATGACACAAACCGATATTGCTTCCTGGGCACCCCACGTCCGTTTAATCAACGTGTATGGTCCTGCGGAGTGTTCTGCTATCTCTGTCCTCCAGTCGTCTATCTGCACGTCCAGCGACCCACGCAACATTGGACACCCTGTGGGATGTGTTCCTTGGATAGTGGACCCAAATAATCATCACAAACTGGTTCCTCCGGGATCCATTGGCGAGCTAGTGATCGAAGGACCGATCGTCGGCCGTGGATACATCAATCTACCTGAGCAAACCGCACAGGTCTTTGTCGAACCCCCGGCCTGGCTACAGGCATTGAGACCAACCTCAATGAAGGGCTCTCATCTCTACAAGACCGGAGATCTGGTTCGTTCAAACCACGACGGATCTCTCCTTATCCTCGGTCGCAAGGATCGTCAGGTCAAGCTTCGGGGTCAACGGCTAGAGCTGGCCGAGGTAGAATTTCACGTGCAACGGTCTTTTGGGGATGCCGCTCACGATGTCGTGACTCAGGTCATTCTACCTGCGGGCAGCACCAAGCCCCAGCTTGTGGCCATGATCCTTACTCCGGAAGAGATTGACCAAACCGAGGAATCACCAGTCGACGAGCCTCGAATCTTTGGAGTTCCCAGTGATAGCTTCGCGACGCAATTGGCCGCCGCGGAGGTCCGACTACGCCAGCAAATTCCTGATTTCATGGTGCCCTCAGTCTTTGTCCGGGTGGTGCATATGCCACGAACACAATCCGGAAAGGTGGACATCAATAGATTGCGCAATCTTGCTACAGCAATGTCTCTGGAAAGCCTGCAGAAGTACCGAGCTCCCGCTTCTTCATCACTCTCAAACGAATCACGCCTCTGTGGCGAGGCAGAACACGCGCTGGCAAGAATTTGGGCAACGCTTCTTGACATTTCGATGGAGACAATCAGCAGAAGCGATAACTTTTTCTTCCGCGGTGGTCATTCCATCGATGCCATGAAGACCTCTGCGTTAGGCCGTGCTGCCGGCATGAGCTTCGGCGTCGCTGACATCTTTGACCATCCCATCCTCTCTGACTTGGCCAAGGTGGCATTCTCAAAAGAGGCGACCGAACACGTGTCGTGTAAGCCATTTTCTCTGAGCCCCGTTCAAGATCCTCAGGCACTTCATGCAGATCTTTCTGCAAAGCGGATTATCCCCGCCTCGAGCACACTGCAGGATGTCCTCCCTGCTACCCAGGCTCAGCGTTCGTTTATCGACAGGGGGACATTACACTCATACAATTGGACAATCAAAGGGCGCTCGTTGGACATGGACCGTCTTCGGAAGGCCTGTCAAGCTCTCGCAGAGCGACACAGCATTCTTCGGACCAGCTTTGTGGAGCATGACGGACAACTGATTCAACTCGTCCTAGCTAACTGTGACGTTCAATTACGCGAGATCCGGTGTTGGCCAGATGAGGATCCCTTGGATGTATGCAAAGCGCTGTGGGATAGCAAAGATTGTGCCGATCTGGACTTCGTTAAGGGCTCCATGCCTGTGAGATTCACACTGGTCTCGCGTCCAGGAGACGAGCATGTCATTCTGACAATCCAAATCTCACATTCCCAGTGGGATGGAGTGTCTCTTCCACGGCTTTTCGGTGACTTGGCAGCCATCTACAACGAAACCTCGCTGGCACCCACTTCCCAATTTGCCGACTACCTTTACCACCGGGCCTCGAGCATGGCCGACAACGTCAAAGAGAATCCAACCTTCAGCTTCTGGCGAGAGTATCTCAGTGGCGCTGAGATGGCGGTTCCATTCCCACCCCGCGTGGGGAAGTTGATTGTGGACCCAGGCGCTGCCGCACAGTCTGATCATACGCTGTGGTGTCGCAAGGGAATCACCCCTCCTCCTTCCGTGCCCTCGGGAGTCACCATGGCTACACTCGTCAAGGCTGCGGTGGCCTTCTATCTGTCTCGTAATCAGAATCAAACAGACATTGTCTTCGGCCATACAGTCAATGGCCGCAACCTTCCCCTGGATAACATCGAATCTCTCCTGGGGTGCACTCTCAATTTCGTTCCTCTCAGGATCACTTTCCCTTCGGGGCCGGCCGAGTGGACAGTTATGGATCTTCTCAATCATGCACAAAATCAATACATCCGTGCACTCTCCCACGAGCACGTCGAGCTGCGTGATATCTTCCATCACAGCACAGACTGGCCGGCAGAGAGGCCACTGAGTCTAATTGTACAGCATCAGAATATTGACCTGAATCATAAGCTCCCATTGCAAGGAAACGCTTCAGATAATGAAGGAGCGGATGACAGCGCCCTTGATGTTCAACTTTCCAGATTTTCTCGCTTTGATCCTCTGGATGAGGTTTGGATATTCACTGAGCCTCATGCGGATCGATTGGAGGTCCAAGTCTGTGCCAACAGTCGCGTTTTGCAACAAGCTGAGGCTACAAACCTGGCTGAGAATGTCGCCGCCATTATTGAGAAATTTTCGGCCAACCCAATGGCCAAGCTGGCTGAGATTGCATTGTAGGGAATCGATCTCCCAGGAAGCATGACAGGGTCAGCTGGTGATCCCTTCTGACCATCACGCTGGGGCTTTTTGAGATTCCGTCTTGCTTTATCATGTATTTAATTCCAAATCTCGGTTTACTCCAAGTTCATAATCAGCTCTGCCGGTTGTGCTTGACTCCACTTGCATCTATACATTACCAGCCTGACTTTGTGTTGTGGGACGGGGCGACAGGTAAGGAGATTCTCTTATGGAATGCTGTTGTAGGCCTTTCTCCTGGCGAGTAGATTAGCTCCCTTCCTCTCATGTTGCTTTCTTTTTCATCCCGTCTGCGCAGAATGTAGAGCTTCACTTCTTGCCTCTTCCCGTGTAGTATACCTCAAGGGATTCAAGTGTACGAATGATGGAGGGGTAAGTAGTGTAAGTAAAAGCGGCATAACCTGTGAGAACCACTATACCCAGGCATATAGCGAACTATACCACTTGGCCAAAAGACCTAATATGACAAGACCTCGTCTTGTCATGCCTGGGACCGGTATGATTGTAGCGCACTGTTGGGGCAGCGCCGACCGCGGGAGCGCGCTGTAACATAACCTGACTTATCTTGTCTGCTTTTGTGGCAAAGCTCGGCGATTTGATTCAATAGCAAAAATGCCTCATTGTTTGTTCGGCGGCAAGAAAGAGATGAGGGGTGTTGGAAGAAGATAGGAGATAGGAGGTAGTTGTAAAGTAAACCTTGGAAGAACATCGATCATACCTGGGCGGCATGAAGGGCTTTATAGAACTACGCACCAAAGGGTGCTAAGTCAAAAGGGTCATATAGCCAATTAAAGTTAAGCTCAATATCCAATATCCGATATGGTGTAGTGGCTAACATCGTCGTCTCTCACACGACAGCCGGGGGTTCGATTCCCCCTATCGGAGTTTCTTTTTTGTTTTTGTGAACTTGGCGACCCACATCAAATGGATCCACAAGTGATGGGAAGGCATAGCAGAGAATGGAAGAGTAATTGCCCACCTGCATCCTTGGTCGATCCCTTTTTTTTTTGTCTTTTTGGGAAGTGCAATTATATTGTATGTGTGGTATGTTCAGGCAGGGGTACCCGGGTAGCGAAAGAATAGTGAATGGCCCGAAAGCAATGGATGATGAGCGGATCGAAAGAGTAATTGAGTGTGTTAGCACCGGGTTTGGAAGGGATGTGGTAGACTGTTCTCAAAGTACAGTGGTACGTGTCCTGAGTGACGAAGTCCACTTTGTGAACACCAAAGCGATGTTCGGCATCAACCTATGCTCGAAATCTGGCATCATCTTGACCCTTGCCTCTGCTGAGGATCTCTGAGGATTCACAATCGGTCCCGTCAGAAAATTGTCTGTTGTGGCCCTGGCCCCTATCCGGGTGGAAAGCCTTGGAAATCCTGCTCGTTGTGTCTTAGCTTGGAGAGGCAGTGGCCGTAGTGGTTAGAGTGGCATATTGCCTGCATTCAGTGCTCAAGTGGATTCTCAGGATGATGGGGGAATTGATGGATATTCAAGAGAAGAATACTGAGAGAGTAAGGAAGTGCGGGGAAGTCCCGAGTCCCGAGTAAAAAGTGGGTTTTCCCGAGATCGGTCCACAGGTCTACAGCGGGAAAAAATAGTTTGTTTTATCGTGTGAAGTACTTCATAGGTTTTCTGACAATTGAGAGATGGTTCAAGTTTAGATCCATCAGACACCGGTTTTAGAAAATCTCAAGGACTGAAAAGCCGCTGCTTGATCCTGGGGCCATGCGTTATATATACCTCGCATCAGCCATGGATTTTAGATCGATACATGTCAACTTAAGCAAGTCCTACTTATCCAGTGCTTCAAATATGAGCTATAAAACACTTGAGTACAGAATCCTACGGAGTACAGAGGTACACATCAAATAGGACTGGATGCAGATATCGGGAAAAATTTTGGACCACCTGGGCAATGTAGATAGAACAAAGGACATCTGTACCTGATGCAGTAAAATTCAAGACGATCAAGGTACAAGGATCAGGTACAAGGATCCCCGAAAAACTCTGCCCGGCACACGTATTCCGAGTCTCGAAATAAACCCAAAGGTCCGTTCACCAGATGCAATTGGACCCTTTGATGCGATTCCCTAAAGCGCCCGAGATTTCGGTGGCGATCGGGGCACACGTGACTGCGATAAAAGATAACAAAAAGTCCGCTTATCGTGTTCAGTTCAGATCAACTTGCTTCGTCCTCAATACACCCACCTGCTCCAAAGTCTTTGAATAACTGAAATTCACCTCATTTCGGTTCATCGAACAAGCCCAATTTACACAATGGATCACTCCCGCGACCCTTGTCCATATGTCGCCCTGAGCGATTTCGGTGGTGCTTTCTGCATGGGTGTACGTGCTCATTGATCCAACAAATCTACACAACTGACTCTTCTAGGCGATCGGAGGTGCCGTCTGGCACGGTATCAAAGGCTTCCGCAATAGTCCATACGGCGAGCGTCGGATAGGCGCCCTCACAGCCATCAAGGCTCGCGCTCCCGTTCTGGGTGGTAACTTCGGTGTTTGGGGTGGTCTTTTCAGCACAGTACGTTCAAGATGGCCCTCGATCCCTCGACCCCTTTCACTCCATGGACCTCGCTAACGGATGACCAGTACGATTGCGCTATCAAGGGCATTCGCAAAACAGAAGATCCCTGGAACGCTATCGGTGCCGGTTTCCTGACCGGTGGCTCCCTCGCCGTCCGTGGTGGTGTCAAGGCTGCCCGCAACTCAGCAATCATGTGCGCTGTCTTCTTGGCCGTCATTGAAGGTGTTGGTATCGGCTTCCAGCGCATGATGGCCGATAACACAAAGCTCGAGCTTCCTCCCCTTCCTCCCTCCGAACAAAAGGCACTTGCTTAAATCCTTCGACCTCGTTTTCTACATGCGACTCTCATATTCGCGAACGCTCTTTGCAATCGCTTGCATACTCCGATCTCATAATACCTCGCTTTATATCATCTCACATTGAGCATCTTTTTTTTCTGGTGTTCGGCCCGGGTCATCATAAAGCATGGAAGTTTGGCTTTTTTTCTTTCCGCTTCTCGCACCTTTTGCACTGGCCTTCCACCGGACATGCGTTGGAACCATCATGTTGGATGGCAGGATCATCCTGCAGATGGTTCCTCGCATGATTTGGGAGGTCCCGACCCCAAAAGCATACCTCTTCATATTGGCAATTCGGAAAGTGATAGACTCCTGTACATTAACGCATAGATACCGCATAATACGCAATTTACATTTCCATCATTTGAAATGGTCTCATACCTGGTTGACTGGCTGGCTTTGATTCTGCGAGCGGGTATCACGATTTTGAAATAATATATCAAGGCACCGGGCCATACAAGAACAAATAAGTACATCATGACGGCAGGTTCCAGATAAAATCCAACGCACCACCCTCATACATGGGAAACTGCCCAGTATTGCTCATCCCGAAAGGCGCCATGGACGGATCAAATGGCAAAGAAAGCCAGTCGTCTGCACTGATATCATTCAAAGACGGAATGAGTCCCAGATCCGGCGTCAGATCCTGTGATACGGGGTTATTGACTGGGTGTGGGCGATTGCCATTCTCAGGCCAGGAAGGAGGCCCCATGGATGATCTCCTAGCACCGCGACTATTCCGAACAGCCCTAGAAGAAGCTAGGAGGTTCCGACGCAGCCGCGACACGTGCATGTCTAAGAGTGTTGCGTAGCGAGTACTGAGATGGACGTCATCCAGTGCATTTGATTTGAGTGCTTTGATGCTCTTTTCGAGGATCTCGAGAGAATCCTGGAGTTTTGCCTGTCGGGTGCCGAGACTGAGTGCTTTCATGAGGAAGATTGAGGCGCTTGTTATGCGGAGGACGATGCGGACTGGTGAGAATCGTAGTGCGTCTGCGTCTGCTAGGTGTGTTACTTTTTGGAGGATTTGACAGCATCCGTCGATGACTTCTTGGATGTATTCGTAGTCTGTTGGATTGATGGTCATTGGTCGGACTTCGTCGAAGTTGTTTGTGTCGTTTTCTGCGACGGCGCGTTCAACCACTGCTTGCATGCCCACTGAATGGGTGTAGACGCGGACGAAGTGGTATTCGATGAAAAGATCATTATAAAATGCCTTGTCAAGTACCTGTGGCTGGAGGTATTTGTCTTTCCACTGGTCGAGTAGAGGTCGGAAATGATCTAGTAGTCCTACATAGCGACCGCTATGAAGTTGCTGACGTGCGAATGCAGCAGAAGGGAAGAACATGTCTGTCACGGATTTGGCAAGCTTGGTCAGCTCGATCCACGAGTCCATGAACGTAAGCCAAGTGCTACCAGGAGGACTGAGTCCTTGCGGTTTGCGTCCGCCCAGAATGGCATGATTCAATGATTGAGGAATCGGTGACATGCATCCAATCCGCCAGGCTAGCTGGTTGATGTACACGTACAGAAGACGTTGAACACGCTGCCAGCGAAGTGTCATTTGATCTCGCCATTCTGGCTCTTCTGCCGGTGAGCTGCTCTCTTCCGTTTCAAAGATCCCTAGCTCATGGGCGAGAGACAGAGCGCACCCAAGTAACATCCAGGACATTTGGTCCGACCGTCGAGCGGGCTCGATCATATCTTCCACCCAGTTATTAGCAGATGCTGGATTTGATTCGCCGCCTTCATGGTGTCTTGGTGCCGAGGGTATCAAATCGTCATCCCAGCCATCGCTCTCGGGTGGGAAATGTAATGAGCGAGGATGCCATTCTGAGATCAATAGAAGTGCCTCTACTGTACCGAGGCTTCGGACTTTGGACTTGGTAGATTTTTCTTGTCCGAATATCAGTCTCATGGTTAGTTGTTGACAATATTGCCAGAGACGGTGGTGAATGAAGAAGTTTCTTGACTCTCCGCCTGCCCCTGGAAGGACGTGATAGCGTGAAGATATCATGAGAATAGTGCAGCAAAGGACAGGTTCTCGGGTGATAAGCCAATAATGATAGCGATGATTGGCATAGAAATCAGTTAGGATTGGTGATAAACACGACATGTTTTTGTAGAACCTGTTTAAATGTTAGCATTCAGAATGTTGGCATCGATGAATTCAAAACAACTGACAGGTCCACGAAGGTGACTGCCTCCCTAGCAGTGAACCAACCCATTTTGACAAACCGACATGCCTCCCATATATTGAGAGTATCTTGAGCAGCGTTCGATAGCTGAACAGGACGTATGACACGCGTGACTGGCTCAAATGCAGCATCGTACTTCCCCGGGGTTAAAACATGACTTGGACCCGTCGATGGAGCCCCATTGATAGATTCAGGAGTATTATCCGTATTACTATCTTCCTGCGCAGTTGCAGCCTCAAAAAGAATATTCAGTGCATCATTCCCACTTGCAACCACAGTGCGCATCATCGAGTTGGAGAGCGAAGAATTGGACCTATGCTTTGTATTTTCGAATGCATGAGAAGGAGACGGATTCGCCTGCGAGGGCTGAGCAACTCCATTGCGATCCAAAGAGCCATGATTAGACGGCGATATACCATTCGGATAAGACCACCCAGATTGCAATTCAGGCGAGTGATAGTTCGCCTCCGGGGTCGGGTTGCTCAAAACGCTCGCACGACGATAGTGAGCACCCTGGCCATGACCAGGGTCTGGCGATGTCGCCGTCATCCTTCCAACATCCCCAGGTGATACATCCTCATAATTCTCAGGTGATCGCGCTAGAACCGACCAGTTAGATACCGTTTCACCGTCAGCATTGAATTCCCACCTCGTTTCCGAGACCTTTCCCAAGCCCGTTTCTCGGGGAACACGCATTCCCTCAGCTCTCTTCGACAGCGGGCACATGGTGGGCCGATCGGAAGTCCATCTGGATCGGTCCCTAGGTCGCATTTGGCCTTGCGTTGCCGACAGGGGATGCATGCCTTGTAGGTGCGCTGATACGGCTTGTCCGGGCGGGATGGCCTGACACCATCCATCGTCAACCGTTCCTGGGCGGATTCAGGGGTGGACTCAGTGGGTATTCTGCGATGATACCTTGGACAATTGCGAGGTGAGAGATGCGAGGAAAATTAGCCGGTGGTAGCCGGCCCGCCCCGCCCTAGCTCTTTGTATGAGACGTGAGGATCAGACCGCCAGGGCTCCGACGGAGTATTGCTAATAGGAACTTTTGATTTGAACGTCAGATACTCAATTTCTGCAAATAAAGGCTAAGGTTTCATTGAAGTCAGATTAAATGGCTTGGGGCTTCATGCGGAATAATGGTGATACTCTGCTCAACAGACCAATAGCTACAAACCCCTATAATGTATCCCAAACAAACATAAGATTGAAATATAAGATATCGGATCTGCTAAGACTGCTATACTTATCATGCTTATGTACTGCAATGCAAGGCAGTGACCTGGAAGGAGTGACCAGTTGTCGGGTCTGGGGTTGGTGCCTGAAAACCAAGGCACTACACATAGACATCTTGGCAGTGAAGACATTGACTGCAATTGGCATTGGACGGTGAATGGCCATGACGCAGTTAAATGCCTGAGCACCTCATATGTCCCACCGCAAAGTAAATGAACTTCAGAAAATGTCCGAGGCCCGTCGCGGAAATGCAAAGCGCTTGGGCTCGGGTGCCCAGAGCCCGCGGAATCCCTTCCGCACTGAATCTATATCCGCCATATCCTATACTTCCAAGACAGACGGGACACAAGATCCGCGGGTGTCGGGGTGTACAGCCTGTAAAATCCATAGCAAAGTTTGATTCCTCTATTCTCATATCTCTAGACCTGAATCAATATCCAAGTCCCCATCACATCAATCAAAATGCCCGAGACAGTAACACTGCACACCTACTTCCGGTCCTCCTGCTCCGCACGACTGCGGATAGCCCTACATCTTAAGAACATCCCGTTCACACCCGTCTACGTGAATCTCCTGAAAGGCGAGCAGTCATCCCCAGCCCACCTATCCATCAATCCATCCGGCACGGTTCCTGCACTTGTCATCCAGCGCGATGCTCAAGAGCCTATCATAATCACCCAGTCACTCGCAGCCCTCGAATACCTCGATGAAGCATTCCCAGGTGGTCCAGCACTTATGCCTCCAGCCTCGGATCCCGAGGGGCGTGCCATAGTGCGTACATTGGCGCAGATAATCGGATGTGATATCCAGCCTGTGACGAACCTGAGGATTCTGAAGCGGGTGGCACCGCTGGGTGCGGATCGAGCGGAGTGGTCTAAGGATTTGATTGAGGATGGATTGAGGGCTTATGAGGCCCTCGTTTCTAAGACTGCTGGCAAGTTTAGCGTTGGGGATGAGATTACACTTGCTGATCTGTGTTTGATTCCGGCTGCTTGGGGTGCTGAGAGGGTTGGGGTGGATATTTTGGAGTTCCCGGTTACGAATGCTATTGTGAAACATTTGGAAGCGGAGGAGGCGGTTAAACTTGGTCATTGGAAGACTCAGGATGATACTCCTGAGGAGCTTCGGTGATATTCATAATTCTAGATTTTAGGGTATCTAGTGAGCTGGGGATGAATCGATGAGTTTGTTCAATTGATCAAGAATGTTACCATTTTATTGCAAGCTCTCTAGATATAAACAAAACAAGGCCAAAGGTGTATCACATAAATCATTGATTTTATCTACTGCAGAGAGACAGCAGGCAAGATGGTACCGACACAGTCGCCAAAGCCGACGTAGTTACCCTCTGTACCCGCCATTCCGCGGAGAGTGACAGTGTCTCCATCCTCCAAGAACATGCGCTCAGAACCATCAGCCAACTTGAGCGGTGTCTTACCGTTGGTCTGCTCCAAGAAGCTACCCTGAGTCTTGGGCTCACTGCCTGAGATGGTACCAGAGCCAAGCAGGTCACCAGTACGCAAGTTGCAGCCCGTGATAGTGTGATGAGCAACCATCTGAGGGAAAGAGTAGAGCAGATTGCGAGCATTGCTCTTTGCAATCACGGTAGGCTGACCACCTTGGTTGGTGACCTCGACATCGAGGGGGATTTCGAACCCGTTCTCGGCGCGCTTTTCGCGCAGGTAAGGCAGGAGAGACTCGCGGTTACCGGGTTCCAGTCCGGGGGCACGGAATGGCTCCAGAGCATCAATGAGAACCACCCAGGGGGTGATGGTGGTGCCGAAGTTCTTGGCATTGAAGGGACCCAGGGGAACGTACTCCCAGGCCTGGATGTCGCGGGCGGACCAGTCGTTCATAAGGACCAGACCGAAGATGTGGTCCTCAGCCTCATCAATTGGAACGGGCTTACCAAGGTCGTTGGGCTTGCTGATGAAGCATGCAAGTTCCAACTCAATGTCGAGCTTCTTGCAGGGAGAGAAAGTAGGGACTTTAGGATCGGCGGCAGGGTTGGCTAGGATTTGGCCTTGGGGACGGTGAAGAGGCGTGCCGGAGGGAACCACGGAGGATGCACGTCCGTGGTAAGCGACAGGCAAGTGCTTGTAGTTGGGCTGGAGAGCGTTGTCCGGACCGCGGAACAAGACTCCAATGTTATAGGCATGGTTCAGACCGGCGTAGAAATCGGTGTAGTCACCAATCTGCATAGGGACATGGTTGGTGACCTGTGACAAAGGCAGGAGGGCTGATTTCTGTAGGGAAGCATTGTCCTTCAGAATCTGAGGGAATTGCGTGTCGGCGCGGAAGACGTTCTGTAGATATTCGCGCACCTGGCGGTGCACAGGGCGGCCCAGGGCGGCAAAGTCATTCAATGTCGATTGGCTGAAGACACCCAGGTGTTTCTCAATTGCTGGAAGCTGTGAAAAGCCTCCAGAGGAAGCAAAAGCACTCAAATCCAGGGCATGGTCACCGATGGCAATTGCGGCTACTTTTGATGCCGACTGCGCGGAGATGATGCCGAACGGGATGTTGGCGAGGGAAAAGGGAGAGTTCTTGGGGATTTGGAACCAGGATGCCATAATGAAAACAATGTAGATGTGAAAAGAAAGAGCCCTGGAGAGCTGAGAAGTAAAACTAATTATTTACAGTCGGGCGGAATAGTCCCGCTCCCCCGCATCGAAGGCGGAAGGCGTGGCTAATCGCGGGAATTTCCATCCGCGGCTGTGACGTTCGTCTCGGTTGGTGTTTCTTTAAGACAACAACGAACAACGACCCTTGCATTCACTTACTGCACATACAGCATAGCACATATCTCACAATGCCTGTCACCAATTTCAAATACCCCGATCCTTACAAGTACCAACTGGGCTTCGACTCCCATCATGAGTATGTTTTTACTTCCAATTGGGGTACTCCAGCATATACTCCGTACCAAATTTCCAATACTAACAATCCAACAGGAGTGAAGCCATTGAGGGAGCCCTCCCAGTCGGTCAAAACTCACCCCAAAAAGCCCCATACGGGTTGTACACAGAAAAGCTCTCGGGCACTGCCTTCACCGCTCCTCGCCGCGAGAACAAACAGACCTGGGTTTATCGTGTTCTACCAGCAGCAGCTCATGAGAACTTCGTGGCTGAAGATGTCGACTCATATCACACCAGTATGACAACAGAAACCCAGAAGCTCCACCATATTCCAAACCAGCTGCGATGGAACCCATTTGACCTGGATGAGAAGGTGGATTGGGTACATGGATTACATTTGATCGCTGGATCCGGCGACCCGACCATGAAACAAGGCTTGGGAATCCTACTCTATGCAGCTGGAAAGGATATGGGCAAGGAAGCCTTCTATTCTGCGGATGGCGACTTCCTGATTGTCCCCCAGCACGGCGTGTTGGATATCCAAACTGAGCTTGGTCGCATTATCCTCCGACCAAATGAGATCTGCGTCATTCCCCGCGGCGTAAGGTATGCAAAAAATCATATACACTCCAATTATATTCACCAGCTGACTCTTTCCTTCAGATACCGAGTAACGCTTCCAGACGGCCCAGTGCGCGGCTACATCTGTGAACTATACCAGGGTCACTATGAACTCCCCGAGCTGGGTCCCATTGGCTCGAATGGTCTAGCCAACGCGCGCGACTTCCAAGCCCCAGTAGCCGACTTCGACGACGAAGAGGAAAGCGAGTATAAACTGTACAGCAAGTTCAACAACACTCTATTTTCCGCCAGACAGAACCACACGCCGTTCGACGTTGTTGCCTGGCACGGAAACTACTATCCCTTCAAATATGATCTGGGACGATTCAACACCATCGGCTCCATTTCATTCGACCACCCTGATCCCTCAATCTTTACTGTGTTGACTGGTCCCTCAGACCATGTTGGCACAGCCATTGCGGACTTTGTTATCTTCCCCCCGCGCTGGCTGGTGGCTGAAGGAACTTTCCGTCCTCCTTGGTACCACCGTAACACCATGTCGGAGTTCATGGGTCTGATTGCTGGTGATTACGATGCTAAGGTTGGCGGTGGGTTCCAGCCTGCTGGCGCTAGTTTGCATAACGTTATGAGTGCTCATGGTCCCGACTCTGGGGCTTTCGAGGGAGCTAGCAATGCAGAGTTGAAGCCTACCAAGGTTGGAGATGGAAGCATGGCGTTCATGTTCGAGAGGTATGTTTGTATAAAACCCCCTTGTTGTGGTTCTGGTCGCTGACAATTGATTTAGCTCTCTCATGGTCGGTGTGTCTGAGTGGGGCTTAAAGCAATGCCAGAAGGTGCAGCCTGAATATAACCAGCATAGCTGGACACCCTTGAAGCGTCATTTTGTGAACCCCCACAAGAAGGCTTAAGCAACAAAGTCTTTACAAATACTATCTGAGCCAGGAAATACTTTATTAACGAAATTTCGGGGTTTGAACTATCTATTAAGCATGAAACGACACGAGTACATTTTTATTTTGCTTTGCTTTGCACGGTTCGAGCTTGACTAGTAGTAACTTCGTTGTATTGATGATTTCTCATAAACGTCTATCTGTTTCACCCTTCAAGTTCCTTCCTCAGAGCCTCTTTAACAATCGACCCGCACATCTTGGCATACGGATTCGTCTGCACAGCAAGCTGCTGTGCAACCTTATTCCCATATCGACCACCAAAGAAGAAATCCTGACTAGCCATCTCCTCAAGCTGATCAGCGCTAAGCCCACGCAATCGTTCCGGGCCTTCCTGGGAATTTTCAGGAAATTCCTTCTTAACTCGAGCAGCTTTCAAAAGCAGATAACCCCGATGCGTATGTGCGTCAGCCAAAAGTCTCGCCTGCGCACTTGAAATCGCATCCGCTGGAGAGGCCGGCGTAGCGAGAGTAATGGCTTGACCCAAATCCAAGAAAATCCGAGAACATAATTGGGAGGTTTGTGGAGAGAATAACGCGGCATCTTTTAGTTCGGTATTGGGAACCTCACTTGTTCCGGTTTCTTTGTTGTGGATCAGGTCGACCAAGAGACGGAGTGTCTGGGCCCGATTTATGTATGCAGATGGATATGAACCATTGTGGAGGATGAGCTCGTCGAATTCATACAATGCAGAGGTAACGGTTTCTTGGCTTGGTGATTCATCTCCTTGGACTTTGCGGATGATTGCTGATTCGCGTTGCTTGAGTGATGACAGGTTTGATTCGGGGATTTTCAGGGATGAGGGCCAGGATGGAAGAGAGGAGTCAATTTTAATTCCTGATGAGGGAGAGGATTCGGCATCGAAGAGTGCTTGGAGGACAGCTGAATCATTCGATGTTAATGATGGTCGAGCTGGGGTGATTGATGTCATGTTGAACTTTGCGCTTTAAGGCCTGGAAGATGCAGCAGTATAGATGTGCAAGATAGAATATAATAATCGGAAAGATTTGATCAGGAAGAATTTCTGAAACAAAATAGAAGATGATTTGGAAAACAAAAGAAATGATGCGCGGCTGTTGGCGATGATCTCAGTGCGGGTATTTCCGGCTATTCCAGGACCCTGGAATAGCCGGGCCCTAAACGGCATCAAAGTTGCAACAAGGAGCCGATCGAAAAGATACCCGGAAGCTAGAACGCTTAATGGGGGTACTTTCATTTAGACTTAAAAGCAAAGGGTGGCGTTAATTTGCTTGATATCATTCAACTTCATCTTCACACTTGCGAATCATCAACTCACACTTCCAAACACACATTAAGATGGCTCCTTCAGCCATTTCCAGCACTCCACCTCCTTCCACCGCTGGAGACAACTCTTCAGTGGCGAGTTACCGCGGCTACGACCATGTTCACTGGTACGTTGGCAACGCCAAGCAAGCAGCCACCTTCTACATCACCCGCATGGGCTTCAAGCGCGTAGCCTACAAAGGCCTGGAGACGAACAACCGCAACATCTGCTCTCATGTTATCAAAAATGGCGACATTACCTTTATCCTCAGTTCTCCTCTCCGGTCACTTGAACAAATCGACCGATTCAGTCCAGAGGAGCAAGCCGAGCTGCGCGAGATCCACGAACACTACGAGAAGCACGGTGATGCAGTCAAGGACGTTGCTTTCGAGGTTGACGATGTCGACGCTGTCTACTATGCCGCCGTAAAGAATGGTGCCAAGGCTGTTTCTCCCCCCAGAATTCTCGAGGATAAGGATGGACATGTCAAGACCGCAACTATTCGGACTTATGGAGAGACCACCCATACACTTATCGAGCGCAATCAATACCATGGTGCCTTTATGCCTGGATATCGCGCTGAGGCCGGAAATGATGATCCTATCTTGAAATTCCTCCCCGAAGTTCGTCTTGAGAGGATTGACCACTGTGTTGGAAATCAAGACTGGGATGAGATGGACGAAATCTGCGAGTAGTAAGTTCTGCAAATATATCAGACATCGGGAAACAGTTACTGACCTCGGAATCTAGCTACGAGAAGGCTCTCGGTTTCCACCGCTTCTGGTCCGTCGACGACAGCCAAGTCTGCACGTAAGTACTTGTGTCAAATATTCATGAACACCTAACTGACTTGAACAGTGAATTCTCTGCCCTGAAGAGTATTGTCATGGCATCGCCAAATGAGATTGTCAAGATGCCCATCAATGAGCCGGCAAAGGGAAAAAAGCAGTCTCAAATCGAGGAATACGTGGACTTCTATAATGGGGCTGGTGTGCAGCATATCGCGCTTCGAACGGACGACATTATCCGTGATATTACCAACCTGAAGGCACGAGGTGTTGAATTCATCAAAGTCCCCGACACATACTACACAGACATTCAAGTCCGTCTTAAGCAATCTGGGCTGAAGCTTAAGGAAGATTTCGAGACCATTCGCAGCTTAGACATCTTGATCGACTTCGATGAAGGTGGTTATCTTCTTCAATTGTTCACCAAGGTATGTCAGAGTTGTTGATTGAAGAATTGATTGAGACTGACCGATGGAATAGCACATTCTGGACCGCCCTACAGTATTCATTGAGATCATTCAGCGACACAATTTTGAAGGCTTTGGAGCCGGGAACTTCAAATCACTGTTCGAGGCTATTGAAAGAGAACAGGAACTTCGTGGGAATTTGATTTAACAGTAAAAAGAAGCATTTGAACAGAAGATCGCGACGTTTGCAATGAGTTTAGGTATCTATATGTATTGTTATTTTAGCGATTCCAGAAACGGAAATCCAAGAAGAGATGCTATCACAGTCCATATTTGGGTTATTATTTTGAGTGATGGGTGTAGCTCTCATTCCTATATCTCAACAATGTATTCTCTCTCTGTCTCTTTTCCCTCTCTCTTCACTCTCGTCCTTTTCTCTCTCCTCTCTCCTCTCTTTCTTTTATTTGCTTATTTGCGGATATTCTTTTATTTTTTCTTTTCTCTTTCTTTCTCTTTTATTTTCCTTTATATACATTTATTTATTTACTCACTTCTGCTTTCTTTTTTTCTATCTTTCTTTTCAAAAAGAATTGGATCAATTGCTTCTGTTTATGCTTTGATCAACATGATATAAACCCGAACAACAAGCCTGTGAACCTCCATCTCACTTTGACGAAACCGAGATGGGACAATCAACTTCGAAGAAACCTTCTTCCCAGAATCTCGCCCACAAACTTCAAGAGGCGACAAATCCTGATTTGTTTACCACACCCATCCTCTGAGATCAACATTCACTTCCTCATTGGAAAGTGCCACTGAAGCATTCACTTCAGGTCTCCGACCCAACCAACCTAGACCTCACTCCTCACTTCCACCACGCACAGTGACCTTTCCGCGGATCATCATGGATCCCGCCATCAAGATCGTCGACTGGAGCGAGGTCTTCCTCGAAAGACAAACAGCCGCAGAATCGAAAGACCAATCATTCGATCTTCCTAACCCCGAAACTCTGCCGCTCTACAAACCCCGTGATGTCCTGACGGAGGAAGTGGACTTTGAGCAGTGGCACAGGTCAATTATGAACATCCTACGCTTACAAAAACTCGACCGACTGGTGGAATCGGCCATCGAGCGCCCACCAAACGAAGATGATGCCGGTCGAGTGTGGTTTATTTTATCACTCTCTGTCAAAAACTGGTTAGAGCTCTGCATACACCCAGACATCGTTGCCCGGATCAACAACTTCGGTACCGAGGCCATATTCGCCGACAAATTTATGGAATACCTGCGCCGAGAATTCCGTGCTGAAAGACCACAACCGGAGGCCTACTCTAGCTCTGCGGCCGCAACCTGACCACGGGTTTCGTGGACGAATTGCAAGCCTTTGAGCTTGCAAACTCAGGAAGAAAGAGAGTACGTGAGACCTTCACGGTGAATGTGACTATAGCAGGACGATCGGAGAATGCCGATCACGCAGAAACAGGAAGTTGAGAGATCAGAGGCTGCTTGAGGATGTGCTTTGAGGGCCTGTAATTAAGCGGCGTAGCCCCCGCCCCAGCCCTAGATGGAGATCTGGCGCTTATGCTCCAGCCCAACGAGCGGACTCCCGATTACTAGGTAATTGAATCGATCGTTTTCTTCCAGATACCTGTTCCGAGACTTATTAAACCCGGGAAGCTGTCTGATCCGTTTAGTGTGCCCTCTCTTTGAAACCCACCTCATTCTAATCTACTGTAGCAAAAGCCACTTGGTCAAGGATGCTCGGTGAATCGTAATCACATCCATTTTGGGTATAATGTATTGCGTATTGACTCTCTATTCAATATTCAACTCCATGGGATCGCCATCCAGAGCTTTCCAGAAGACAGACCCCTGTTGACAGTCTGCCGCGACATATGCCGAGGTCTGAAGAGCGCATTTACTTGCGTTTTGATGTCTTAGACGTAGGAGCATTCCCACCAACTCGCTTGAATTTCCGCGGATCTAGCAGCGTATTAGACTTGTCATGCGTAAAGTTCGGTACAAAAATCTTACCTTTCCGACTCATAAGAGCACGATTCCTCGTCCCCTTTCCTCCTTCCCAGAACCCACTACCTGCCTTTCCAATCAGGATAGCTTTGCAAATGCCACAATTCTCGGGTCTGTAGATCTGCTCGCGCGAGCAATATCCACAGATCATCCGGTTGGCATGTTCGTTTGGATGATCGGTTTCCGCATCGTGACATCTAGATGATGTATGAGCTTGTGTAGGGGATATCAAGTTGGGTGAGAGCTTACTTGTCACAAGGGAAGACTTTGGAGCAGCAGCTGAATCTGTGAAGAGTTAGAATGGGTCTCTTGATTTTGATGTTGGATGCGCACCTGAACCAGCGCTGACTTTTGGCATAGTGCTGGCAGCGACCACGTCGGGGGAGTTCTTGTCCTGCAACGATACCTAGAACTTCTTGGGGCTGATTCAATTATTAGTATTCAGTCATAGCTGCTGAGGGAATGATGGCGAACCTTTCTTTTCAGGGGAAGAGCACCACGAGCAGAGACTGGAGATGATAGTAAGCAAGAGGTTTCATGAGAGGGTAAGGGTATATCGAACTTACTTGCTGCACTCCCCACCAGCAAGAATTTCACTTCTGGAATCTTGAAGACTGTGAAACAAATGATTAACAAGAAACTCCAACAGAAGGACCATTGAGCCTTTACCCATTTTGCGGTGGCACTGGCGGCAAATGGCCATTGCACTCTCGCCACGAACTGCAGGTACACCGGGTGCTGGATGAGCAGTGGAACACTCCGAACAACTGGGAATGAAATCGCTACATCATACCATGTCAGCAGAGAACATCTTGGAATAATTAGACCATGAGCTCACCTAAGCAGCATATCACCAATCGTACAACCATCCAAGTCGAGATAGCCAGCACGGTTAGCATGAGAATGCATCAATTGCCGCCGGAAAGCTACATGAAATGTTAGTGTGCGCAATCGAAAGTAGGCGATATTCGTATACATACCAACACTCATGTTATTAGCACACTTCTTGCAAGACTCTTGTTTCGCCATTTGACCCTTTTCGTCGGTAATCTGTGGCACATTTTTGATATCCACCGGAACCTTACACCTGTCACATTTCACAGTGACATTGATGGTAGTGAGTTCCAGCAGTTCAATTCCATAGAGTTCCATATACGGGAACGAAAGGGCGACGCCCCGACCAGGTGCGTTGTTATCCACAGCTGCAGGAACAGGTGCGCCGCCTTCCTCGTCCTCTTCATCTGAGAACTCATCTTCATCATAACTTGACTCTTCTGATGTTCCCTCGCCTGCGTTGGGATCTGGAACAGACCACTCAGGGGGACGAGGAATGACATGGAGATGGGGTCGGTCTTCGTCGTCGTGGGTGGTCTCTTCAGGAGCCTGATCGTAGGCATCGGCATCCTCGATCTCTTCGCTTTCTTCTGCAAGAGGTGCAGTATCAATGGAATCTTCGGGTGCTGGAAGAGGTGTTTCGGCAAATTTGTGGATGTTGCTCGCAAGGTAGTTGACTTGAGACACCAGACTTAGCTGGGAAGTCTGTTCGACCCATTGAGCGAATCCAAGTTCTGTGGCTTTCGCCTCATTGCCTTCAATCCCCAGTAGCTTGATAGAGCTATTTTCGAGGGGATACAATTGTGGCACATTGAGCTTCACGGTCTTCAGTGCCTGGATCGCTCGCGGTAGGCGATCCTTTTTGGTAGGCTGGATCGGAATGACATATGCCTTGCCGTCTGGCACCTTTTGAAACATGGGAAGTCTTCCAAGACGTGCTTCTAGCTGCTTTGTCTCAACAGCGCGTCGCTTTTCAGCCGCCGCTTTGGCTTCAGCTGTATGTCTGGGTGCCACCACCCGTGGCTGTGATTTCCGTGAGGACGTGGCAGCAACAGATGCCGCCGGCGTAGGCTTGCTAACATTCGGCACGTCCTTCACTTTCTCTGGAACCTGGCTCGACTCCTTGGTAGCTGTTGCATCGCCGTGATTGGCGAAGAATTTGAGCGTTGGCCCTCGCTCCAGAGTTGTCAGAAGAGGCTCGAGCTTCCTATCCAGACTATTAAGCCACCCTAGTAGCGTCCCTCGGCCATTGGTTCGATAGGTAAAGTCAACAATATCGTCAAAGCCACGAGCCACATTTGCTTGGTATGCAGCTTCCATTTCAGAATTGGTCACAGTAAGCGTGGGACGCCCTTGTGGATACGACTTGGGAACGCGGAGTACACATTGAAGTCTCTCCAGCTCGAATGGGAAATCGGGATCCGAGGGGACCAATCCGAAGGTCAGCGTAGTGCCTTCTTCATTGTTGATTTCCTGTGGACGATAACGCCGTCTCAATTGATTCATCTGGAACTCTCTCGGGTTCGACTGCTCCATGGTAGAAACGGGCCGTTGAGGTTGAACAGGAGTAGTAGTCGGTTTTTGCGCTGGTTTGGCGTCACTAAGGGACAAATTGCGAGCCTCGGTGACAATGTTTTCAGTCAATTCTGAGGTACCATCATCAGTTGCTTCAGTGCTACTTTGGTGTCCTGATGGCGACTCTTTGGTTTCAGTAGCCGATGTATCGTGAACGAACGGGCAAGCTGCACCGACGCGACAGCCTGTGGCAACATTAGCATTGGAACAGACCGGCACATGCATCCATGACAGCTGATTGGAATAAAGATCAATGTGCAGTAATGAGGCCAGCCATATCGTGCAATGATAGACACCTCGGTATCATTCGTGAACATGAAAGATACTGCATACACAGAATCCCTTTTGGGATAGACTAATGGAGGCCCGAAATACAGTGGGTAATTCAACACATCCACCATTGAGAAGGCCTGACGATTCCTTACAGAACGCGAACTCAAAAAAAAGAAGGCTTACCCTTTTTCGTTTGAAAGAAGCGGCACTTGCCCTGTCGCCTGGTTGATGAGCGAGGCCGCGCCTCGGTTGCAACGCCATGCGACCGGGCCGCTGACAACTCATCGTTTATCGAAGACGGCAACTCTGTACCTGCTCGATCAAAGTATGAGCGTGTGATCAAAAAGGTTGCGGGCCGAGAGTTTCAGGCGTATTGGCAAGGGCCTACACGCCAACGCCTCAGGGAATGACGGGCTAGCAGATGTAACAAGTGCATGGATATGCACAGGGGCTGAGATACGAAGAGCCCAAGGAAAGCGTTTGAGTAGATCTCACGACGTTGATTGGAATGAAAGACTCCGACGGGGCCAAGGCCAATAATAGAATGGTGCTAAACTCACCTGGAACCTGGGGTGCTGGACCCGCGTCAACTGACCCTGCCATGCTCAGGTTTGGCTGTTTCTCAGAAGATCCAGACCGGGGGACACCTTCTTGAGTTTCTGAGTGAGGTGACGTGAGTGCCAACGCAGAGATCGGGTGACCTTGAAAAGATCGACAGGACCAGATCTGCACAGTAAGTAAGCCGAGATGTGCGACCGTCAGCTTAGAGAAAAAGGAAAAAAGGAAAGCAAGGAGCTTTGTTGACTCCACGTGATGGTAAAGGTGCTCTACTGCTCTACTAAGTAAAGAACGAGTGAGATGAAGTTATACAAACATTTGCTGCCAAGACTTTAGCGGAACCGATGATCTCATTTGACTCATACTGTCCTGAGTCACTGTGAATAATGTCAATCAATCTACACAAGTATGGAGTTTTCAATGAGTAATTGTTGAATATCAGGAGCGAAAAGCAGAAGTAGTAGAGCTCCTAAGGTTGACTGTAAAATGAGTGCAGTTTAACCAAGATCGCCTTTTCATGCATATCTTCGCAATGCCTCTTAGCCACTACAGATTAGCTAGGTCGATACTATGTACGAGTACAATATTCGGCTTCTCCGACCAGACTCAACCTGAAATCCTGCGCTGCTCATGTCCGCAAAACCACCTGCCAAGAACCAACCTGGTTGGGGGTCATAAATCTCGCAAATCGCCACTGCGCAGAACTCAACAAAGGAAAATAAGCAGGAAACAGGATTCCGCGTTGTTTATTTTGTACTCGTACTGCCAGCTGGCAAAGTACAGAATACTACACAGCAATCGCACTGGAGCATACCTTATATTCCGTACGGGAGGAATCCTCAACCCCCCGATAGCACCAAAAGTCGAAATTACAGAGAATGAACAACCCCCGAGAGTAATACGACCCGACCATATCTAACGATCACGGGGGCGGACCGCGTTGGAGAGGGGTTCGCTTTCTAGAACTCCGCATCCCTGCGAGAACGCCTCCGGGCGCGTTTAGATGGGATGCAACGTCGAAATTCATTTCTTTCACGCACTGTCCAGATGGAGACCATGTGGAATTCTATGACTTCACATAGGGCTCGGATGAAGTCATAATGTATTACAACTTTGACAGTGTACTCGTAGTGCGCACTAACAATTAGTTTAACGATTAGTTTAACAATTCGAAGTATACAGAATCTTCATGAATGCCCACAATAGTTTCTCCGCACAAACTCCGACATTTAGGATGGCAGTCCTCCGTAACGAAAATAGACCCATTACATTCCAATTAATGTGGAGCTCCGAGAACTACACTGCGAAGAATACATACATGTATGTACCACCTAGAACATCGAGTATCAGGCAAAACAAAGTAAGTCAGTGACAGCCACACCGTCCGTCAATTCCCCGGCAATGGAGGACCTCAAACTTTAGAACTTCCATTGTCCACTCTATCAGGGCGCCAAAGCAAGAGTGTGATTGAAGGAATCATCTTCGCGAGGCAATCTCGAGGTCACTTGCATGTACTATGAGCCAGATCCCTGCCTGTGGCTTCCGCTAGTTAAACACCAGTATCCAGCCCAAGCCACCGGGAAGTGAGGCTTGTGTCACAAGATATACTTGCGTTTGAGATATAATATCGCACATGGATGCCTACGAGTACTCGTAGTTCGCTCATACTGTGAGAGCCGAAGGAATTGCAGATCTTTAAACTCAGAACCTTTGGAATATTCTACATGCAACCTAACGCACTCCAGAGTTAGGCAATTCAACAGTTAAACCTCGGTATTCAGATTCATACCGTCGATACACGAGGTACGCGGTAATGGACTTCCGCTCCGGTTACAGAGTTCGGTAACGACCTAATGCAGTCTAGCGCGTAATACAGAAACTTTACACCCAAAGCGGAAAGGCGTGAATCGTACCTCGAACTCACCGACCAACCGGATCATCCTTCCAGAAGGCTTCCAGAACCTAGAGGTCTTCCCTGGGAATTAGACGCGTTTGACCATGGTCTATAGCGTGCAGTTCTCGGTTTGAGAAACTTCGGCAGTTTCCAGTATTCCGATCTGCCATGTCATGAGTCTACGAGTATGATCAGGGACATTGACGAATATTACATATGTATTCCAGATAAATCTCAACATCTTGCGGGGTCTCGGAGTACAGAGCTCCCCGTACAGAATTGGACCCACGTGATATTTCTCCACTGCAAGGCCTAGAATTGTGGTCTCGCCAATCATGCATAGCATAATTGTGCTGCTTTTTTTCTCATCCAGCGAGAACAGGTATCTCACTCGCGCAGGGGCCAGTTCCGGGCGCCTCATTCGGGACTTCACCGAACGACAATTACACCACTACACGGCGTTATGACAATGGGATGGCGAAAACGACGACTCTAGATGCTGTTTTACGCGTCATTTTCACTGCTTTGTTATTTTGGTCGCTTGGACACGTGATTTGTTCATATCCATTGAGGGTTATGAGATCACCTGACATGCGTTATTCCCGGGTTTACATCACGTTGATTGTAGAACTGTTTTCACTTGTAGATATCTATTTGAAGAAAGTGGTTCCGATATGGAGATGCTCCAGTGTGCTAGCAATAAACCTTGGAATGAACCTTCTTATTGTCCCGCGAAGTGAGTCTATCAGAAACGCAGCCTAGAGCAAGAACTAGGTTTATTGCTACGAGTATTGGAGACGGCGAAGGGTAAGAAAGAGAGAGAAAAGTGAATATTTACCCCGACTGGTCAGAATCCTTGAGACTAGCTCTCTCAACAGAGTGAAATATCAAGATACCCCAAGGTTTCACAGTCTCAAAGTGAGTCCAGCATCTTACGGAGTACTCCGTTCATGGTCAATGCAGTAGCTCAGTCTAGAGCCCAAAGGCCCAAGCAAGGGTTAGTTGAATTAGGGCTGGCCGATCACTTCAGAAGTGGAGGATGACCGAGATACATACTCGTACTCGTAGCCTTGAGCCGACTCTTAATCTCGCCTTTGAAGACCAACCCTCCAAGGTTGGAAGTTGAAACAAAAGCCAAGACTGCACGTAATCAGCCACAATCTTTGAACACCTGATTGACTAGGGGTGTACTCCGTAGATGCGATGGCATATTCACGATATGTCAGACATGTGCATGCATCGGCATGCCGAGATTTGCACTCCGGGCGCACATCACAGACCCGACAAGTCAGTTAGGCGTCAAACTTGCAGAATGAAGGCCTCATCCACTTTCCCGGTTTTGTGTTTTCAAGGACTCAGGTTGATCGCGGAGTGGTCCGTGGGGGTGGTTTAGGACACGGCCAATTTGGAGCCTTGTATCATGTATCGAATCCTAAATAGGAAGTGCGGAGTCTTTAGCTGTCACTGGGATACAAAGGATGGAGACAGTTTTGTTACCGGTGAGACGAGCCAACGGGACGTGCGACGACTGCGAATTATGCCGGTCCCTGGTTATCCACTAGATCCACTTTGGGGACTCCTGGAGCTGAGATCAAGAAGGCTCTTCTGGCCAGGAGATTGAGCCCTAACCGGGCAGGTGGATTGTGGAGGAAGCGGCTTGCACACAGTAAGTACTACTGACGAATCTAGCTCAAAGCAGCTATGAATCGTCTTGGTCTTTTGCTAGTATTTGTTTTGAGCGGGAGAGGCTTGAGCGATGAACGGGAGCAGATTCTTAAGTTTGTCCCTTTCAGCGAGTCTCGTTCTGGCATTAGGTCTGCGATGTCCATGTAATTGGTCTTTGTTTGACCTTGGATCTGTCTCCATATGGAGTCCTCGAGGCATTTTCTCATTGGGCACATCGGGCATGGCCGGAGGAATTGGAGCAGTTCCTAGAAAGGAAATGGTGTCGGGCGTTTTAGGAGAAAATTTCGTCAACCCCCACACCCGTTGAAGATGGAACAGAGCAATTTTGCATACGTCACGGTCTGAGACATGCCTGGAGCAATATTTGTAGTATACTTGTACGAGTAGACAAAGATGGAGCATTCGCATTGAAAGCGCACTTCCTGAGAGCGAAGCGAGCTAACATCGATACTTGTAGTCATCCCAATGCAAATCCCAGACCCATCGACTCCACCCCCGGAATCATGTGCGCCAGTCATGTGCAGTTGCCACATAAGTGGGACTGTCATACCTCTTTTATAAGGCGTTTAAAGCATTCGGATCTAAGGCATTCAAGGCAGGAAGCATATTGCTCAAGTCTTACCGAGGCAACGCAATTGTACCAATATATGACATCAGCTCATAGTTTCCAGATCGACAAATACAGACTTAACCATTATTGAGGCCAAAGGCGAAAGATGAAATAATGATGAAAACGCATGGTCATAGTGAGGCATTCGGAACCAACTTCCCCTATTATCTATACCAAAGTGCGGAGTACTTATGATGCTCTACAAATTTAGACACAACACTTAGAACACAAGTACACCGAGGTACAAGCATACATCTGGGCAGAATATGCCCCGTCAATCCCCCAAAACCTTCAAATCAACCCCAACCCCCTTAACCGCCAACATTGTACCCCTAAAACCTGGACAACCCTCAAAAACTCATCAACTCAAAGCCTAGGCCTAGATCAACACACTCAACCCCATCTAAGCAGAGCCCAATCTCCAGATCCCAATGAGCTGGCCCTGTAAATCATGCAGCAAAAAGCCACCATGGACTGAGCGCTTATCTTGTCGAGTCGATTTCAAGCCCACCACCTCCTCCCGAGTTCCGCGGAAGCTCTGGTCGCAGGAACTAATGTACAGAGATGTCATCGACATGTGTAAGCGACCAATGCGATTTCCCCGAGTATTTGGACTTTCGATGGCTTTTAATATTCTCTGTACGCAGTACAGAAGCACAAGTACAGAAGTAAATTGGTAGGGTTGGGATTGTAGATCTTGATTTAATAACACATCTACTCGTACCTCAGGGATTACCAGACCGTACTCCGTACTCTCCACAAAGAACAGAACCTTGGAAGAAAGGGTTCGTGTTCTAGATCTGCACGAATTCAGTACTTTTGACAACCAATTTCCAGGCTATAGTTGGGCTTTTGGACCCCCCTGTTTCCTTTTTTTTTTTTTTCTCAAACCACCTGACCGATTTAGATTTTATGAAGGATCTGCAAGTGTTGCTGAAACGACCATCGCCTGAGCTGATGAACGCATAGCTCATTAGCTTGGGCTTGTTGACTCCGTGCTTTGTACAGAGTAGGCAGGTGGTATTTACAAGGGGGATTAGTACTCCATACAGACCGTGAAGCTTCCGGGGTTTCGAATTCTTTCTTAGAAGTTATTAGAAATCAACATGGATAGATCGTGAGTTCTCGTGTTGGACAGATAGAGTTGGAGATGGAGAGGATATAAGCATACCTTAGTGTATTCGACTCAGACTACAAGACCCAGACGGGTGCCTAGATGCACTCCAGGGTAGTTCTGGATGAATCATGACCACCTGCATACTGCAAGTATTTTCACAGACTCCTCACTTTGATACGTGTCAGCGCCACAAAGTCAGTATATTCCCACATGATTTCTCTGCCGCCGTTGTCCTGGAAAACCCTTCTGCGGACCTCTGAAGCTATGAAGCTACCAGACCGCCAGTTCAGTATGCATGGCGTCAAGCCTCATCTTCTGATATTTGTGTCTACAGATACGATATGCACATGGAAACAGGTATTCTTGAATTGATTCATTTGATTTTTGGCTAGTGTTTTTTGGTTTTTTGGCTGTCATCAGGTAGCGTACAATGGTTGGCTCGATTGGATCAGAGCCTGAATCGCAAGACGTAAACGTGTGGTATCAGGTATCGCAGAGTAAAAAAAGAGCTATCTCGATGATAATCGAGAGAAACAAATGCTTGGTTTTTGCTGTCATAAATGACCATGCAGGAAGAACAGCGCTGAGATGAGAAAAGAAAACCTCTTTTTTTTGGTGAACATTTCCGGTCATAAAAAAAGCCCTTGGATGTGTCTTGAACAAAGCAAGGCGAAGAAAGAATAACTCCCCGGGGTTCATCAATTGTGGCCCGAGATTAGTCGAGGTGTTTTTGAACTGTACAGGGATATTATGGTCGTATGGTGATTAGCCCTCAATGTTGATGTTCCATGAGGCCCATGCCGGATAAACGCCCGGTGAATGCTCTTGAAACACCCCCAATCCCAGGAGCCGCTGAAAGCGAGAAAGAAGAGAAAAGAAACAAATTTCGAATTGTGCGCCGTAAATGCAATGCATGTTCGTGATCGTACGTGTCAAGGTGAGAGCTATGCGGTGCAAAGCGAGTCCTGTAGTAAGTCGGAAGGCGCGTAGATGTTGAGTTGAGGGGGGTGAATCGACTACCATCCCTTCACATGGTATTCCCATGGACCGTAGTCAGTGGTGTAGTTGGTCCAGGAGCCATTCTTGCCCAGGTCGAAGTTGGCGGCGTTGGGGTCTGCCTCTGCACTAGACTGGTTCGGACCAACACCCTTGTGGGGTCCCTTGGGACCGGGATATTCCTGAAGATTCTTCATGTCGTGGGCGGTGTGACGACGCTTGAGGAAGGCATTGGCAGTGGCGCTCTTCTGCTGGCGTTCCCAAAGAAGGTGTCGGCGAAGGGATTCAGTCAATTCAGTGGCAAGCATGTTGCGACGAGTGGTTCGTGGGGAATGAGCCATAGATTGTCCGGGTCCAGGCTTCATGCCAATGGGCTTGGATCGAGGAACATCGGGGCCACGCATGGTCAAGCTTTCCTCATCCTTGCTTGGGGTGGACTGGGGGATAGACGGGCCGTTGGGTGATGTCAATCGAGATCGCTGGAGGGCGGGACTGGACCGGAATGCGTTTCCTTGCATGCGGGTTGGCTGGTGCATCATCATAGTGAGCATCGACCGACGAGACACAAGATTGGGCCGGGAGTCAACCCGCTGGAACATCTCTCCACGTTCATCGACGCTGGACTCGCCACCCTCTGTCACAGAGTCCTCCCAATCAGAATCCTCATCATCCTCGATCGCACTTTCCGAAACCTCATCATCCGTCTCGATGGCGTCTTCGTCGGCACTGATATCATCAGAGTTAGGGATAACGTGAGAGGAGACCTGGTTGCTGAAAGAAGCCGTCTTTTTCGTAGAGTTGGGGTTGCCATTCTTGGGCTTTAATCCACCGGTCGCTTTCTCCTGAGCCACCTGAGGAGCCATACGCTCTTCAAAAGAGCTCTCGTCGTCATCTCCAGAAGATCCGCCCAATGTAAACATGCCGCCCTTCTTCTTCAACGGGGATGGCCGCATCTGAGTGGCGGAACGAGAAGGGCTAGGATCAATGGAGAGTCGTGGTTGCGATCGGAACGAGGATGAGATTTGCGATGGCGAGAAGCCACGGACAATGCTGGGAGACTTGATCATCTCGGGTCGACTGGGAAGTACTCCCGAAGACGAGACACTGGTGTCAGAGGCGTGGTTGACCTGTGCGGTATCGCTGTCGTTGCCCTCGGGTGCAGTGGTTGAGCAAGACTCGGTAGACTCGTGGGGGTATGGGGTGGGTCGAGTGAAGTGAGGAACTCGTCGAGCAGTGGGGGGAGTGGGCGTGGAGGTCGACGGGCGGGGAGTGATGTCAACGACGGGGGCGGCTGGCTCGACGGGAGGGCTCATAGGCTCCAGGTGCTTCTTTTCCTTGATGTTGAGGACCATTCGCTCGAGGTCGAGGGAGGTGATGTGCTTCTCCTTTCCACGGCCAAGGCTGGCCATTGAGTCCTCGCGGACCACGGCAGGTCGGTAGTCCGAAAACTTGGGGCGCTTAATGTGAGCTTCGATCCGCTCGGCCTGGTCGGAGGCAGCCGATTCCACACTGGCGGAAAGTTCGGGCAGATCTCCGTTCTCCGATCGAAGTAAAGGCAATGCGGAGGTTCTGTTGGTTTTCCCGGGCTCGACACAGAAGGTTTCACGTGTCCACAAACGCCAGCTGAGGTTCTCTAGGCGACGGCCCTGGTCCATGTAGTCGGCACATTTCGAGAAGACTGTTTCTGCATTAGCACCCTAGAGACCTGCATTTGCCATTCAATTGCCACTTACCCATCCACATGCCATGAAGGCTTTGTGCGTTGGCGGTATCCACCTTGTGAATATTATCCGCGTCCACGGTGAGCACCGGTGTCGTTAAAGGCATTGCCGCGACGCCGCAATCAGAAGCGTTAGAATGATCGAAGGGAAGAATTGTTGATTGGTGTTCCGGGGTCGCCGTCTCCCCCGAGAGTGGTCGTACGGCGCTTGAGAGTCGGTGGTAAGGGTTCGTGATGATCAACTGAGTGTTGTGGAACGGTTGAAGTGGTGAGTCTCGGCCTGGGTAGAATCAATCACTGGAGGATTGACTCTTGCTGCACTTAGATGTTCCCACAAATAGCAGGTTCGAAGGTCCGAGAGGTTGAAGATCGCGAGATTTCACAAGTTACCCACAGTGCGGAGTAATCAATGCGGAGAGAGTCGAGTGCTGAAAAGAGCGTGAGGGATAGCTCTATGTGACTGAAAGGTGAAAGGTGGAAAAGGATCTGGAGTTGAAAGGAAGAGAGAAAGGAAAGGGAGCAACGATAATAAGGATGGGGGGGCGGCACTTGAGTGGAGAGAGGGGACGGTAATAAATTATTAAAAAAATTGGGAAAAAAAAAGGAAATTGAAAAAAGAAATAATAAATTCGAAAATTGTTTTTTATTTTTCCAAAGTAGGAAATAATCCAATATTTTCATTTTCGGGTACGTGACAATACAAGGGGAAAAGAAAATAAAAAGCGGAAAAATCACAGTCAGGGCCAGTCCCTAAAGACCGTCGGTGAAGGGCGAAAATTCAGTTGCATCACGGGGCCCTTGATGACAGTACCAGTACAGAATTCCATGGTACTCCGTATTTCCCCAGTACTTTTAGACTTTGGCTCTGCTCTTCCGAAGTTCCCCCCGAAAATACCTGGTACCGGTCAGTTTCCGTTACAGTACTTGGGAAGAAGAGCAAGTATACTCCGCATAGCAAGGTGAACTATTGAAGAGTGAAGAATATGGAATACACACTCCATTGTACTCCGTAAGCCGTCCTCTGGTCTATCATTCATTCATGACCTCAAAGACGGTCAAAAGACACGGGAGTTGACCGGCAATAAGTCCAGGCCCGGGGTTCTCTACGCCACGACATTAGCGCGAGGGTTGTTGGTTGAGACTTACACACAGCCAGGCCTACTGACCGATGAACTGTCGAACTGCCAGCTATTGGTGCTATCCGATTTGAGGGCCGGCTGACTCGTTTACATGAACAGCTATATTCGGCACGGACGTACTCTACGGAGTACTACACATTCAAAAACGGTGTACGGATCGGTCACAGATCTGAAGCCACGATATGATCGTGGGGCTTTCGGCTATACTGGCTCGGAGATATTGTCATGCGAGGCTTCAATGAAGCTACATAGATGTCAACACAAAGATTCCGGAATTTAATTGAGTATTGTTTGTTGGCTTGTTGGTCTGGATTCTTAAAATGTCTTCCCCAGCTCTTCCCCGCAAGCAGCTCCCGGGAAAAAGGGATCATTCCAAGGCCGACTGCATACCGGGGAACCAACGTACTTCTTCCATCGTAGATCGCGTTCTCTTTACGTTGCTTTGTTTCAAGTGAATTCCAAACCTAGATTTCATTCGATTTTACCCCACGCATGGATGTGAAGGATGTTGCGTTAGGCTTAAATCATGTGGATGATAAAAAAAGGAAGGAAATGAAAGCCATCAGGATACTCGTAAATTGAAGCCTTACCGCCATTTCTGTGCTCTTATCTTCCGAACGGGCATATCCTGGTTTCTTTTCTCTTTTTTTTCTTTCTTTTTTTCTATCTTTGACTCAACAAGACACAACAGTAGTGTCACAAACCCAGGCTACATAGTCACGAGTCTGCCAGCTGTCAAGTACGGAGTACTTACAGCTGTAGCGCTTATGTTTTTTTTGCCTGACTTGGAGTGTAAGAGTGAAGGCGATCTTGACGTGACGGCTCAGACGCGGAAGTCGCCGATCTATGGCCTTTGTTTTCCGTCACGGGTGTTAGTCGCCGAGAGCAGTCTTCTGAAGCCGGACTGACGGAAAGGAGCTACCCGACCATTCCAAACCTCAGGGCATGACCCCTACCGGGACAAAGTCACACAAGGCGCACGTTTCATCTTGTGATTTTCCATGAGATTTGCATGTCAAAAAAGTCCTGCAACCGACAAGCCCATACCCCGGTCAATGATGTAAAAGCCTCAAAGCCGTCAATGAAGAAGGTTCAAGGTAACTCGCGGAGATCCGGATGGGAATACAGGTCAGCAGAAGACAAGCCTGCAAATCATGACGCCGTTCCACGCAGGACATCCGGCAGGCTGGTTTCTGGTCTCTATTTTCTGGGGTTCGGTACTCCATACTCCATACTCCATACTCTCTGAGTACTGTACCATTTCCTTTAACGGCCTCATTTCTCGGCAACCAATCAAGCAATCAGGTAATCCGGGAAAATCCTTCAAAAATCAGCCAAGTCGTCTGATTCGTTTGAAAGAGTTCGTTGGTAACAAACGCATTCCTGCGAATGTATGACACTACACAATCACCTACAGGATGCGCAGCATACTGGCCGTGCAGCCCTTAGCTACCACCTGCTATTGAAGAAGCTTGAGCAGATCAAATCTGTTTATTAAGTGAAGCTTCTGTCTTACTGCCACTCGGGGGGTACCAGGTGGCAAGATGAAACTGGAATACTAGTAAGATATAGGCGTGCTGTTTACGAAAGGAGAGCAAATAGTTGAGATCCATCAGCCCCCTTGTGGGGGTTAGTGGGATGATGGGGTGGCAAAAACCGGGGTACCGAGGGCCCGGAAGAATGGATTTCCGCCGGGAAAACATCATCCTGAAGCCTCGAGAACATCACAATAAGCTACGGACAAGTACCGCGTACAGTACAAATTACTTTGGATACTGGTCATATCCGAAGATGACCAAACATGACCAGTAGATTGAGGCGGCAAATGGGAAGCAGGTGACAAGCGCGCTTCGGCATAGTACGAATTGGGTAAATTCAGGAGTTGGAGTACTCCGTACTCTGCCATAATACATAATGGGTCTACGGGTGGTACAATCGGGTAAAGTGCAAAAAAGACCAAAAAGACCAGACCAGAAAACGACAACTCACAAAGTGGCGAATGGTCACGCGCAGCACGTCACATGACAGCCTCGGCAGGGGCTTGTGACTCCTTGTTTTTACTCTGCAGTCTTTAGCCTATACTCGTACGGTAAGCTGTAGCCTGTAGCCCGGACAGGTGCCATAGGGTATACGCCACGGGCTAGGAGTACTCCGTACCCCACTGACGATATTAGACTTGACAGCCCATGTGATATCGATTCTGACATCTCTCGAACCATCTCTCAGAACCCCTAATGTCCACCGGGTGGGATAGACAGTTGTCCGTCAGACCCAATGATATAGATCAGTTGCACAACAGATCCAGCTCGAATTCCTCGCCCAATGAAATCCCTCGCCTCCAGGGGTATGCAAAGACGAGTCTTCTCAGCCATCACCGTCATACAGCACATTCGTTCATTTCCCACCACATACCCCATATGGGTTGCTATCAGCATATGCAGAGCTGCACTGTGATGATGTCGATCAAATACATCATAGCTGCCTCTATTCGTCCCGGACGGCTTAATACCATGTAATGAGGCTGACGTGCAAAGTTACTCTGTACAAAGGGCTAGCAAGGATTCGACTCAGATGATCAATAAATAGGCATAGACAATATACTCCATATTTGAAATTTGAATTGGCAGATTGGATGTGGCACCGTTCCTGAATCACGATGTTTGGCGCTAATCAACGGCCACCGTTGCTCAATGTGATAGAACGCGTCGCGGGTGACTGGTACTCTCTCCAAACATAAAACATCACAATCATTTCGAGAACTTCATGCGACAACTGATTTGGATCTGTTGAATTCCAATGCGCCGGGCTTTGATAAATTACCAATACCGTACGGTTCTGCATCAAGACTGATCTGGATCAGAATCGAGCAATAGCAGACGCCCTACTCTAAATTGAAGGGATTGCTGTTGGTACTTTATCACGATAATCCAACAAATCACATTCCTGCGATTTCCCACTTTATTCATGGCCCGCTTCCCCGGCCCTTGAATGTCTGTGCTCAGATCAAGTGGTTTTTGTCAACTCTGCTGGTATACTGGCTTTTTGCCCTGGACCCCCTAGTTGTATAGTAGGGGTCAATAAGAGGATCAATTATCAGGGATCGCGCTCACTTCTAGTCCGATAGAGAAGCACTAGACGTATTTGCGACCGGTGCCATGGGCTATTGTTGGATTTGCGAGTAAGGGATGTGCAAGTTGAAAACGCACATAGTTTTCCAGACTGTCATCAGGTGAACGGGATCGAGATCGAATTCAATCTGAAACCCCAAACTCAAAGGTGTACTCGTACACAGTAAGACAAATAGGAGCTGCCACATTGTGGACAACACGTAATGGTCTATTCAGTGTCACTTCATCTCTGTACTATCTCCCTACTCCGCAAAGATCATCTCCACTACATGATGCATGTGACCCTGAACAAGGGATATCTCTCCGGGGAATCTTCCAGATTGAAACAAAACCCGCTGTATCGTAACCATGAGGCTGGTAAGTCCAAGATGAGGGGATGTGGGTTCCTGGTTCCAGCAATCCAGCCGGAAGCAGGACCTGCATATCCGCGACGATCACTCTCCGAATGCCTTGAGGGTTCGATGCTTCTCTTGATGCAGTGCGTAGTCGCTTTGTAAACACTAAGCTCTGGAACAGGTGACATCCAAAGTATCCCTGCCCTAGCCAAAGATCGCTCTAGACTTTAGTCTTTGTTCAAAGTCTTTGTTTTGCATTAAACGCTATCCCCGTACTCCCTCCTCTGTATCTCGTGTTTCGCAGGCTACCATGAAATATCTTACAATAGTACAGCGTCAATGAGTAGTCGCGGCTGCAATTGTCGCACCTTGGACGACTCCTATGACTAGTCTCAGAGAATCCATGCATACCAGCGTCGGGTCTAGCCCTCGACCTGTGCGTGGGCCTGGGTCCCCAATATCTCCCTTGTTTGCGATATGTGACCCAATTAGTCCTCCCTGTGCT